TCCGAGGATGTCACAGTGAATCGACAAGCAGAAACGACACTTTGCCCACCCGCGCCGTCATGGGGCAGTCAGAGTAACATAAAGCAGGGTGTTCATAGGTTTCCCTCTTGATTTTAATCTTGCGTAGCAAGCACGTTGCAGAAGAAGTGTGATATGAGAGGAGCGCTGCAAGATGATGCAAAGATTCTTGATTGAAAGCGACAGCATCTCACGCCTCTGGGGAGTTCCAGGCACACGACAAACCAGGTGGAACCATCCTTTGATCCATGCGAACTCAATGTGGACTGCACAACGTGCACTCCATGAACTGCGCAATCTTCAGTTGAAAGCTCATGGTGAAGGTGATGAACCAATAGATCACCTTCCCCTGGTTTCTCTCAGCAACCTCCAAATCACAGCGGTGCAGCACTCATTCGCCAAAGGCTCTGGTAACTCGGGCTGAGCTGCCGGACACTCTGGGAGTACCTGGATGCTGAGTGACAACAATCCTTATGATGCTACCAAGTAATAAAAAACAGCAGGTATGTCCAAAACTCTTTGTCACAGGACAAGTTGGCAGAAGCCTGAGGCCAAGCAGGCGTACCAAAAAACTAAGTCCTCAAACGCCAGCCATCGCAAGCACAGACACCACAGCTGCAACTTTAATCATCTTTTGGATGCGGAATTTGTCAATGAGGTGTCCTTATTTGGAGGAACCCTTTTTGTTTTTGTTCTAGGTCTGGTGCCTGCAACCTAGGCAGGGCCCACCTTCCAAATTGCAAATGACGACCCTCTCGGCGATTCCGCGTGCCCGTGTCTAGGCGCCGTGCACTCCCAGGAGCACGCCAACGTCAAATGGCGTCCAAAGACAACTGCATGGCTTTCGCATCGCGGCCGACCCGCACTCCGGCTTCTACATCCCGTGCTCTTCCATGGTCCACATCGCGTTCCCACCTAGGCCCCGTGCACTCCTTGATTCTTCAGGCTTGCATAGCTCTGTTTCGCGAAGACGTGACCGCATTCTCCTGCGACCATTTGTACTAATTTGCGCCTTGTTCTGTCGGCCGAACAAGCAAACACGACTAAGCTGGCCCGGCTGTCGAGGCTCGCCCGCCAGCGTTCGCAACTAAAGTTTCTGATGACCATAAACATCAATCACAACAGCCCCACAAAAATAGCAGCATACTGCAGCATGCTGTTCAGTTCCGACGAGTTATGTGGTTCGCAATTCGGAAAAATGCGACATGCTGCCGAAACAGAGAAATAACAAGTAGTTTGGAATTGTGCGAAACGCCCCGAAACAGAAATGAACTGCCGTGGCAAGGAATGCACGCCCCCGTTATAAGATCTGAAACCTAAAGCTTTCAGCTAGTTTGAAGAGGCCCGGCAGACCTCCCCAGTCTTTGCCCAAGGTTGATTCAGGGGTCAAAACGCAACACTGCCATTTCGATTCTTAGTTGTTGGGCAGTGGGGGGAGGTAATCAGAACTGCACACTACTTGGCACCCGAGATGGACTGCACTCAGGTCGCTGACAATGATTGAGTTGCTATTACTGGTGCGAGTCTGGTTCGGACCGTTTTTCGTTGAAACTGCGTGTCAAAAAGTAAGACTCGGGCAGTTCTTGCTGCAGTGTCTGAACTTGTTGCTGGAGTTCCTAGGCGGCAGCTCCAGACAACAAACCCATGCCAAACACCTGCCATCCAGACCTTTGCATCCCCTCGGCGGGTCTGCAACGCGAGCGTCCTGAACATAGCCACGCACGTCCTCTGAGTCAAGCGTAGGTTGGACCTTGCTTGACAGCAAGTCTGTCTTCAGCAACTCGGTCGCAAACATAGATGTCCTATGCAACTCTGTTTGGGATCCAATTGCGGTAGTCCCAACATGTCCTAGTGCTTTGCTCGGCCAGGCACAGTATTGCACAGTATAACGCTTGCAACGTAAGCGATGTGCCACTCTGTGGAGCTCCTACAACTCTGGACATGGAGGCATTGGAAGCCGCCCCACCTTCGAAGACGTCAGTTCAAGCTCCAGAAGCTCCAAAGCATCAAGGCCTCCAGGAATATGCATGAACATAAAACCCACAGGAAGAGCGTGGAAGGTTCAAGTACTGGTTGAAACCTGTCCTGGAGGAGGTGTCAATGGCATCGTGGGGAAGGTGCTGAGACATCCAGTTGCCAGTGCCTGAATCTAAGAGTACCGCATGCAACTATAGACTCTGAAGATGATTGCGACTGGACCATGCTGACGGGTAAGATCAGCCTGTGTCGCGTCTCAGGCGCTGGCACTGGTGGCATCTCCAGCAAATGACGTCGGCCGGATCTGTTCATCCGTGTCTGTGACGCCTCATGCATCTGCTTTTTCGCGTGCTGTCATGCGTTGACTTCGTGGATGCTGCGTGGCCGCATACAGCGGATGCGCATGTGACGTACGTTCATCCTTCTCTGATGGCAGGAATGGGAAACAACGCAACGAACGTAAGGGAACACCTGAGACAATGCTAGAATATGCAGAAACGGACGCCAAGGAGTTCTTGCGCCCCCACATGTGGGCCCCTTGCCCGTTGCATTCGCTTGCTCATTTGCAATTCCTATCCGTTGTTCGTAAAGCGCTTCTGGAAACTCTGTCCTGAAATCACCCGCAGCACTTCCCAACAATGACGAGCTGTCACCGGGTCAAACTGCTTTCAGAGTTGCTTTATGTTCCTATATGCTCCATCAGTGTCATCTCAGCATGCGCAGGCTTCACGAGATTCAGCATGCATTCACATCACAGATTGGTCAAGCAACAAAGTTGGCCGGTCTTGGCGCAGCTGTGTTCCATAAACTACTGAGTCTACTTCTACTTGTACCGAGGGCCTTCGTCTCTCGGGTCTCACCTAGAGAGGTACAGTTGCACATGACAGCAGGCTTTCTTCCTCGCAGGAATACTGCATGTTGCTGCAGACTACGTTACACAAGCAGACCATGTCACGTCAGCAGCTGCCAAGAACTGTCAAGAAAACTCTGGGGTAACTGCCACTTGCGGAACTGCCTTCCCGGCTGAAATCCTCCACTTTACGTTTGCTTTCATGCGAGAGGAGCTCGATTTAGAACTTCAAATTACGTTCCATGATGTGCGGCTTTTACTGCTAGTGCTGTGGCCTGCAAAGGACAAAATGCTGAATGGCCGTTTCTTCGAGAACAAAGTTGTGCCAAGAATTGAACGACGCACGCACGCGCGCACGCACACACACACACACAGAGACACACACACACACACATACATATATATATATACACACACACCGAGTCCTTAACGAACCACGTCCAAGTTCACTCAGCTAAACATGGCTTGAAACATGCACGCACCAGTCTCCGATGAAGCTCCTGTAGGTACTCGGATCCGATGTCCGACACAGTCGAACCAGCGGAAACCTTAGCTCAGCTCGGCAATTGCTCACGGAAATGGACTTGCTACGTTGTTGCTGCTCTTTGCGGTTCATCGCTGACAAAAGGCTGCATGGGAAATCAAAGGGCTAGAGCGGCTAGATGGAGCGAACACACAAAGCAGTCACACTACACTGACTGGCGCTGCAGGACATTGGCCTGCACTTTCCACGGCATGTTCTCGCCCATGGAGTCTTTAACGATTTGGCAGCTGCCCTCCACGGACATCCTCACCAAGTGAGCACTGCACTCAAAATGTCTCAGGATGCAAAAACTCAGATGCGCTGTGCCCTAAAGCAGAACTCGCGCGCAACAACGCGCGACTTAACAGCTGCACCGCAGCTGACAAACGCCACATACATTAAACGCTTGCCAGCCACCTCCAACAACCAGCGCGGACTCGCGAGAATGCCGATGACTATCTTGAGCCAAAAGCTATGAAAGTCGGCGATGAGCCCGAAGCTCACCTCCTGGCTAACCCGCCACTACTTGCAGCCATCTTGAAAGGGTTTGGGCTTGGAGGTGAAATGAGGTGTATGAGCAACTTGGCGAGATGTTGCGAGTCACTTTCACCACTCGTGTGTCCCGGACCACCCAGTCTGCCCAGCACAATGCCATGTTCATTTGCTTAACAATGATCTGCCATAAGGCATTAGTTGCGGACACAATTCGCCAGGCCAGTGGTTCTGATCCTGGCCGCAATGAATAGGTCGGCTCACCACAAAGCAGCTCGAAAGGCTCGAGATCTAGAAAGTGTCACGCGCAATCTCGAGCAACTCGCCTCTCTAAATCTGTCTGCTGCTCGCAGTGCAATATACCTCCATAAGTCGAGACAATCGCTAAGGCAACATGCTAAGCCTACTATCGCAAGAGGTCACCATGCAACCAGGGAGTCGTCATCCTGCGCCAAAGCTTGTGCCAATCGCGGGCAAACTGCCAAGTATGCATCAACGTCCTGCAGCTCTTCGTCCAAGTCGACGCCACCTTCTTCTACACTTGGCGGTCCTGAAAGTGGCCACTGGCACGTCTTCAGCGGGAACATGCGGGAACTGATTCAAAAGATATCTAAGTGGAATTCAGTAGCCATTTTCGCAAGAACTGAGTGCTGAGCGAAACTCTTCTTCCAATGACCGAAAACGAAAAACCTGCTGCATGGGCTGAACTGTCGAGGCGACTGCGACGCTCACCTACCACGCCTGCAACATGTAGCATTCTACAATCTAGATGAAACTAGTTTACTTTGAATATCACCCTCTCCACAGGGATTCTCAGCGATTCTCCGGGGATTCTCTGAAACCGGGCGAGGACGGGGCGGGAGTGGACCGGAGAATAGCTGAGCTGTCAGACAACGTAAGACAATATAAGACAATAAACGGCCATGCAACACAATGCAATGCAATGCAATACAATGCAGTACAATGCAATACAATGCAATTGCATACAATGCAATACAATGTAATACAATGTCGTACAATGTAATACAATGTAGTACAATGTAAGACAATGCAAAGCAATGCAATAAAATGGAATACAATGCAATACAATGTAACACAGTGCAATGCAATGTAATACAGCGTAATACAATGCAATACAATGTAATACTATGTCATATAATGTCATACAATGCAATACAATGTGTTTTTGCGTATTACAATGTAATACAACGTAATGCAAAGTTCGTGCCGCGATAAAAACACATGTTAACACCACATGAATGCAATGAATACAAGGTAAAACCATATGATACCGTACGATAAAATGTGCATATGGTTTATGACAACAAAAGATGTGAAAAAAATGTTGCTCTTTAAATACGTATTTTACGTACGGTGCACTAATTTTTTATAGCTTGTATATATGATGGAGGTGTGCAATATGCTACATACGATACAGTCAATACAAGGTAAGTTACATCATAAGATGTGAAGTAAAGAATTTCTATATATACATGTATATATATATATATACATATGTGCGTATCGTAACCCGCATATGATACATAATCTCTACTCATTGCCTTTTCGTAGAAGATCACATACCTATACTTCATTGCATATACTATAAGTTCTTGCAAAACAGAGCATGATGTGCAACATGTTGCTTAATATAACAAGAAAAACAAAGTATTTAAGGTGACATGTTGTATGCAATATTCAATGTGGCATATGTTGTATGTAAAAGCTTGGCATGCAATATCTTTTGTTCTAGATTCTTATCGTTCATGTTGATATTCATAAGTAGCATGTGCATGTATACGAATCGCCCCCCACCCCCTCCCCAAGACCACAGTTTTTGTTGTAGTAATGTCGAAACTCAGTGCATAAGGTACTCAAATACCACATCACCTGCTTAGAAAACACGCACAGTCCATCTACCAGAATCCGGTAGATAGAAAAACTCGTTATGCATAATAGGGAAAAGTAACCAAATAGAGGTCTACATCAGCGAAACATAGGACAGTATTGCAAAATGCAGGGTTGTCAGTACGTCATGCAAGTGCAGGCAGCAGAATATACAAGGGTCCGTCGACCATGTAGATAGAAGGTGCGGTCCTGGGGAGTGGGATGATGTGTTCATGGGTGGTTATTCCCTAATGGCACACCCCTCACAACCAAGCTTCTTGAATGTAACTCAATAATTCAGCTACAAGTATTGAATACGAATACGTACATATGGGCACATGTCCAAGTTACGCTCGTGAACGCACGGTGAGTGTTCCTAGTGTGCCTCGCAGTTCAAGGCATTCTGACAGAAGCGCTTCACAAACTCACCAGGAGTCGACCTCGAGCAGAAACCATGCACGGTTGAGAACGCGGCTTGCAGCCTCGTCATTGCAACAATAAAAGAGCCCGGCCCATCTACACCAAGCTCCTTTTGAATCGTAGCAACCTCTCTTGCGGACAGCGCATAGAAAACACATCTTGGGAGAGCTATAACTCAAGCCCGTGGTGCATGCGCGGTGATGGCGGCAAAATCCCCATCAGCGCGGCTGGAGTAGATTTCCTGCAATAACTCTATCTTGCTGGGGCTAGGTAATTCCAGAATTGATCAGCAGTTGCACACTGCCAACCCAGTAGCTCTCTTGTTTTATGGCCGCAACTCGACACGACGGCGACCAGAGTCAAAGGCATCGAACATTACGTAAGGCCTCAGCTCTTCGGAAAGAATAGCATTACAAACGCTTCAGATTGCAAAAGAGATGGTCAGCAGCGGACAATGCTGGCATATCGTCAGATGGGCCTCGCTTGGATGCGTCCACCAGCGCCTTATCCAGATTTGGAGTGCGAAGCAACTGCACAGCCTGTTCACTGCTGGTCTTCACGCTTCTCTTCACGTGTCAAGAATGCCTCGATGTTGGAGACCAACACTTCCCTCGGAAGATTTCCAATCAAGGCAGTGATGACACGCCTCGGAACACAGCATATGCTCCACCAAGCACCAGTAGTTAGATCACACTTGCACACAAGAACCCTGGCACCTGTCAGGCAGCACAAACGCAATGTGGGGAATCCCGTCGACTCGGAACTCGCGTGTCCACCTGCTAGACACCGCGTGTGCGCTACTCGCAGATTTAACTCTCAATGTGATTCCTTACTTCGTTGAGACGAACCTGATGATCAGAGGTGCCCCCAAATTTCGCAGTTCAAACAGCAGAAAAACTGTTGAGAGTTGAGTAAAGTTGAATTTGGGGGAATTTGGGGTTTCTGTGACAAACAAACCACTGTCACCAACTTCGAAGTCACCGAGATGCCAATCCATGTCGACGTCTCCGGAATTTGCCGTCCAGTTGGAAACGTCCATGGTTACAAATTCGACTTCACCTCCATACCTCACGAGGGCAATGGGAAGCGTGGACATCTGTAGGACACCTGGACCAATGGCAACACAGTACTGTGACAGCCCATCAAGTTGCGGCTAGAAAGCTGCTGCTCCAGCTCCTTGGTACTTGCAGCAACTCTTCAATTCAAAGTTCCGGTCCATCTACAGACCCCGCTTGATCGCACGCGTACAGATGCCTCATGCCACAAAGACACCTGAAGTACTGGAGCCATGACAATGCAATCCGCGCACCACGTGGCTGAGAAGTCCACTAACAACGGCCTCGCTTGTGTGCACACATACACAGTGTTTCTTGCATGTCTTGCAAACATGCGCACACCTCAACATGGGCACAGGTAGATGACTCTGCAGGGTGCTGGTCTGAACAAAACGCGCCTGCCGGACTGCAGCGCCACCTGACCGTGCAGCCATCACAGGGCATGCGGACTAACCTAGCGCACCGACGTTCACACATGTTCGCGACATGCACAACAGTGTCGCCTGCAAGGGCTTCGACTTTGCTCCCGCGGAAGAGACCAAATCAGCCGGATTCTGGCGAGCCTCTCCTCAGTCGGACTTGCAGCTTTGGATGTGCCATATGTTGATATTCGGTGATATTCGATGATATTCGATGATATTCAATAATAGACACTGTATGACAATGTAGACAACCTTCAATGGGCTTTCTAGCCCTCGCAGTCCTACAGGCCGTTCTAGGGGCCCACTGAAAACATCTGACAACCCTCTCGGAAAACTTTCTGGGCACGATCGACAATCTCTAGAAATCTGTCGCGGTGCCAACCCCGAACTCCTGCAACCAAGGCGCCTCGCAAGTAAGGCAAGGCCTTAGCGGAACAGCAGGCGGAACTTGCAGGTCGTTCACACCTCTTGGAACAAAGCACATTGCAGCACAAATGAGTCGTCAATGGAAAGCGACAGCGAATGACTCATGCAATTGCAGCTTTACCTACAGTTGGGCGTTCTGGGCTGGAGTGGCTTCTTTGTTTCATGTTGATGGTGCCAAGGCCTTCCAGCCAGTCCACATCCGCCCATCCGCCGATCCCGGGGGGCCGAGCGCCAGTGAAGGGCTTGTGATGGCTTTTCACTTTCACAGATGTCGAACCAAGCCGCTTCGCCCTCCCCATCCCCGCCCCAACCCTTTTCCAACCTGCCCCCTCGACCCCGCCTCCCTCCTTGCCCCCCCCCCCCCCCCCAAAAAAAAAACAACATCGCCAAGAGTTTTCCTTCTTCCACTTTCCCCCACAAACCCGACCAGCACCGTGTCCGCGCAAACCCAAACCCAATCCATGCTGTCTTTGTTGTCGCGCTGCTTCTCCCGGGCCTCTGCACGTGGAGCCTCGCGGCTTTACGGAGTCGGCGGAAGCAGCGTTAACCCTCAGACTGTCCGAGAACTCCACCTCTGGAAAGCTGGCCACAGCAACGCCGGCAAAAAGCGAAGCGAACGCCAGGCGACGCCTTCAGATTGAAAGGCACCGCGTTCAGCCACACTTCACCAAGAGAGAGAGAGAGAGAGAAACGCACACGCACACACCCGGGCGCACACACACACACAAAAATAAAAACAAATAAACACATCTCTGCAGCTACGCCCAACTATCTCACATGTCACACACAACGTTCCTGCAACAGGGTTCTTTGAGGCGAGAAACACACCTCTGAGCGCCTGGAAAACACACGCACTGCTCACTCTCTTCTTGACTGGGCCCCTGGCATGTCGAGATCGAAACCTGCCCAGTCAAAACGGACGGTGGCCCGGTGGCAGCAGGCATTCACAAGTAAAAGACTACTGCTGCTAGAGCGCCGATGGGAAGATTGCCTAGATCCTGAGGCAGCGCTGCCTGCAAGGATAGTTGTGGGTGTGACAGGACTGTGTTGAGAATGCCAAAGTAGCCTCACATGTAAGGCAAAGCCTTCTTTGCATGCGGACCCATCGAAGCACTTCCGCTCGGACTCGCGGTGATCTTTGACAATCACTCAAAGCCAGATCAGAACTTGTAATAGGGCATCGGCCAAGCTCTTGAAGAGCGCGGCTGAGATTTGACCGCTCGAAAAGGTGCCCAGCAGGCGAACGAACAGGGTCCAACATGAGCTGGCCATCAAGCTGGCAGCAAAGATGCTTGGGAGCAGAGGGGAACAAGCGGCGCAGGCCCACAGGTTCAGACAGTTCAGACAGTTCAATCACTTCACTCTCCGCGGGAATGGCTTCAATTTCATTCATTTCATTGACAGCCTGCAAGGCCGAGCTTGCTAGCCAGACATCGAGCCCGTGACATCCAAATCCACGCCACCTCTCCAATGCATCCTTGAAACTTTTGAAACTTGCGCAACTTGTTCTGCTTGTTCTGGGCCATCTTCCAATGACATCCAGCAAGAAGCTGCCAAGAGGCTCACAAGGCGGAATGCCTGCACTCGCTGTCAAAACACAAGCTGTCGACAGGGACCACAGAACACTGGCTGGATCTACACGGATCCAGAGGTCTGAGTTGCGGAGGAAGCGTTCGCACTGCCCGCGCGTTGGCGGATTAGCTATGGAAATAGCCGCTAAATCTGTCCAGTATGTGCGAGAGCCTTCCTCAAAGCCGCCCAAGAGCAGCTCCCAGAATTGCTCGCTGTACTCCAACGTTGCCGAGTCCGGACCGGCAACGCAAGCCAAGAAAGAGGCCAGTTCGGGGAGCAACTGGCCACAATTGGAAATATTGGAAAGCACCGAGAGCTCAAATTTAGCAAAGAAGCTGCATGCGAATGCACTCGCCACTTCTGCGTTGTGCTGCCGCATCGCAGCATTTCTCGCATCGATTGATATGCTGTTGTAGCACAGGGTGTTCTCTCGAAGAAAAGCCAGATGAGGCTTGTGCATGCAAAGAACCGCTCGAAGTGTGATTTCTACGAGAGCCTGCAAGTCCTCAGGTACCCACCCGCCATGTTCTTCTGCTGCCTTATCTCTCCAATTCAGCACAGCTCTGGCCAAAAGGAAGCCCCACAATGCGTCACCATGCGCGAGCTCAAATATTGTCTCACCCGAAATCGAGTGTCGCCTCGCTCGGGCCACGCACAAAAGCAAGCATGCCATCGAGCCCTCCAACGCCGAGCGCAACTGGCTATCACATCCTTCTTGACATAAAGAGCCGAAGACATAGATGGAGAGCTCATCCATGTCAAGGGCGACATCAGAAAGAAGTTGCAGAAGCTCATGTTCGTTCTCGTGCATGCAAATGCTGCTCGTAAGTGCTGGATACAAGCAGGCAATCGCCATCAAACACATATGGAGCATCTCAGCCTCGACCACGCATGCCGCGTTCCAACATGCTTCGCTTGCCTGCGTCCCATCATCGGAGTCATGCAGTCCATCGTGGTGAGCTAGTGCATCGCCACACCACTCGACCAACTCTGGCAAGACGCCCCCAACATGAGAAATGAAGTGTTGGTGGCTTCGAGTTGCGTCGAGGCATTCGGCAGCAAGTGGCCTCAAAGCAGGCCTACCGTTCTGATTTGCTAGTTCATGAAGTCGCTTCAGTGCGTGCACAACTTGGCCATCAGGTTTCCAAGCCATCAATGGTTCAGCACGCCCGGGCTGGCCCTGCAAGCCAATGTCAAACGTCGGCAAAGACTTGTGAAGCCCGATTGGTCGGCGGCGGCACTCACTGCTACTGGGAAATTGAGTGGATTAGCAGAGCCTCGTCTTTCGGGGACTCTGGGAGATATTCATATACGCCCACCTGCAAGAAACACAAGCCAAGACAACACAAACTAGACCCAAGCACTGGCTACGGCTGCGCTGCTTCCAACCTGTCCAGCCAAAGGTATGATGCGGGCCGGGGCCTCCGATGGTGAGCACACGACACACTTGGGCTACGGCGCAGATTCGTTGCAAAAAGGTAGGATGGCTGCAGCTTCTCGCACGACTGGGTCTTCAGGAAGGAGCAGAAGCACCAATGTCAGCAACACCTTGGCAAGGACAACTGTGTCTCTCGATTTTTTCAAGATGAATCCAACTATCTCAGACAGGCATCACAACATCCCAGGGACACAAAGTGGAGACAGATGAACCCAACGGTCCCGGACAGGCATGAAGAGTCTGCTCCCTTCATCACTTCAGTAACACTTCGCAAAGGGAGCAAAGGGAGCAAAGGAAGACGAATAGACAGATTTAAGAGTAGGGCAGCGACACATCCAGAAGTCACAGAATCCGTTTCTCCACTCAAAGCCAGAAGCCCCCAGCTACAGCTGCTTGGGTAAATTTCAGACAGCTGAGTCCAACAGCCCCACACGGGCGGTCTGGTCACTGCAGGTTGGTAGACACAAGGGGGACACATGAGTCCACCACAGTCCCAGACAGTAACAGCATCCAGGGCCAGCTCATTTCACAATGACACAAGGAGACAAGTCGGAGACAAATGGGTGACAAATGAGTCCGCCAGTGTCACCGGGTCTGCAAGGGATTCGGAAACCGAAATCGCGCCCATGCAGAAACCGGAAAAACGTCATTCGGATACTGCTCGGGAAAATAGAGAGCGGATTCGACAGAAACTGCAAGCACGGACTCAGAAACTGCGGATAGGGAAATTGGAAACCACGGTGTCAGGAAACCGAAGATGCGGGAATCTCCCAATTCTATGAAAGCATCGCTGACATGAACGCTACCACCCCACCTCCCCCTTGTTTCCTGAATCAGGTAACTTCCTGAATCGTGTGTTTTCCTGAATCGCGTGAAGCCGGTTTCCTGAATCAGTTTCCTGAATTTCCTGAATCAGTTTCCTGAATCACCTAGTTTCTTGAACCGCGGATTCTGAATCGCCGGAGTTTCCGAGTCCTGGCTTCCTGAATCGCGTCCGGTTTCTGGATCGCGTGCGTCCAGTTTCGGAATCACGCATCGTTCCCGGGTCTGCTGACTTCACACAGACGGGGCGTCACAGCCATCGGAGTCTGCTCACTTCACAAATGGAGACATATGACAAACATGAGTCCACCGGTCCCAGACGGCCTTCATAGCATCTAGGGTGTGCTCAAAGGAGACAAAGGCCCTAAGGATACCGAGTATGGGATGAATGGTACGGATGGTGGTGGAAAAGTGTATTGAGCAGAATGGCTGTATGTGGATAGGTAAGGAGTTGTGAGCAATTTCAGGGCGATCTCGCAGACGAACGAACATGCACGAACAGCTGGAGATCGCAAGCCATGGTGACCTGAGGTCGAGGCCAGGTAGATGCCAGCTTCTGCTTCCAGGCCATAGGTGTCGTGAATCTTTGTCAGCAGTTGCCAAGAGCCAGCCTGAAAGGTGAACATCAGCCACTGCGATTCGCGAAAGGAACATGAAAACTGCAAGCGTCAAAATTGGATCTAGGGCACTGACGAGCAAGATCACGGCGCCCGTAACACTCTTGCCTCAGACTCACTTGATGCATGCCCTGAGCTGATCGTTTCAGAACGGTTTATCGTGATTTTGGCCTAGCGTCCCCATTGCCCAGTTTCCTGCGCGGGACGCTATATGGAGAGCCCTTAAAACGAGAGCCCTCGCAGCTCAAGAGGAGGGAGCTATCACACAAAGCAGATGTGGTCACTTCTAAAAAAACTCTAAGGGAGGGAAGTCTCAAGCAGACTCCGATCTCTCCTGGAAGATTGGGAGGAGCCCCGCAGACACGCTGACCAAGGCCAAGGGTGCACTGTATCCTCGGCATGCCGTCTGAGAGAACAGCTTGGGGGGGACTCCGGTCAAGCCACAAGAGAGCACAAGCGCACTCCGAAACGAGACGCCCATCGCATAGGCAAAGAGTAGAATCGCAGAGTTCGTCACACTGACCTCAGTAACCACGTGCTACAAGTAAGCTGAGCTCCCAAAGTTGCCGGACAAAAGGACTTCAAGGACCAAAAGCACACCGAAGGCGCTTTTGTGTAGTCGCCTGCAGCCATGTTGCAGAGTGAGAGGCGATATAGGTTGTGGTGGTGACCAACACCTTGGAGACTTGGAGAGCTTTACATACACCCTCAACATTCTGCAAGACTCGTCAAGGCTCCAAGTGCTAAGCTAATAGCTGGCGTTGCGCAAGGCGAAGAACCTGTTGTGGACCGTTGCATTCTGCGAGCAGACTGAAGCTGCTCAATGCCGCTCATGGAGCCTGCTGCGCTGGCCATGCCCAACAGAAATCCGCGTAGCTCTTGCGGTGCGGCTTCGATCGCATCTCCCAAGCCTGCAACTTGAGAGTTGCTGTAAGCTCACTGTATGCAGTTCGGCTTGAGATGTAAAGGACTGTAAAGGATGCGGAGGATGAGAGGTGGAGCCCCTTCTGAACGCCTGCCAACTGGTCCTTTCAACCGTTGCATGTGCATGGCCTGGAATTCCGCTGAGCTTCAGCGGCAATATTTCCAATAAGCCTCGGCACTTGCAAGAACATATGAGACTCAAGACATCACACGGGCAAAAGCTTCCACCCAAGCAACTTAGACCCATGACAACGGCCACGAGCGGAAAAAGCCACGGCAGAACTCCTTCGCTTGATTCTTAAACTGCCATGTCGGAGAGGTAGAGGAGACTCAGGGCGGAGGTTGATTCGAAGCCGTGCAAGAAAGCAAACGTGCCTTCACCAACAGGAAGCCTGCGATCACTTTACTTCGATGGAGGCGCGCAAAGAGACATTCTTTCACGCAAGCACCATGGCACTTGCAGTCGTCGGTCGGCCTTTCGCCGGCAAAGGCAACTGCAATGCCCAATGCCATTAAAACCACGGCAGAGCCTGCAAACTGAGCCAATGAAAAAATGAAGCTCGGGAACACGCGTCCCACAGCCGTTGTGCTCTAGTATCTCTAGTCTAGCAGGGAGCAGTCTGACAGTCTCATGAACTACGCATCAGGCTGGCGAAGGCACCCACGCACACTGACGCACACTTGACAGAAAACTTGTCCGATTGGCCGTTTCACTTCAAATTCTTGCTACGGATGAGAGTAAGCAGACCGACAGATTGCTTTCTGAACGATGGCGGGGCCAGCTATGTTTGACCTCCTTGGTGGGTCTGTCCCCGAACGTCCCCGGCTTGCCCGATCGAATGTCATGGATGTTGCTCAATGTTGCTCAGTGAGAACAGGGTCTAAGTCTGCAGCGCCCCGTCCCTGGCTGGCTTGAGCTTTTTCAGAGAGAAAATGCGACTCGGACTCGGCATAATTGGCAAGCTAGAGCTGCGAAGACAAAATACTGAATCAGATAATTTGCGTTTGTGCCCTTGCCTGAAGTGTACGCAAGGGCCTGCAGCACTGGGGACTGACGCCTGCGCACGAGTGCATCCATCTCTGTGCTCGCCTAAATTTCAACCGCTCGGCAGAGTCTTTTTCCGAGGGAAACCTGGACAGCGCCGCGACGGAGGCCGCCGCCGCCGGCAAGGAGGCCGCGTTGCACGGGTTCAGTGACGAGGCCAGGCCTCCATTTCGGCAAGAAGAGGACACTGAGAGGACAAAAAAAAATGCTGCTTTGTGTTGCTACAGGGCTTCCTAGGATCTGCAAGGATCTGCTGGATGCTGCTTGTAGTTGAATTGCGAAGCCCATTCCCAGCCTCCCAAGAAGAGGATTGGTATGAGCAATGGGCCCCCTTCAGAAAGCCCTGCGAGCTCCGCTCTCTGCAAAACACTTGACTCACTTGACATCAGACTAGACTTCGTGCCTGATGACACGGCTTCGTTTGCCTGAGATGCTGCTGCAAACAGCCAGGACCTGAGTTCTAGCGCAGCATCCCAGCATCCAGAAAAACACAAAGGACTTGAGACTCTGGCTCCAAGCCGAAAGCAGAGGAACTGTCCTGCGCGCGCAGGCTGCGCAGGTCGGCGCAGATGCTTCCACGTGCACCTCGTAGCCTTCCAGCCTGCCAGGAGCATGTACGAGATGGTACGAGTATGTGCAGTTGCAAGCCTGGCTCGGCAAAGCTCCTCGAGTTGAACCCAAGGCAGCTCCTGGCCATCATCAAGCATGGACATCCACGGACGGGGGACTCTACAAGCGTGTTTCCAGACCGTGCAGAAAGTGGGCGTCTTCGGTTCAACATGTTCAAGAGCACAAAGGAAATCGTGAAGCAATTCCAACCAGCCTGCCTCCAGCAAACGAGTGATCCAGAGCCAGCCGTCTGGACTGCAAATACGCAGGTGGAGCAGCCAGCCTAAAGTCAGGGGCTCCAAGCATCAGATGTTTCAATCCTCCATATCTTCCAGAAGTCAGCCCTTGCCGTCCTCGCAGATGCGCCAAAGTGGCCCAGCGACATGCTGAATCGAGAGCAGCTGGAATGGGAAAACACGTGAAAAAGGCGTGAAAGCGGGACTAACGGAAAAAACAACTGCATTGGACCATGAATGCTGCATGGCTGGCCATGAGTGCTGCATGGCTGCTTGTCTGCAGGATTAACGGCCGAAAATGCTGTGCACGTTCAAGCAATCTAGTCAACAGCTGATGGCGTCAGTCGAGCATGCCGTTTGCACTAATCTTGAGCAACCGGTTCGTACCGTTTGAACCGGAGCTGAGAGTCGAGCAATCAGGGTGGGGCAGCAAGAGGACAGAGCTGCATGAGTTGCTCACGAAACGCTTCGGGATTGCCTTACAGAATACAGAATGGAACGTGAAGTTTAGCTGAGGTCTGTCTGAATTCAGTAAAGAGGATTCTCTGACGTCTCCACAGGATTCTCCGCTCTCCTGCAGTTTGATGAACATGTCCGTGCTGGCCTTGGCCCCCGAGATTCTCCGATTCTCCCGCGACCCTTCAGACACACTTTGTGAGACTTCACCCCGAATCTGCTTTCAGAGGAGACCAGAACTCCAAAATAGTTCGGAGTGCAGAACAAGACCACCCCAAAAGAATGATGCTGTACACACTAGCATGTCGATGTGATAGGGCATCGTCATTCATCAGATGCAGTTCTCGATGCTTAAGAGCTTAAACGCAGAGCAGAGGATTTAGCACTCAGGGCTTAGGATTGTGGAGTGAAACTGAGGGTCTTAGAGCTGAGCATCCGGCAGTCATGTCTGGCAGGGTACCAGCAAGGGGCAGCTTCCCACAGTCGCGCACAAATTGCGACACCTGTCAACGCTATTCGCAGCAACGCCAACAAAAGGGAAGCAGAGAAAGCCACATGCGCGGCACTATCGCATGTCTCAATCTCATCGCTATTCATTGACCAGCCACTGCTCGGGCCACAATCCAGAAGTCGCTCTTCGAGGCACTCGCGACGCGCGAAAGAACCTGTGCAAAAAGTCAGCAAAAACCATCGCCGGCAGCGCTGCGACCGCATGTGGGTGCCATGCAATGGCACTTCATGGCACTCGGCTCCGCACCGTCACCGTGAAAAGGCGTGGGGATGACACAGGCAGCCCAGGCAACGTACAGTGCTACGAAATTGCACGGAAACCCAGTTGGCTTTCATCAAGGATGCATATGCATACAGTCTAGCCAGTCCCCGGCCCTTTGACAAAGAGACGGAGAAACACTGGCCTGCTGCACGGCGTCTGGGATCACATAGGGCATCCATGCCTGCCACTACAGGCCGGACAGTTGCCTCTGGTCCCGTGTCAAGCGACAGAGTTCCCCCCGCCCCACCCCCAAAATATATGAAGAAACATACATCATATTTATGTACCTGCAAATATATACATACACATGTAGCTACAGATGCCGCCGCTGCCTTGTACGCATTCGCTAGGGCCTGGCACTGGGCGGCTCTACATCCCTCGGAGGAGCTGAAACTTCAATTTCGCTCACCGCGTGGGAAGCGAAAGTGCGGCCTCATCGAAGTTGGCCTCTTGTGGACTGCGCCGCATCTTCGACACCTCGCAACAGAAGGATTTGGTTTCGATGTGTCTATCGCAGGTAGGTTGGAGCTTTTTTGTTCTGCTCTCAGGCCAGGTCAATGTCTTTGAACTCGTCCTCGGGCAAAGGTGATGCAACTTCTGCCCACTTCAATACAGATCTTCTGCTTTAGTCGAGCTGCTTTCTCAGCAGATGTTTTGGGCAGCGTCCTCCCCTCGGATCGTTTCCTCTCAACCGCCAACGGCAGAAGCGGCGAGCAGTAGTCTCTTCCGCATGGCAGTCTGCTGCTACAAAAGCAAGTAAATGTGCGACTTGGATTATTTCGGAGAAGCCGTCCTCCAAGAGTCGAGTGCACGGATCAGGATCACGACATAAGGCCTGCAGTGCGGCACACGGTTGACACGGCGGGGCCTTCTCGAACTACTCTGCAGCTTTGCAAAGCTTGATGCCAAGCTTGGCCATGCTTGGCCAAGCTTGTTGCCAAGCTTTGCTTTAGGCTTTGCTCAGGCTTTCTGCCAGGCTTCGCTCAGGCTGCGAGCCGGCTGAGCGACGGACACGTGGGCGTGCTCCGTGTCGTTTAAGCTGGCCTTCCATGCCCAGGACCGCCGCTTTGATGCGCTTGGCACACGACCGCATCGCTTACTCAGGTCTGAGCAAAGTCAATGGAGTCTGCAAACCTGAACAGATCTGAACTGTTGTCAACAAATGGTCCAACGACGTCATTCGCTCTGCTGTCTACCCTTTACGTAGCATCATACGTAGGATTCGCACATGCGTTTGATTGATCTGATGGCCACAACAGGCACTTCAGTAAGTCAAAGTAGTCGGAGTTCCTGTGCTTTCTATGCATCTGTCGACAATCGACCTGAGAAACATCAACGAATGTTGCTGTTTACTTGCCCACTTCTGCTGCGGCTTGGGTTGATCAAGACAGGAGAGCAATCTCAGGTTCAACCCAAGCCGACGACGATTGAACCGTGCAACGAGCTCGTAAGGTGAAGGAACATCCCATAACATCACCAAGGAAAGATGTCCCTGTAGCAAGCATGCTGCCCAAGTACACGCTGCAAATGTGCACACGCATGCAACGACGAAGTCATGCAGCGTCCATGACAGGTTTAGGAATCGTGCCACCACCTGGTATGAAACATCCGAGCGCAGTCGCTAATGTTTCCAGGTGATGCTAAGGCATGCTCCATGGCTCTTTACTACCATTATTTTCATTCAGTTCGGTTATTGACTCCATTATTTTACATTCAGTTTGGTTATTGTATCGGTTTGGTTAATGTCTCGGTGCTCCCGCCTCCTCAGTTCTGGAAACGGGTCTGTGAGACGCAGATCGCCAAACCTGGCTGAACTGGATGTTGTGTTCTAGGCTGAGGCCAAATTTCGATTTCCGCGAATTCGTCACTTCGGTGGCATACCAATACCAAGATCGCAAGGTGCACTCCGAGTCGGGCTTGGTCTCGCAAACGGAGTGCTCGGCTACGAACAAGCGAATCTTGCCTCCCAACTGTAAAACATGCATCTTGTCAGCGAAGCTTTTGGATCTGCGTGACTGTACTATACTGTACCCGTTCCTTTGGCTCATCTGCATCTCTGGATTCTTGCACTCTGGCAAGCCCACTTGTGCTGAATTGACATGACACAAACCGACGGATTGCAAGAGAATTCCTTTTCCATTCCGAGAAATTCCAAGAAGCTTCGAGCCTACGAAGCCCAACGAGGTGACGAGAATCAGTGGGATCTGAAGCTCCTTGCGGTGGAAACTGACAGAGCCACCCAAGTCTCACTTCGACTTGAGTGGCGGTCAAAGATAGCCCAATTAGTCAAAGTACCGATAGTCGTACTATTGCAATCAGTCGAAATCGCTCGAAATCGCCCGGCCTCACAGAGCCTGCCGAGCTGACTTGCCAGAGTCTCTGTCAACTGGCACGCGATGACAATTGAGAAATGCCTGGCTCTTGGCACGCTTCCAATTACGGCACAGAGCAGGGTTTGCTAGCATACTACAGCATTCTCCACTGCAGTCGGCGCGGTCTTCTGGGTTCCCAGCCGGAAGAACTCCTTTCCTTGACCCACAGCCTTCGCCGAATCTTGATCAATATGAGCCCTGAGTTTCAGATGGCAGGCACTTGCACATCGATTGCAAGGCTTGTAGACAGTGAGCTTCGTGTCATGAGTCCTTGCCCTCAGCGATCCTGAGGGGGGGACCCCTGTACGTCGGGGTTCATCTCAAGAAGCCACTTGCAGGCTGCCTTCGATGTTCATTGGCAAGTTGCAGAAAACACCGAAAAACACCGAGCGCCGGATCCCCGTGCTGGAAACCGCGAAATGGGGCCTCTGAACGGAGCTTGCCCAGATCAGATTCCTGCAGCTGGCATCGCTTGCCATTTGTAGCGTAGTCGACTTCTCAAGCCGGGCAAGAAGTCACGGAACGAACACGGGCCTCCAAGAAGAAGTTGTGCCCAAGGTCTGCAGCCTCTCATGATAGAACATGAGAAGTTCAACCTTTACTCTTCTGAGAAGGCACACGGACCACATGCGTTGTGGGACTGCTCCGACCCAGTCTGGCCTCCACCTTTGCAGAATCCACAATGGTGAACTGGCCTATGCCTGGGCGGCCAAGACAGGCAGCCAGGAGGAGCGAACTTTCGCAGCTTTAGTATGCTTTAGTCTAAGTGCAGCCGCAATACCTGGCAGCACCAAGTTCTTGAGAGCTTCCGTGGCAATGGCGGAGGAGCCAAGCATGCAAACCTGCCCACAAAGAGCACAATTCCAGCTTTGCCTGCAGTCAGTCCCAGTTATTCCTCGAGTGATGCTTCGATTCTTTAGTCACATATGGGCTCGCAGAAGTTGCGTTTGGGATGACTGTGACTAGCTCCATGCACCATGATGTAGGATGATGAAGGCACCTTTGCATCCATCAATGCCCGTTGGCCATGTGCACCTTGGTTTCGGTAGTTTAGAGATGCAGCAGTGAAGGAACGGTGAAGCACGCGCACCCCAAAGCCGCAGCTGCCGATCATATTTATCGGAGGTCGCCATGGCCCCTCGTGACTCTTCTCGGCTCTGCTCTGGTGTCGAAGGACTTGGCTAAAGCGGCTAAAGCATGCTGAAGCATGCTGAAGTGGTGAAAACTACCGCGCTGGATCGAATGAAGCTTGTCTCTTTACAACTTCAAGTCCATAGCTAGCCGGACGCATTTGCAAAGCCTGCTTGGTGTCAACTGCTGCCAGACTTCAAGCACACCAGAACTGGGCCGATCGGCAAACGGGATTCCCGGAAACCAAGGCCAGCGTAGGGAGCACGGTGGGTGCAAGCATTCGAAGCACTGCCAAGCATTGCCAAACAGCGCAAAGCAGTGTCACGAAACTGGGAGAGCCTGCGCTGCAAGGGCGCTACCTTGAAGGTTGGCCTGCAGGACCTGTTGTGAAAGACTTACAAGTTGCCTGAGAACTCTAAAAAAAATCTCTAGGAGTCTCCAGGTTGAAGGAAAATTGTCCGTGATGCAAAGCGAGCCATATCAAGTGCGCTCGACCTTCTGCTGATCTGACGTTAGCTTGTGCACCGCTTTCCGGTACCTGACAGGCCAAGAGCGTGTGCTCGCAACAAGTAACTGTGCAACTAGCAGCTAGCACTCCTGTGCAATTGTCTCCCACACCATGTAGATCTACGCAGCATACGACTCAGCCGACACTGCCATTCCGCTCCCAGAAGCGGCTCACCCTCGGAAGAAGTCCAAGATATCCATCTTGCACGCCAGCCGTGCTCTCTTCCTCTCCAGATCCTGACAAGACATGCACGCACCTGCAAATGTGTGATTTTGTGTTCACCTGCCGAAGTGGTGTGATTTCGCGCATCTACCGCTTCTCTGCATGCGATAGAGCACTCAGGGCACTCCCGTCGCGCCTCGGATATCTCCTTGGCACAAACAGAAGCACACATTGAGCAAAGAGGTGCACCTGGTTCGAGGCTTTGTTCCAGAGCTGCCAAGGCACCGGTGCCGAAGCGTTCCGGGCCATGGCAGCCTCGGCTTGGTTTGGCACTTGGTGGATTCGGGGGCCAAATCACTCAAGCACAAGTCCTCCCACTGAGAGCCACTGAATGCCACACCAGATTTTGGCGCTTCTGCATGCTGATGGCTGCTTCCGTGGCTTCTCGAAGAGCTTTTTCCTCAAGCTCATTGACCACAAAGCAAGGTACACCAGGTACGCTGACTTCACTGCAATGGAACGTGGCTACGCTCCTCGAGGATCTCATTTGTTCTTGCCTGCTTTGCCTGGCACGGAATCGCTCCGCATAGATCGACAAGCACAAGGATTAACGATGGTCGACTGACGACTGGCACCTTGAAGGTCTCAAAAAAAGGTGGGCTATCAAAATCTCGATTCTGTTGAGACTCAAACTGCAGGCCCTTAGATGGTGCGGGCTTAAGGTGCGAGGGGGCCGAAGGTCCCCCCCAAGTCGATTTTGTCCCAAGACAAGAAGGTTGTAAGTCGTCGTCGTCGACGACGTCGTCGTCGTCGTCGTCGTCGTAGCTGTTGTAGTTGTTGTTCCTTTACTTCGCTAGCTTTTTAGCTCTCTGTTTGTCATGGTTTCTTTACTACTTTCCTTACAATTTTGATCTCTTTTGTTCGGTATTAGCTCATGCATATGCTTCCGTGTTGTGTGTGTGTGTTTTTCCTGAGGGAGTCTCCTTTTGATCATTCCTCCTTTGTGGTTCTGCATATTTCTGTATTTGTTTCTTTACGCCTTTCTTTCTCACGCGTTCGTCATTCATTTATGTCGTTCTTCATTTATTTCGCTCTTGTTTGTTTCTGTCTGTCTGTGTCTGTCTGTCTGTCCGTCTGTCCGTCTGTCCGTCTGTCCGTCTGTCCGTCTGTCCGTCTGTCCGTCTGTCCGTCTGTCCGTCTGTCCGTCTGTCCGTCCGTCTGTCCGTCTGTCCGTCTGTCTCTTTCCTATAGAGCTAGACAACTTACAAGCACTGCAAGCTTCGTTGATATTTTGAGAGCTGCTTATCTTCTTTGATAGCATTTCAACTTTTGGTTCTGCTCTCCCGCCATCGAACTGAGCAGCATGCAGTGCCCTTGCTGCCAAGCGACCGCTTTTCGCTCCTCGAGGCGTCGTTCGATGCCTTGCGGAGGCCCGCCTGGTGGCATTCCGACCTGCGCTAGAAGCAGGTGAGGTTTTCGCCTTTGGTTGGCACTGCAAAAAATACCAGCCTGATGGCGCTCTGGGTCTCGGGGATCTCGCATGTGCGCAAGTACCCCATTCGGACCAAATAGCAGGACGCCCTGACGTCAGCATGTTGATTGAAAATGGAAACCAGGTCGGGAGACTTCTTATCAGTGACTCAGCATCCAATCTCACTCCTCAAGAGCCAGAAGGTTAATTGAAGCATCCGAGGCATGGAAACTGATTGGCCCCAAGCCCTTCGACGAAAGATGCGCAAAGCGTGGAGGGCTCCGGCCTCTTTTCCATGCAACCTTCGGTTGCTCGCTCGGTCCTCGGGGGGCAATCTTGCGGGAAGGTTTCATGCTTGTCTGCAGCACTTTGAATCGCACCTCCGAATGCTCTCCAGGCATCTTACCAATGTCCTGCAGCAAAGATTCACGCGCACGATGCGAACACATGCACTAAGATGACGCTTGCAGGCGCCTGCTTCAGCCTTTCAAGGAGGAAACTACTCCACAAACAGCCACTGCCTTCAGAAAGCCTTGCATTTTCTAGAACTTTCCAGAACTCAAGACGTGAGAACTGCTAATTGCGGGTAAATCTCCCCTTCACCACTGTTGTACGTTGGCAAGGTATCCGGGCACGTTTTTTCAGACAAACTTGGAGAGGTGCTGAAAGTGCTACAAGGCGCTAAAGCTTCTAAAGACGCCCCAGGCGTTCTGAAGTCAACGAATCGCAAGGTTGTGAAAAGCCGTTTGCTTTTAAGAATCGGCATAGTCACCGGACTGTGCACACCATCTGCAACCTTCCGGGGAAACTTGAAAATGATCTGCAAAACTTCCTGGACTCTCCAACCTCTGAATTTTTTTTTATAGCTTGTGCTTGTTGAGTCTTTTGTTCACCGACGCTGGGGCGGTGTGTTGGATGGTGTCTGTCTGTCTGTGTCTGTGTCTGTGTCTCTGTCTGTGTCTCTGTCTGTGTCTCTGTCTGTGTCTCTGTCTGTGTCTCTCTCTCTGTCTGTCTGTCTGTCGGTCGGTCGGTCTGTCTGTCTGTCTGTCTGGCTCTGGATGTGTCGGTCTGTCTGGCAGCCTGTCGGAATCCCTGTGAACTACACAAACACTGCAGTTTCTAACTTTGTGACTGTCGAGTCCTCTGTGGTGAGGCGACTGGCTCTGCCACCGAAACCTGCTGGAGGCTCCAATTTTGCAGGCGGAAGCTTCTGCACTCCTGGCGGCATGCCAAGTCAGCAGTCGCAGCCGTGGTATATGATCTGCTGGCATTCGTGCTCATTTTCTTTGCCCATCTCTCGAACAGCTCCAGAGCCTGAGGGACGCCAGATGCGAGGGCCGGAAGCGCTCCCTGCCTCAGCGGGGCGTCAGCAATGAGAGAAACTTTGAGAGCAACGATGTCCAAGGGAACACAAAAGGAGGAGCAGAGACAGGGGGCGCAAACAGAAGGGCAGCAAACCGGCGAAACAAGCTTCTCACGTGGATCGTACTGTGAAAGCCTAGCATGAGCCAGCCGCGCTCGTGCTTCCGGAAACACTGCCATGCCGCGAAGAGCCTTCCAAACATTGCAAGATGGTGTGAGTACTAGTGGCAAATAGTGGCAAGCAACTAGTCTGAACGTATACTAATTCAGATTCGTCATGATTCGTCACTAGTTCAAACCAGTCCCGCTGTTGTAACAGCATGTTTCCATATGTTTCCAGCCTCGGCCGTCAAGGTTCAACTGGCCGACGCCAATCTGCCTTGCAGGAGCGGAAGAAGCGGAAGACGCTGTGCGCCGTGGTAGCGGTCATGTCATCCAAGCAAATTGGCAAGCCGGCCCTTCGCTGTGGGCTCTTGACTGTGGCGAACCTGCAGGTGTCGCATGTGTGGCGCGTGCTTGCTTGAAGGCCAGTTTGGGGGTCCCGCTCTCGCTGTGGTCAGCACGTGCTCCAGCACCCACGATGTGCGCGCTTGCACTTCGAATGGCAGAGGGAGCCCTGCACCATTCGAGGACTTGAGCTTGCCAAATCTTGCCGAACAAACAGGGTCCAAGACCGCTGGGTCAGGTCATGTCGGCAGCACACGGGTAGGGGAACTGATGGCTATGACATGTAAGGTACACCTCCACGTCATGGACCGGTCATTAAACACCACACTTCAGTGCCCTGTCATGCCCTGTCCAACACAGAAGCCCGCGAGCTTTCGAGGTCTTGGTCGAGCCGGTGCCACACTGCAGGGCAGGGGCCGCAGAGATCAGAGCGAGAAGGCACCAAGAGAAAGCCACCGTGTTGCTGCGACCCTGCGCCATGAGTGGCCTCTGTTTCTTCACCGGCTTCTCGGTTGGCGCGGCTGCGTACAACCTGCCATTCGGTCATGTCTCAGGTTCTGGAAAATGGCCCCAAACAAAAGCATCGAAAACACATGGTGACGCTCAATGTGACTTAGTGGGTTACTGGCAAGACTAGCGAGGTCTGCTCCACAAAATCATTGCCAGCAGCACCCTCCTCCAAGGTAGACCAAGTCCCCGGTGGTAGCGACGGGAACCCCTGGAACAAAGGCACTCTCAGAGTCGCTTACTGGGAATCGTGTACCTCTTGGCCTCTTGGCCTGTTGGGGCGCGCGGCCACTGAGAAATCTTGCCCCCACCCCCCCCCCCCCCCCCCCCCCCCCCCCCCCCCCAAAAAAAAAAAAACGTTCGCGCCGATCAAGGTTCCTTCACTTTGCCTTGTTCGGCACGACACGACATTCTTGACAATAGTGGCGATTCTGTTCAAGGCTTTCGGGGTGGGGAGAGGAGCACTGCTGCCTGCCACCGTGACGGCACTGGGAAGCTTCGACATGGAGATGCTCGGAAGCCCCTCCTGGCCGTAGGCCGCATGTTCCTGTGCCAGGAAATTGTGACAAGCGACACCGCGCAACTGCCTGGACAGACGAACCTCCAGGTAATCAGCATTATCCATTGAGAGGCCAACACTTGCCTTGGACAAACATGGAAATTGCAAAACAAGTTCAAAATTGCGCATACAAATGCTCTGGTGAGACGCCCGCCTGTGCGATTGCTCGAGCAAGGGCTTCGTCAGCCGCTTCATGCATGGATGTCGGCTCTTCTTGCGACCTCTCAAGTCAAACTCGGCGTGTGATATGTTCTGAGTCACTCAGAAGGTACTTTGGGAAGCAGCACAAATTTTGCTAAACATATGCGCAATGTAGTAGGCCCGGACCCTTGAAATCGACGAAACGCCCCAAAGCCCCCCAACCATGTTCAGTCGCATCGTTGTACCAGCCTGTTAAGCATTTTAGAGCTGTCCGTGCGATGTTGGCCACTTGGCTTTTGGCCTGGCCTAAGGTCTTGAAAGCCGTTGAAGCTGATGTTATCACCATGTACCACCCCAACGCACCACCATTTTGGAGGCTTCTTTGCTGAGAGCCCCGGGAAGGGAGGCACGGGGCCGGAAAGCTCGGATCCCACCGGTGGAGACCTGGCCTGAGTTAGCAACCTGTTGCTTTGGGAATGCTTTGGAGCTTGGCACAAACTCTGGGAAGCAAATACTCTGGGAGAAGCTGAAGAAGTCCCAACACGTGCTTTCACACCCAGCGCATGTGACCAGACTCCATACTTGAGTTACTTGCACAAACTTGCATGCGATGACATGGCGCACGTCCGACGACTGGCGCCAGATTTCGGGCTGGACGATGGCCGTGCCGACCTGCATAGTGTAGTACACAATGCGCTCCGTACACAGCACTTCACTGTGCTACCTGAAGCGATGCCACATTCTCGCTTGCAAATCATGCTTAGGCGTTCAGGGGTTCAGGTTTTAGATGAGTTTGCTGTTAAGATGAGCTTTTTTAGACATCCACATCAAGCGTTCCATCCTCTTCAGTGGCCTGCTGCTTGTGGCAGGCTGAAAGCCATCGACCCGTCCTTGCCATGAGATGAAACCTGATGTCACAGACATGCAAACGAAACACAGGACAAGGCAAAGTCCTGCCAATTGGTCTTCGGCAACTTCAGCCTGGAGTCCGGATGCATCCATGGACTGCAGTAATCGCTTTGATGGCATAGCGGCATATCTCTTTCCTCAAGGTTCTCGTCGATGTCAGCCAAATCTGCGGGAACCTGGCAATCACTGTAGCCTATTTCGCTGATAGTCAGCCAAGTGCATGCACGGAGATGATGTGCCATGCATAGCAGGACATCAACAGCAAAGCTGCAGCACGATTTCTGCTTTCCGCGTCGAACAAAATCAGGTCAGGGCGTTGCGAACAACGTAGACCGCAGCTGCTCCACACGCAAAGAGGCCGATTGGTGGAAGCGCCATAAGTCTCTTCAAGTGGGTTGTGCTGAACTTCCGCTGCCAGAGTAGCAAGGCCACTGCAAGTAAAGCCGCAAAGAGCTCGAGGCGGCGACGAGGCTGTCGAGCGTCGTCCAGCGAATTGTTCGTGGATCCGCGGCTTTGTGCATTGTGGGCATGGTGGTCATGGCGATCTCTACTAGCTCTTGCTGGCTGCTCAGGGCGGGGCTGAGGTCTCTCCTTCTCCAGTGGGGGCAATGGCTTTGGAAAGTCGGCCAGACTCTCCTGTCCATCTAGCATGCATTCATTCAGCACTGCGGCTGTCCGGGTGCGAACATGCAGGCCGCATGTCGCGCCGCCACATTCTGTAAGTTCGCAGGTATGCACCTGAAAATCGTGTAAAGGTTTACTATTTGGGGGTGCAGGGGGTACAGAGACCAAGAAGTCCAGGCGGATGACATGCGGCTCGTGCCCTCGGAGCTTGAAGTGCTCCAGCCAAGTGTGCGCTGTCCGACGCACATCCTCCTCGATTCTCTCCACAACTTGCCTTTCACGAAACTGTTGGCACTTGGCAACGGTAAAATGCTGGCAGAGGGCTAAATACGATCTATGCACCGACTTGGTTGCAAGTTGCACTTTACAAGCCATGCCTGTCCCCAGAAAACTTTTGCATCGCAAGCTCGTCTCTTGTCCACGTTTTATGGCTGGCCAGCGCGAAAGACGAATCCCATTCCTTGGCCACTGGCACGTTTACGAGGACCTGGGTGAAAAGGGAAATAATGAACCAACCCAACACGTTGCTGAAAGGTGGACAGGCTCGCCGTGCTGCGGCGGCTTCAGCTGCATTCTGAGCAACTCTGTTGCATAGGAGCCGGTAGCTAAGTCCCTGCAGCAGAAGGCACGCAGCTCACAGCGGACTCCTTCGACACGCTCCTGTCCATGTCAAGGTCTGTCGCACAGATTGGGAAATGTAATTGCTGTTCGCGGTTCGCCCCCCTCTCAGGGCATACCCCCGCCCTCCCTCCCCTAAACCCTAACCGTAACCCCCAACCTTACCCCCTAAGCCTTACACCCTAAACCCGAAACCCCAACCCTCCAACCACAGGGGGCGGGGGCGGGAGGAGGCCGAAACAAACCTCCGCACCGTGTGACAGCTTAGAAACCCTAAACCCTAAACCCCAAGCCCCCAACCACAGGGGGTGGGGGCCGAAACAAACCTTAACCCCCAAACCTACGCACCGTGTGACAGCTTAGAAACCCTACACTTGGAACCCTAAAGCCTCACCTCAACCCCCAACCTCCCCAACCACGGAAGGGGGGTTCCATGGGGGGGGTGGGGGGAGTTTACTCCCTGTCATTTTTGGGCAGATGGCGCACCCGGAAACAACAATTGGAGAGGTCAATCCGAAAGGCGGAGCACAGGCAAGCAGAAGGTGAAGAGAAGAAAGTAACACACGGGCAGGCACTTGGCAGCAGAGGATATGCAGGGCCAACAAAGTCTCGTTCTCAACGCTGATCAGGTCACGCTGCCTGCACCAGGCACTGTGCGTGGTCCGGCGCTCCATCAAGCAGCTTTTCCAAAGCTCGCTGGAGGCTTTCCTGCGCAGTCAACATGAGGCCGTGTGGACGGCTCCCGCTTGCGGAAGCCGTATGTCATATGTCAGACTGAGTCACGCTCAACCCTTGCAGGTGCCTCACCGATGAAGGGCAGGACCGCAGCGCCCATCCAGGAATAACCAAGCTTGGCAACCCCTCGGTAGTGCTCCTGCGAACACGATACACAGAACCACCCGGACGCACACGGAACCACCCGGAACTACACGGAATTACAGAGATACACAGAGGGACTGTTCTGATTTCTGCTCTCGACTTATGCTCAGCTCATTGGTCCGGCGGCAACGGCGTCCCATCCCTGTCTCTGCTGAGCTGCTGTAGTGCTGCGATCGCAGCAGAGGCGACAGCTTTGGCTCCTGAGGCCTTCAGCGACTCCTTGGAGACAGAAGTGGTAGGGGGAATTCTCAGCTCCAGGTTGGAGCACTCACGGGGTGCCCACTGCTTGCTTACGAGATCTTCATAGAGGGTCCATGGATGCGGCCAACAAGTCTTCACGCCAAGACCGTCCAGGCCAGTCACAAGGCTCTTCAAGGCACTAGCATCAACGTGGCCAGGCTCATTCAGACCCTTCTTAAGAGCCGGCCAAAGGAAGAAGAAAGCGGCTTTCCTCGATCCTCGCAGGCTTGAGGCAAGAAGCTCTTGCGGCACAGCATCTAAATGGCTTTTTGTTTTTGCGAAGATGGAAATGACCTCATAGGCACCGCGGCTACCGAATGCTTCCTTGCAAGATGCCTCTCCATAAAGCACGTCGCGTATCAACCCCTCGTTCAAAACATTGTGCGACCTCGAGCCGGTGGTCCTGGTCCAATAGTCCTTCCAGCGGACTACGACCAGGGAAAGCTGAATCTTCACAGGAGCTGAGCTTCTCAAGCAAATCAAACTTGGCTGAATTTTCCACATCATTCCGCTCACTGGCTTTTCCTCTCTGTAAGCATCCTCAAAGAAGCCATGGAGTTTCACCAGAACTCCATCTCCGGAATTGCTCTTTGGATCATAATCCTCAGCCACTGTTGCGGGTATCCATCCCTGCGACACCCCAATGACAGGAGGATCTGGATCTGAATCGGCAGGGCCATCTCTGGGCATCTCCAGCATTTTCACGTAGCGATACCCGAACGGATGGTCGTTCATGTCATAGTAAGCCCGAACAGCTGTACCAGCTTGTAGGCAGGCCCCAGCTTCCATGGCACTCGGGTCCACACACAGAGGCTCTTAGCAGGAGAGGCAACTGCTGCTCGGAGCACTTCACCTATGGGCCTAGGAGCCGCTTCGGCATTCGCTTCGGCATTCGTTCTCCCCTTCCCAATTGCTGCTGGTTGTCGGTCTAGGAGTCTGGCATCTAGCCGATCTAGCCAAGCTGTCACTACACACATCACGTCAAACAGTGCAACGGCACATCTAACAGCCGAGTCAAATAGTGGCAAAGGGGCTTGACGCCGCATTCGCTGTCCTAGTGAGGACTTGCTGACCGCCGCCTGGAATGCGCAGGAATATGCAGGAACCAACTGGAACCAACTGGAACCAACTGGAACCAACTGTCGTGTTCCGTTCCTGTGCTATGCGCATGTACCTCGTGAACTGAATGGGATGATGTGTGCCCTGTGAGTGTTCTGGCTTTAGTAGGGGAACGAGGTGATGCAATTGTGCTGGTCTCCATCAGACATTAAAGCTCGAAGTTTGAGAGAGTGGTGCTCGGAATCCTCTGGAAGGCTTATCGAAAGCCGAGATGCAATTCGATTCGACTGAGCGTGGGGCTCAATTAGGGCTTTAGGCTTTTGGGGGATTCAGAGGGTTTTGGGGGTCTCTCACGGTCGCGAAGAGGCCGAAGAGCCAAGAGAGCCCAACAGGAGGAGGAAGAAGACGAAGAAACAGTACCCAAAACAGGCTGGCTGCTAAGTCGAGGGCTCCGATTTGCTGGCTCTCCCACTTCCCCCCTACCTGAATAACCGACCTGGCCCCTAGTTCCGAGCGGGAAGTGGCAGGAAGCACTCAAAAAGTCATGAGGAACTTCGATGCGCAGGGCCACCACACAACCCCAAAGGAGTTGTGAGTTTTGACCCGAGGGGGTTCCTGGTGGCATGCGCATGAGGATTTTGAGGGTTTGGGAGTTTCTTCCTTCTTTTTGGGCTGGGTTGGGCTTGGGTTGTCCGAGGCTCGCCGAGGAAGCGTCGACCCGAACCTTCAATTCTTGAACCAGCAACCTACCCTTCACCCATAAACCCTAAGAGGTCTGCAAACATGGTAGCGATGGGAGAAGTTCTTGAGCCTTGAAATGGCCCCGCACACGCCATGACGGATGAGGAGAGAAGCGACAGCGAGAACAAGAAGTTGTCGGGGGAGGGAGACTTGAGAGGCTGCTCACAGTTCCTGGTACCGTCGCTGTGATGCACTGTGAACGAAACTTTCTGGCTGTTCACAACTGCGGTCTTGGGGCTCCCGCCTAGGACCTAGGCGAAACGATCATCAAAGTCAACAAAAAATAAAGGCAGGTTTTGTGACCCGCGGCTCCTGTTCGGGCAAACCTGCTCTGCGTTAAACCCCAAATTCACTCGCGTGTCTACTTTCGATTGGATGATTGATGACAAACGCAGGGTACACGAAAGCATTTTGAAGACGAAAGACAAATAGAAGGAGGATGAGCACAGAGAATGTCTTCGCGCATGATTCCAACATATTTGTGAAGAAAGCCACGAGGGCAACGGCACCGACGTCAAAGCTGAAATACACCCGCTACATCTCGCCTGGGGCGGGCAGCTTGACTTCGACTGACCTCTTGAGACGAGGGCGTAACAGGCAATCTGAAAATGCGAACCTTCAACTCTTGGTCAGGGCTACAAAGGCCGTGCTACCACAGCAGTGGACCGGCAGCATGCCTCCAATGGAGTCCACCTGGGCACAATAGTACAATGGCAAAGAGAAAGCAAACAAGCATGAGAAGATGCAACTGAAACACTCGAAGGATGGCACCAGAAATAAAAGGACAAACTCCTTTTCGAAATTCACCCTTCGCCCTTCGGCTGCGCAACTAGTCCTAAGCCCCAAGCTAAATGTGGCAACAGGTTACCAGCTGCCACATTGCGAGCTCAATGCATCACATTGCATCACTCTTCTCAAAAGAGTTCTGCCTTGCACGGTTAAATCCGACCTATTGCTCGAGCCGTAGCTCAGCACCTACAGTGGCACGTGGATACGAACGACATGGAAGGAACATCAAGCGACGTCAAACGGCACTACGCACCGAAAATCACCGGAACATGCCAACCCAGAGGGAATCTCTCAATCCTCGACGTGCCTGCTAAATCTGTACAGACTTCAACCGGCTGTAACCGGCGCATTCTGCGCCGTGGCCGTCTAAAAGTCATGCTTGCTCAGGGCTCAGTGCAAAGGAACCACCAGAATAGTGCTACTACCTGCATCTACCTGTGTTGTATCATGTTGCTTCTCAATGGTTCCCTGCACTCTGAGACCCACATCATTAGACTTCGCCAGTCTTTTTCAAGCCGCTTCTGCGGCAAGAAGATCAGGATCAAATGCTGAATTCATCAACGGGGCGCTGTCAACCCTTCCTCAGACCAGACTGAACCTGCGGGCATGAGTTTGTGATGTCACAAATTCACCGAACCTGCTTTCGTTGGAGCTGGGATCTATCTCAAGCTCACACCTATGGCTCTGGTGAGGCCTTTCGGAGGGTGCTGATGGATCATACCTTGCACGAAGTCAGCAGGGCTTCAAGTGCAGCGGGCAGCCAGGCACAACGCGCGGGGGGCTTTCCAAGCTGTGAAACTGCGGACTGAGTGATGCGCCAGGACGTCTGGCTTGCAACCGGGGCTTCTGAATCCTTCCGAGAGTATAGTTGTGCACACGTCTTCAGCTGTACTAACTTCCAAAACCCAACTTCCAGAAACTTGTATCTGATTTGTTGCCTCACATGTTCAAGGCTTCAGCATACATTGAATCACTGTGAACTTCATGAATATGTGACTTCGAAAGGCCACATCAGGCACACCGTGCTCGTGTCCTGTCTCTCCTCGAAGAATGCACGCTTCTCAGCCGCCTGAGTGCTGCATGTGCTGCGGATGCTGTGGGAGACAGAGGCTCAGAGAGAAGGAGGATACCCATCTTTGCGCACTGAGAGGTCTGCCGTGAAGGCCCTTCCACCAGGGGCCGGAGATGTGAACCACCATGCGTCCTGTCATCACAAGGGATGGCGGCTGAGTAGTGGCCACTGTCTGCCACCGTAGAATGCAGATGCGAAGATCATCTAAGCTCTATGCCTCACCAAACTCGGCCACGCGAGTCAGCTGATCTGGGCTTCAAAAAGAGCAGACAAACCACAGAGCAAGGCCATCAAAAGGCCCCTCTACAGACTCTACAGCCAAGCCATGCCAAGCCACCAAAAAACATTTTCGGGGGTGAAGTTCGATCCATGTCGTCGCCCACGGCATTCTCCGCCTACCAAACTTCGGTGCTCGAACGTTCGGCGCACTAATTGCGAATACAAGCTGAGGCAATGGCTATGGAGCACTTCAAGCAAGGATTGTAGGTTGGGTCGCCTGGCAAGACGTTCGAGCTCATGAGTCAGACTATGACGATCAGTCAGCACCTTGTCTGCTCCATGCAAACTCCTCCTCGTCCGTCACGGTGCTGACCACGCGCGCGTGCCGACCCAACTGCGCGGTGCAACGAACATGCCCAAGACAAACTGTTCATTCGAAAGCTGAGTCGCGAATCATCGGTATGGTCCAGGTATCATTTTCGACAACGGCTTTGCGACTTTCAGTGAGAAACAGAATGTGCAAGGACAACAGCTGCTTTGGGGAACGTGAGACTGGGCACTGTGGCCAGCTTCCCACAAGAAAGGGCTACTTTTTGGCAAGCTAAATCCATCGGTCCGCAGGCCGTCAGTAGCATGAAGCCGGGATTTTGCAGATCTCAGCTGGATCGGTTAAATTCGGTTCATTGCAGCGGCATGGCAAGGTCAAATTTGGATTGTGGACAAACTCATCGCTCATCGCTAAGCAAATCACGAAAACACAAGTGTTTAATGTTGTTTAATGGCGCCAAGGCTCCGAGCAGGCTTGGCAACAACCGCACGTCTTTGGGCACAATTTTGCAATGTCGGGACGATCACAATGCAGGCCGTACTGCTTCCTGGAAGCAGATGAACGATCGGAGCTCAGGCCCACAGAGAGACACATGCCCCATCATGCCTCCCATAGTTGAACTCTTTCCACAACAACACTCTTCCCACGTTCTACAAACCTTAGCCAGTCTGTGCACGTTAGAGCTGTTCGAACTGGGTTTCTTACAGCCCTTGCAAGACTATCAAGACCCTCTGGGCCAAAGGGATCCCACGTCAAGTTCACAAATGTTGTGCCTTCAAACCCGCATAGGAGTCATGCCGTACCGTCTGAGCCAAATCGCCACTCCTGTTCTGCTTTCGGTATGACAATTACGCAGCCAAGTTGCCAGGGATCCGTACATTCAAGTGGATCGCGCCGCATGTCCGGGCAATACGTCGTGCAGGTCGGGCAACCACCCACATCATTTGCTGCGCCTGCATGCCAAAGGCGGGTACACTGACGGCTCTCAATTTGGACAAAGCTGCTACCTCTTGATTGCAACATATTGCAACAGTTTCTCGACCCAGGCTCCAGTTCAGAAAAACAACACGAGTAATGTTGAACAGTACATTTCTATTTCGAGCGCTGTTCCCCCGAAACTAGACAGTCTGGCAACGAGAGGATCGCTCCAACCCTCGCTCCAGGGTATTTGGAGGTGGGCACTCCAGGAATCATCCATCTGGGGGAGGACGAGGAGAGCACGTCAGGTTAGCATTCAGCAACTCCAAATCAGGGGTGGGGAACACTTCCAAGAGCGCTGGGCACTCAATTCATCATCTGCGCGGATCTTTTTGGGGGACCTTCACTCCGCAGATCATCTGGTGGGCACTTCGGGGATCATTAGATGGTGGGCATGTGGGGGTTCCTTTGCAGGGATTATCTGGGCACATGGATCAGGAGCTTCAGAGATCATCCGCGAGACAAAGGGAGGAGAATATCTCAGTTTGAACTCCAACCAGCCCACTGCGGGTGTGGGAACATGTGCCTTTAGCACGTCAAGACAGTTCAGCATCAAACCACATCAGCACAACATGAAGACACGCTGCAACGCCTTCTTTCGTGTCGTTCACAGCGTTCGTACCAGCCTCGTCAACGACGAGCCAGATTGAACACCCACAGGACATCCACAACATGAGCAAGCATTCTCAGCATCACGTTCTTTATGAACATTATAAGCATACATGTTGATCTGTCAATGCCGGAGGTCCGTCCCTAGATATGCTGAGATGATGTCATGCTACTGGAAAAGACTTCATCTCTTCTGCTCGCCATGAAACTCAGCAAAAACAGCACACGCAACAGAGACTGGGAGGCAAGGCGACTTGCAGCAGCAAAGTGGAGCAGCTTCCCTCCTGCTGCCCGGCAAGCGCCAGGATGTTTACAGACCACGGTACAACGCATGCTGCAATTTCAGTCTTCAAGCGTTTCAAGCGATGCTGTCCTGGCAAGCGTCATCCGCAGGCAAAGCCTCCTGCACGTCGGAAACCAGGTGACTGTCAGCAACGGCATCGATTGCCATGGCCACACCCACCCTGAGAACAAGCAAAGCCAAGAGAGACATCTTTCTCTCGCACCTTGGCAGCGGCAATGATGCAGCATGACCCGTCATGACACATGTCGTGAACCCATATTCAGGAGGGCGGCGTGCGCAAAGCCTTTTGATAACCCAGTGAGTGCCAGTACTAGTACTGATTCCAAGACCTCTGAATTCTCCCGAAGCCCCATCTTAGGGCCAACTTGATAGCCCCTTAAAGACTACAGTTTGAAGCAACTCTGATGGCAATAATGGTGATGATGGATGATGGTGGTGCAAAGCAACATTGTTCAGATGGCGATGGCAATGTCAGACATGTTCAGATGCATAAACCATATGATGGAACAATCCGCCGAGGCCTCGGGCAGTAGGTGTCTGTGTAGCACAAAGCAGGCACCCCACCTCTCTAAAAGACTTGACTTTGCGTCCACGCTAAGCCCTCATCGTCCTCACCTTCGAAATCCAAGGGGAGGACGAAGCCCCCTTCGAAGCCTGCAAAACCCGCCCCCTTCGTCCTCCCTTCGCGTGACGTCGGGAATGAGGTTTTGCTGGAGGGAGGGCGAACCCCCCAAAGGATTTTGAAAACACTCATTTTCCAAAGAGGACTGTCATCGTTACATCCGCAAGAACGGAGCATGCTATGGCCCCCATGCTCCCCCGGATCCACACTCTGCCCGGGCACCGTCCAGCAATGAAAAAATATGTGGCAAACCTAACCTCCCCCCCACCCCCCCCCCACCCACACCCCCCCCCCACCCACACCCCCCGCCACCACCCCCTCCACCCACCCCCCCCCTACTGCCTCGTTGCGGAAGCTCAGGCCGAGGCGGGTCGCGTAGCGTTAAAATTAGGAAACATGATTTGAATGTTGTCAAGCAAACTGGCGCATCAACAGGAAACAACCATTCATTTTTTCGAAAATAGGTGTGTTCATACGACATACTGTGCCAAAGGCATGTGCATTGATGTGTATCTCATTGTGTAGGTAGAGGTATACACATAAAAAAAAAAATATATATATATATATAGATATTTATACAATGCTGCAGGTCGTGGCTTTGCTCCGAAAATTGATGCCTGGACACTTCAAGGCCAACATCACAGACGCGATCGGGTGCTTGGGCTTGAGCACTACGCTGCGGTATGCAAACCACACAGTCAACGCGCACACACACACACACACACACAGAGACACAATTCTTATTTGTCATGAGCCCTGAAGAGCTTGCGACAGAGAATGTGGCAAGCACGACTGCAGAATGAGTGAAAATAGTTCACATGCGCTGCACGGCGGCAGGAACCTCATCCAGAGCAAAATCGATATAGTCGCGCAAACCATGCCTGGCTTGAGACTCTACCGAAAAAGGGGCAGTCACGCAGATGTAGATGCTGCAGTCCTGTGGGAACCTTCGCCCATTCAAACTTGCAGGCCAGGCTGAAGAATATGCAACGTGGCTCGCTCCGATGGTTGCAGACTCTCGGCCACCTCACCATCTTCCACCACCTTGCAGGAAGTGGGGCAATTTGAGACCCTTTAAATAGGGATAAATAGGGAGAGCCAGAGAGGGAGCTCAAGGTGCAGATCACGAGAGCTGGGGATGCCTTTTGCAAGATTGCCAGCTCCTTGTCCTGAGCCATGGCGCGCAGGCAACTCAGGCAACTCAGGCAACTCAGGCAACGCAGGCAACGCAGGCAACGCAGGCAACGCAGGCAACGCAGCACCAGGCACCGATGAATCACAATGTTGCTGGGATGCCCATGATTCCCTGTGTCCAAGGCTCTCCATGACGATTCTTGTTTTCGTCAAAAACCCCGTATCGAGCTTCATACTCCTGCAAGGAAGAAAGAAAGGGATGAAAGGGATGAAAGAGCATGTCCGGCGCTTGTCAGAAGAAACCGTCCGGGCCGACCCGCTCGGAGGGATAAGAGGCTTCAGGGTGAGATATCAGCGATGTCCATAGTGGAGAAACAAGGGAGAGGAGCATTGTTTCCTTGAGCTTGAACTTCAGTGCTTCAATGATCGATACTCCATTCCATTTCTTCTGCCTCGGCGTGCAGCTTAGGCTTAGAGCTGATCAGAAAGCGATGTGCCTGTGCATGAAAGCGACTGAACAACTGCCCTCGGACACAGAAGCCGCAGATGTAGGGAGCAAGCAGACGCTTCACTAGCTCCTGGCCAAGGCTCTCGGCACAGAACATCCTAGAATCCCAAGGAATGCCCTGCTCAGGGCCTCGGAGTCTCCGATGTGTGCGCCGAACTGCTTCGGAGCCTGATCCTTCCTGAAAGACATGAAAGGCATGAAAGGCATGAAAGGCATGAAAGGCATGAAAGGCATGAAAGGCCAAAACACCAATAGCAGACCAATACTTCACACACTGCGGCCCCATGAAGCTTCCAATCAAATCACATGAGCTCCCCCACACTTGCGCCCGGGGAGCTCAGGGTTTAGGGTCTAGAGTCAAGAGTTGAGGATTCAGGGTTTAGGCAACCCCAAACCCTAAGACCTGGAGAGCGATCCCGAACCGATATTGACAAAGCCCTTAGCCATTTGGGAGTCTCCATTGTAGGGATACGGCCGCTGGACCTTTCTTTGCAAGCCCAGTCCTGTTGCCCGCCCTTGCACACCCATCGACCCAGCCGAGTCCTCTTGCGGCCCCCCCCTGCACACCCATCGACCGAGCCTGAAAGCCCCTGCATTTCTCGAAAAGTCCCTCTTCCAAGCCTTCAGCCGATTCTACTCAAAAAGGGGTCCGAGTGGCCTGTCCCCCGTTTCCCAGCATTAGGTGGGGACTACGGATTAGCCTCAAAAAATGCATGCCTGGATGGCCCCAGATAGATCAACAACTCAGGGTAGTACATATAACATGCTGACACACGCAAGGACTCCACATGGTAGAATGCTCAGGTGTTGAGTATCTGGGTGGATTGTTCCGAGCCGCACTGTGGATCCCTGCGTGGAAAATCCGCGTCTCGCCATCCTCAACACTACAACACAAGGAATGCGATCGGGCAAAGCGTGACGTGCATTCAGTCCCGGCAGGCCTTGTCAGATGGAGACACGGAAAGAGTGACGCTAAGAGCCAAACTTGCGAAGGCAAATATGATGAAAACATATCGTCCACATCAACAGACTTCAGTCCTGTGCCACATGGACGTATGCTTGAGATCAGTACTTCTGGTGGCAACTCTGTGGCACGTGGTCGGGATGCAGAGGCCATGGTGAAGACACCTGTGACAAAACGACGCCATGCAGCCACTGGCAAGAGCCTTTCCTGCCTTTCCTGCCTTGAATCCCTTGAAGCTCTTCTGCATCATCTTGGCTGGCAGTGGGAGCTGCGTATTGACGCGAGGCCTTCCGTACAAAACTCTGGTCGGCTGCCAGTCGCTGGTGCGCCACTAATCACTAGAGACACCACCTCAATGAACCGGGAAAGTATGAGGCATGTGTATGCCGCAACACAACATGTTATCCTTTTCCTCGCAGCTTCCATGTCACAAAGCATCAGGATCCAAGTAGGCATGAACCCACCAATTGCCATTCATGGGGCGGCGAGGCGAAAGCCAATCTGTGCCAAGAGATGGAGCGGTGATGCCCGCGCCCACGTTGTGCAGCACCTGGCACCAATTGGCACCGACTACGAACAATGAAGCCCATGACCTCGACGGAGTAGCGGCGCGATGGCGCAGATGTCCAGGATCTTGAAGGTGGGGATCTTGCTATAGATGGCTTCTTCGGGCAGCCCATGCTTCACAGGAAAAGCATCCCCAAAGGAACCGTCTCATCTGCGCCCAGCTGGCGTCCTTCCTGGAGAGAGCGAGTGCAGAAAATACTCCGTGCGGTGTGCGCAGCCACCAGCACAAATGGACTTGCTGATAGGGATATGATCCGAGACAAGCAATTGAAAGAGGAATCGTATTGAGCATGTTTGGCATCACAGCCAAAAAATGGAGCGAAATGGTTGAGTTGTGTCACAAGTTACAAGCCTTTATGGAGAGATGCTCGACTCTTGCATTGCTTCTCATTCGATTCTCGCGTTCCGATAAACGAAAAGCAAAGTTTGCTGGACTTCCTTCGAGCTTCGAGGGGTACTTCGTTGGCCTCTCCTGCCATTGAGCAAACTGAGCACACAAGGGTACTGCGATAATGTCTATTACGGGGCTTTTTGCAGAACATCCCGACCTTGGACACTGCTTGAGTCGCAAACAGCACTGGAAGAAGAAGACGTGCTTGTGGAATGGCCAGTTCCAACAGCCGACTCCCTGAAAAGTTCCGAGATGGGCCAGGGCAGCAGCAAGTCTGTATAATCAGCGGTGACGGACTCCTGTTCTATGAAATCATGATCCCCCAAACTGCAGCCGCACAGCGCTTCCACTGCGCCGCATCGATAGCAGAAGCGACCTGAAAGCGTTTGCTCGCACCCGATTTGCTGAACCCCCCCCCCCCCGCCCCAAACCGACAACCAAGAACCCCATCAGCAGCATCACAGGTTCACTGGATGCGTGCCTGCCCAAGACTAACGCGTCAAGAACTCACTGCCTCCACATCGACAGGTCATCTTGTCACATCCAGTGAGCCAACCTGGCTCTTGTTTCTGAATCCACACCCCACATGCGGGACACCGTTTATACCCAAGCTCCTGCATCATCCTCACCTCCTGGAAGAGGTCAGGGTCGGTGTTTACGCCTTTGGCGTTTGTCTCTGGCCCAGGACACTCCCGCAATTCACGCCACAGGCTATGCATCCGTAGCCAGACTCGGCATGAGCGGGGAGAGAGATTCTCATGAACTTCGCGGACAGAGAGTGGCCGTAGGCAAAACGGACAAGTGCAAGGGAACTTGCCTTCTTCAGCCTGGATGATCAAGTACTTCGACAAGCATGCACGGTGCACTGGAGGGCATGCATTCCCAGCTTCGCCATCCTCGGGTCCTTCAAGACTTTCCCGCTCACAGGGCTCGAGGGCTGCCCCATCCACGTTGCCGATGGCACCGTAGCAAATCATGCAGAGGCCTTCATCCATGGCTTCGCGGTGGTTCCCTTTGGGGGCGTTCTATTGCATTCTGCTGCAGGGTTGATGGAGCCTCGGCTTGCAACTCTCGGCGAAGCAGCTGCTCGGATTCTCCACGTTATGCTTCCAACTCATGTAAGCACCCACCCACCACAATCGTCCCTCTTGAAGTTACACTCTCATACGCAAGATAGAACAAGATGATTCTTCCTTTTCCGGAGCACGATGTCGTTAGGATTGTGGAACTGTTTTTTATTCGCAAGCTCCCTACCCGACTTCCAAGAATTGCCTCACCGTCCTCCACTTAGTTATGCTTAGTTATACTTAGTTATACTTTCGTCATACTTTAGCCATACTTAGTTCCTCAATTTGGTCAAAACCTGGATCTCATGCCTTTGCTGTAACGTGTCGTAGTTTCTATCGCCGAGATTGGTAAGAAAACCCCGGTCTGCAGAGGTCTCGGCATTTGCCGAATCGTGCTTCTCTCTCCTGTTCCCCTGACGCCTTTGTATGAAGCGTGACAGTTCTGACTCAGGCTGTGCCTCCTTCACGCCAAAGGAGATTCCACCTTTCAGAAGCCATTGGGCCACACCAACGCATGCCTCACTAGCCTGGCCTGTCTCCGCAACGTGCACCACAGCAGGCGGGAGATTCTTGTGTTCCGCAGGCCTGAGGCTGACACAGCTGACACACCACCGGAAGATCTGGGCAAAGCACTCGTCCAATTTGTGTTTCAGGTGCATATGGAGACACTAAAGACTGAGCGCACTACACCGTTTCACGATATCCTCCTTGGAGTTTGAAGGCAGGTGCTGCAGGTGGCGGGCCTCCGGAGCGGCACAAAGTATCTAAAGATCCGGCAGCTCAGAAGCACAGCTCACGCACAGACTGAAACCAGTCTCCAGGGCCGGCCCTGGATGACGCAACAAAGCTCAAGCCAACATTGGCCAACATGTTTGCCAATCCTTGCGTATTGCCACTTGTAGGCCCGACAGTGAGTCTTAAACTTGTCTTGGCTGCGTGGGCCTGGCTCTTTCTGTCGCTGGGACCTCAACGCTTCAAGGGGCACAAGGTGGCACAAGACGTGCGAAGATGTAGACATGTGCAAGGGTGAACTTGCAACGCATTACGCAGGTGCACAGAAGCTCACGTGACTCGTTGAACCACCACGGCAAACAGGCCACGCGCGAGACCAGCCGCAAAACGAAGGACTAACGGCACAGCAACGAAACCAATGACAAGCACCAGCAACGTTCAATTGGCTCTCCAGGAGGGAGCCACCAAATCAGCTCTCCAATGGGTGTCTGAAGTTCACGTTGATGCATGTTGATGCTGAAGCCAGCATACATGAAGGCCAAACACCACTCTAAGCTACTGGCAGTAGCTCATCCATAAGCGCTGTATCTCCTGGACAGCAGTCGCAAGCGCTGCTGTGAGGACTGGTGTGCGTGCAACCGTGCAGCTGCTCACAGAGACAGTTCAACAAAAAAGCAATGCACGGCAACCCCCTACTTCTTGAAGGACTGTGTCATGCTATGCTCAGTCCGGCGCCTCTTCTCTCCGCCACTCGCTCAGCAGCTCGGGCCCCGGCCACACGTGCCTGTTGCAGGGGAGCATTGCATAGCGCAATTCTCAGGGTTGAGCTGCACCCACAGAATGGAACAGAATGGGTTCCTGCAGGTTTCCATGGGCCCTTGATGGGTTTTTCATGGGCTGCCTGCATTGCTGCCAGGACAGCATCTGATGGCTCATAGGTGCCGAAGGAAGTCTCCATGGCAGCCACAATGAAATAAAATGCTTTTGGAAAGAATGAGAGCTATTGAGAGCGACTCCGGCATTTTGCCACCGAAAACAAGGGTGTACTTGCCTTGTTGTTGAGTACTTTAGCGGCTTTAGCGTTTCACCAAAGAGTCTGGATGTGAAGAAGCCTTGGTCTTGCCGGGTCGGGGCTGCAATTCGAACATGCACCCATGATGCCCATGTCTCTCTTGAAAGAAGCAGCTGATGGGGAGCACAGGCCTCCCAAAACCCTCCATTCGCTGACATGCAATGCAAAATGGTGCCATTGCAACCTATTCTTGTCATGGCACTATTCGCGAAAGGATACCTGAAACTCCTGAAGCTAAACGCTGAGATAGACTGGTGGAGGCATTGTAGGCTACACGTAGTGGCTTTTGGAGAACTCTGCGCTTGCAAGGATCGCCTTGCACTCAGGATCCATTAACTCTGAGACAGCAGTTGCTCTTTGGCAATTCTGTGCTGCTCGGGCCTACTCAGCCAACACGAAACTCAAACCGCTATCTGCAAAACGTAACGCCCGCCACACTGCACCGATGTGCACCGGGACGGGGGTAGTGATGTTGTGCTGAGCAGGGGCTCATTAACGGCGCTGCTGCGATGCCGCAAATTCTGCGGCGCGACGAAGCATGGCTTGCCTCTCCAACAAGACACATGGAACAAGTTGGAACAAGCCATGCATTTGCCATGCCTGATCACCTCAAGCCTTCATTAAAGAGCAGTGGACGCAGTGGCCTTTGCAAACTCATCTGCGCACTTCGAGGATCTGCCTCCATGCAAGTTTGTGGCCAACATGGGAGAGCCGAAAAGAATGTGTCGAAACAGCGTAGGAGCTGGCGCCTGCGAGGCCGCACCAGATCGGTATGGAGCGGCTTGGAGCGGCTCCAGGCTACTGGGTCCAGGCTGTCCCGGATGTCCGGGAAAGCCCGGATGTCCCGGAAAGCCCGGATGTCCGAAGCCTTGGGGAGAAACGCCACTTGGCGTAGCTGGCGTGGCTGGTCCTGAAGGCCCACCAGGCCCTCCACAACTGGCTGGCAGCATTGGATGGGGTGTTGTATGCTCGGGGCTTCGGCCGAATTCATTGAAGTACCCGTCCCCAAAATCGGATGCGGCTGATGCTGCAGTGTCTGCTTGTGCAGGGCTGTAGGGCGACTGCATAAACTGCATTGTGCTGGCTGCCACTTGGGGAACCTGCCCTGTGGGCAGTGCCGGAAGCTGAGATGCCAGTCCAGCGGGCCCACCTGGCAGCGAGTGTGGCTCAACAAAAGCCATGTGTGTGTGTGTGTGCAATGCTGTATTGATGTACACATATATACATATATGTATATATATACATATATATTATATATACCCCATAAGCTTTATATATATATATATGTATCTGTGTGTGTGAGAGAGAGGGTATTTCTTTTTTAAATGCCGTGCAGAGAAGGCCTGCGGGTGAGGCCGGTGCAGGTCCCGGTGCCGGTGGTCCCGGGGGTCCCGGTGGTCCCGCTGGTCCCGCTGGTCCCGGCACCTCTCCTCGAAGGCTTCGCTTCAGAACTCCAAAAGCGAACTCAAACATCGGATGCTTCACGTATCTCTTGTCTGACTCCTGCAAAAAGGTCCCTCATGGCTGCCCCACGAAGGTTTCGCTTCACCATGGCCCTGGACAAGGCATGATTGCAACAGCGGGCAAGTGCCCCAGCATTGAGCACTGTATAGCACTGTACTTTGTTTTATTGGCCTCCACTGAATGTGAAATTATGTCTACTAGAGTCTACTGGAGTCTACTAGTGACTACCATGTCGGCGCCTCTGCTGCTTGTCGAGAATAAGAGCGCGCTTCTGGACTTGGTGCCGGCGACGTGCCTGAAGCGATTTGTTGCAGAGCTTCAGTGCTGAAGCCTTAAGGTGTCGCGGCTCTTGCACGCAGCAAATCGCACACCCATTCGTGCCTGAATCACCATGGCAGCATCATTGCGCCGCTTCTCTTCCATTGCCTTCAAGCGGCGCTCTATCTTGGCCTCGCGACAGCCAAGCTCTTGTGGCAAGGGCAGGGTTCAAGCTGTTGTGGAAAGGCAGGGTTCAGCGGATTCGTCCTTCTCGATTGCTTTTTGCCGCCTTCTTTCCTGTCGCTCTGCTTCAAGTTTGTCTCTGATTTTCTTCCTTGGAGCATTTAAGCAGGCACAGCTTTGCACTCCTGGCATGATGTGCCAAGCAAAATGCGGAATTCTAAGCATGCCCCGCACCCGAAAAAGCTGAAGTCGGGGCATCTCTTCAACGACCCGACGCCTGGCAAGGAATTCAAAAGCGCCACTCTGAGCCTTCAGCTGGCGTTAAACATGGGCCTTGCCAGCTGCAGCCTTCGCGCTGCTTGGATCATCAAGGCGGCCCGGGTCAGCTGGTACTCCTGTCTCACTTACACTGACTTACACTGACTTACACTGACTTACACTGACTTACACTGACTTACACTGACTTACACTGACTGACACTGACTTACACTGACTTGCATTGACTTACACTCACTTACACTCAAGACTATCGAACCTCGCAAACAAACCATGTCTGTGCCATACTACGCCGTCCCCGTAGACTCCAAACAGCGTGCTCCCGGGAGGCTTCATACACCTGCATGGTACGCGCATCACGTTCACATGTTCAACTCCATTTTCTGCTCAACCTTGCGGTCTCTCGTAAGAGGCCGAAAGAACCATGCAGGGGTATAGAAATGTCCGGCCATCGCTTACGACGAATCAGATTGCGGCTCTACACATACATCCACAGAATGATTCATCCGCAGTCCTTTTAAGTTTAAGCATAGTTTCCGAACGCACAACAACAGCCCCAGCCGCAATGTGACCACGGTGTGGGGAACTCTGACCAGCATGCTGGGTCCTGGAACTTTTCGTAGCGCTTCCTGGCATGTTCGACTTCCTGGGCCGAAGCATTGGAAACAAGCATCGACGAATGGATCCGAGCAAAGACTCAAAGTATTCTGCAAAGGTGAGGTGAGCACGCGTCGTCGCTGCTGCCGAATCTTCTCCTCAAGTACACATGCTTGATTTGTGGCAGGCGATCCCAAGTCTTTCTGACATAATCCTACAGTAGCCAACCGTGAAGGCGGATGGGAAACCTGCAAGTCGAAGCTGCAGGAACTTTGCTTGCGCAGGGTCCACCCGGACCCAACCTGCATGTCCTCGACCTACCTTGTTGATCTTGAGACTCGCCATGCGCTCATGGAGCAAACAAGGGCCAGTGTAGAAAAACACGCACACCCAGACACATCAGCATCGACTCTTGGCCGCTTCTTCGTTGATTGGATTGTATTCCAGTATGTCTGACAATCTTTGTTCGGGCAGAAGGTGCCGAAATTGCACGGCCTGGCGAAATATTTGTCTGCCTGCATTGGTAGCTGCTTAAGGTTGGGAGCAATTCCCCAAGGTCGATGACTTGCTGGGAACGAACCTTCGTGCAGACGCCGAAGCTTGACACAGCAAGTTAGCACAACGACACAATGCATCCAAGGTTGCTTCCTTAGCAGCGGCAGAACACTTCCAAAAAACAAATGTGCCAAGTCTTGGACGGTGCCTGCCCCGGGGGGGGAGGGGGCGGTAAGTCACATGTCCTTCCTGACGCCTTCTTGATTTCTCTTGACCTTTTTGGCTAGAGGGTCAAGATGGTCAAGGGGTCCCGGCTGATCGTCTTTGCCGGTGACATCGGGATGCCATGATATTTGAGCGCAGCTTCACCCTTCAAAAACAATCTGCAGCGCAACGATCTGCTAACATGGAAGTGCCCCCCTCCACTAGCGTCTTGACAGACCCGAGCTACACACGTAAAACTAAACTGAGGGACTCAGTGAGCCATTCTTGATCACAACCACAAACCTAGTTCCACTGTTATCCCTGCTTGACTCCGCTGCGACCCAGTTTGGCAGAGATTTGTATGTCACAGCACGGCGTAACGCTTAAAGCTCTCAGGCAAAGCAGTTGACAAACCAACATGAGATGCCCTAGCGCTTCGCCAAGCCCCCTGAGCGTGCTTAAATCCGCACCAGCACAACGACACGGATAAACAGGCCGTTACAGGAATTTAATGTGTTTAGGATGTTGACAAAGGAGTTCCTGGCCTCTTAGGTTTTTCGTTTCGGGTTGAGGCTGAATGTTGCTGGCATGTTCGCATGCTCACACAGCTGGCCAAACAAACATACAGCAGAAAACCACGTCATAGCAGCTATAGTAACCAGTCCCTGAAAGGTCAAACTTCAAAACGCACGTGGACACCACCTGCACGCGCTTTCCCGCAACCCAGTGCTGACGCCCGAAAAGCCCGAAAGGCACAAGGCCAACTGCAGGAGACTTCCGTCCTGCTCGCGAATGCGTTCGAAGTAAGCGTCTTCCTGCTGAGGCTGCTACGTTGCCAACCCCTGGCGTGGTACTGCGTCATGCATCGAGTTCGCAGCCTCCTTCTTTTGCTTCTCACGGTCTTTCCGCCGTTTCTCTTCCCTCTGCTTTTCTTCATCCTGGCGATGCTGCACAGATGCTACGGAACATTGGTTATTGATGAGACCACTGCAAAACGCTTTTTGTGATGACACTGGATTTGAGACGCGCATCCTCCTTCCGCTTGGCCTCCTTGTACCTGCGGTACTCTCGCCTCGCAACGAGCATACTCACGGATCTGCAGCAGTAAGTGCATTGGAAATGTTGCAGTAACTGATGGCGCTTGGCAGGCGCCCTCCACTGCACAACCCTACCAGTTCGGATTCTTACCTTGCCAGCTGTCCCCGACGGACTGCTTGAACCTTTGTAGCAGCAACCTGGCGCAGACATCTGATGATGTTGTCCAGTGACCAAAATTGCAGCAGACACGGTATCGGACTTGGTGGCCTTGCGGCGTTTGATCTTCATCTCGTCTAGCTTCTTCTTGGTGGCCTCAACACCCAGATCTTCTGTGATTATTGTGCAGTCCAACAGACAGTGCCCCCGCTCACTATGACAACCACTACGGCGCGGCCACTACCAATATGCTTCATGATTGCTGGGGGTCTTGCGGCGATTTCTTTGCGCAAAGCTTCCTGCGGAACATCGCACTTACAGGGCGGCCACTTTTTTGCACTTTGGCACCTGCACCATGAAGCCCCGACCTTGCGTTCTGCCTCCTCTTTCTGGATCCGTTGTCTTTTCGCCTCCTGACATTCGAGTCATGGCCGGCACTCAAACGAAAGTGCCATTCCACAGCAAGCTGTCCACTTTTACAGGCGGAAATCTGCAAGTCTTCCCAGTGTCTTCCTTGCTGCCTTGCTTCCAGATCTCCAGGTAAAGTCCAAGCAGCACGGTGCCACACTGTGCCAGCTCAAAGCTCAGATGGCGGTGAGTCCGCGCCCTCAGCTCAGCATAGCTCAGCATAGCTCAGCTGCGGGCTGAGAAGACGAGTCTTATTAGAATAGGGGTCACCTCTCGGCTGCCACACCTCTTGCAGCATCTCACATTGCCCATGCTACGCGCGAACTTCGCCACCCAACCACAATCCTCACAAGTGGCGGGGGTGACCTGCACTCGCACGCCGCTCGGATCCCAGTCCATTGGTATGGCTCGCATGGCACGCCATTCTGTGGACTTGTTCTTCAGCGTTCTCGCCTGCTTCATCACATGCTCCAAGTGGTGCCTCGCTTCGCCTGAGCTTATTCCAGCAGCCTGAGCTAGAGTACCTATGGTGTGAGCGTCCCCGCTCGCCAGAGCACGCCACAAACGAATCCTAGAAGTGATCTGCACCGATGGCGAGGCATCTTGCGAGCTGCCTGCTTTGGCACGAGCGGAGGCGCGGCCTGTGCGAACTGCAACGTGCCGAGAGCCGTGCTGGGAGCCGCAAGGTACCCTCTTCATGGCCAAGAAGACCGCCACGCTCAAACACGTCAGAGAGCTCCGGCCAAACTGTTGGGATGCTGCAGACAGGTTGTGCTGATTGGCTCTCCTCTGAGCCATGAATGGAGAGGTGAGCGCGCAGGTCCGTGCAGCGCTGTGCACACTTTTGCAGAGTGTGCCCGCAGGAAGTTCACTAAATGCCATCTGCAGAATCCGCAGATTTCATGTCCACTATCCTGCCCTGTCCAAGCCAAGCCTGCGCTGCACACTGCACAGAAAAGTGATGAAATCTGATCCTGCAACAGAAACGTTTCCTTGCCAGAAGCTGTCCTCCAGCATTTTCTTTTTCCGCTTCCTTTCTGCCTGTCAAAAGCACAGGACTCCAACTGAGAGGAATTCATGACGGCAGAGCCTCTTCATTCGCGCGCTTCTCCTTAAGCATCTTCCTGGACGCAAGAGCGCAAGACGATCAAACCAAACAAGGCAGTTTAAGATACTCAAAGTCCCGTCAAGCAAGGCTCCAACTTCCACGCCTGAAAGAGAATCTGCACAAGGTGCCACGGATGTAAGCCTAGACGTTCGCATGGTCGCACAAGTCCTCCAAAGCTACAAAAGGCGGCAACTTCAGCGGGCCTGAATTCGGACTGCAGCACGATAAAGACGCTTCTGCTCCATCTCCTGGCAACTGTCCGTTGGAGATTCCAAAGCAGCTAGACGTGATAAGCCTTTGAAAAGCCACAACCACACCATAGACACATATTTCTGCCAGCGTAGACCCCAAACGGTGAAACGGTAAGATCACGACATACAAATTGGGAGCACGATCCTAAGGGGAAGACAGTTCTGCTCTTTGTCGGAAGCAAAGTATTTCCCTTGGCCGCGTTTCTGCGACACGCGATCTGGACCATGGATCGCGTATGGGATCTACCTTCCCGGTGATCCTCGTGTGTCCACACTGCTAGGAGAATCACAAGACCCCTGCATGAACATGTGAGAAGCAAACCAAGCGGTGCCTTTAACTTCTTGTTGATCCACGCGAGGTCTTTCCTGATGCACCATGATGCACCATGATGCACCATGATGCACCCCCCGGGCCCCACTGGCACAATATGGCACAGAAGGCGTTTAAATTGTTTGCGGTGACGACGTTTGGCTGCAGGCCGAGGATGGCACAGGAGCAGTTCCTTCTTGCGGGCATCTTCTTCCTGTCAAGCTCACAGAACGTCATGATACGTCATCTTTCCTGTCTGTTCGGGGTCTCTCCTGCACTCACCATTTGCTGTGTTTTTGCACTAAAACTCCTGCAGCCATTGCAGCACCCGGTCCTCCTTGCGACGAAGCTCACGGCCTCTTTTGGCTGCATCACGCTCCTGCCGGCGCCTTTGCTTCCTCAAGTCCCAGAGAGGAAGAGCCAAAAGAGATGGTTTAGTAATTTAGGCAACTCTTGGAAGATCTTGGAAGGGTAAGGCTGCGGCTCCTTTTTCTCTTTGCGCCGAGTCATGAAGCCTCGCACAACGGCCTGGATCTTTTCCATGATCTGCTGCCTTTTCCTTTCCTCCAAGTCCTCCCACTTGCTCCGGATGATCTCTCTTTCTCGAATGTAGGCTTTCGCTTTGGCCTCCTTCTCCCGAGCTGCCAAGGCAGCTCGCTGTGCCCGATCTTTCTCGTTCCGTTCGGCCACCTTCCTCTTCTTCTCAAGTTCCCGGAGCCGCAGCTGCTGTCGCCTCTCCAGCTGACCACGCCTCGCCGCCTGGATCTTTCTGGCAGCCTTGTCCTGCCACTTGCGCTCCAAGTCTCGGGCAATGGACTTGGCCAAATCCTCCTGCCGGCGCCGCTCCGCCTCTGCACGACGGCGCTGCTCGATTCGCTCCTCGCGCTTCCTCAAGGCCTTGGCCTCCTGGCGCTGCTGCTCACGGAGCCGCGCTGCCGTCGCACGGGCCTGCTTGATCCGCGCCGTCTCGACACGCACTTTGTAGCCACGCCACACCTTTGCGATTGTCGTCACCGCCTTGGCCTTTCGTCGCTCTGCCATTTCCTTGATCCTTTGCTCAATAGCAATTCGCTCCTTTGCCTTGTCCATCGCCAGCTGCCTCTTTCTCTCTAGCTTCTCCTTTTTGAGGCGCCTGATCTCTTCCAAGACAGAACGACGAGCCAGCTGTGACCGACGCATGCGCTGGATCTTTATCGCCGCTTGTCTTCGCTTAATCTCCTCTGCCCATTCTACCCGCTTCACAAACTCCTCCTTCTGCTTCTTCATCTCTACAGCACGCCGCTCCTTGTCAAAGTTTTTCCTGGCCAACTTTCCTCTCTGCAGCTTCTGAATCAAGATTGCGGCACCCTCCTTTTTCTTCTGCTCAAGTTCCTCCACGCGCTTCCTTGCTTGGACTCGTTCCTCGGTTAGCTTCGATTGGTGACTCAAAACCCAGACATACTGGCTTGACCAGCGGTCCCTGATCAGAATATGTCAATATATCAGCATGACACGCAGCCACGCTGAGATTGATCGCTTTGCAAGGCAGCAATGAATTATGCCAGCGTAGACCTCAATTAGTGAGAGACGATGCCAAGGACCTCCAGGAGGTTCCAACAACGATGACAGTTCCAGGACACTTCTGCACTTGACGACGAAAATGCGCACGGGGCCAAGGCGAGAGCTAGCGAGAGCGCCATTTGACGCACCGCAACAAATGCGCAAAATTCCCCCGTACATGGGAAGCACGAAGTGAGCCCAACACACAGAAACGGGCACGCCTGCCATTGTGTCGCGACACGGAGCGATGCAAGCCTCAGAAAGCACGCACGGGACCTAGGCCGAAAACCACGTTTTGGAGCCTCCAGGAACCCCCTAAGCCAGCACCTAGGCAAGAGCGGGATCTTGGCCCAAAATGGGGAGTCAATGTCCCAGGCAGGCTCGCCACGTAGTGATGGCAACTAAACCCTGGTGCCCTTGACATTGCAACCCCATAGTCGTATTGGCACACTGCTGACTGCTTTGGGCAATGTAGGAAGTAGGCCTAAGGTCAGGGCTGTGAACCAAACGTACAAAGTGCAAGCAACCTCAGCAGAGGCTCGAGTTGTCGGATGAATCGCTCTTGTCGCCTCACGACACACAAAGCCTGTCCGTGCTATAGCCGCTACACAAATGTACAAAACCAAGACGGCCCTGCACACGGCATCAACACCATGCGTAGCAGCCTCTTCTCGAATGCAAGCTTCTTCTGAGCCTCGCAGGTTACATGAGATGTTCGATCCATCGCAAAAATCTACACAAAACAGTGTCGCTTCAAACCTCGATAGCTCGTTGAACCCGCTTTGCTCGCCACAGTGACTGAATCTTGGAAGCCTCCGCCGGGCAACAAAATCAAGCTGTCCGCCACCTCTTCCTCGAGAACATGCACAACACCGAGGTCACAACATACTTCTCACGCTGGCGCTCCTTGCGAGCCGGACACCAACAAGCGAAGCACAAGTCACTTTGTACATGTCAGACTGACACCTTGATAGCACCTTGCACATCACCAAACCCCATCATGCGCAACCTATGATGAAAAACGCGTTGATGTTGAACTTGCTGCTGTGATCTATTGGTCACAGTACCAAGAGTATCCACGTGTATAGGAGCTTGCAGTCTGCGGCTTCCCAGATGCAGCACCACCCGTAAACATGTGGACAGAGGTAAAAAAATGCCTGTCGATGCATCTCGTTCCTCCCAGAACAGCTACCAACAGCTAATATAGCTACAAAAAAGGATCAAAAAGGTCGCTGTGGAAAACAAGCCGAGGCCTTACTCTTGGAAGGGCCGCAGCCCGGGCAGTACCGAGCAAAAGCTGTCAAGAAGAGCGATTGAGTGCTAAACTACCATATCATGAACACCACCAATAATCTTAAGAGGCCCTAGTTCAGAACTCAGGAGGATGTTCTGCATTCAATCTGAAGGTCCTTTCGATCGAGGGTCTATCCCCGAATTGTTGCCTTTTGCGTTCCAATCGTGACACCAACGTGCCAGTTCTTGTGGAGTTCTAGACTGCCTTGCCTTGGTTTTCGCGTGCCCTGGCCCCTTAAGGCCTGGCGAAACCGCCCCTCTTGCTTACAAAGCCGCCCCGGCACAGCAGGTTGACTGTGACTTTCAGCTAAAAGGCTGTGCGAGTTGTTTTCGGCCATCACTACAGATACTGCTCAGAAGGGCCTGATATTTCGGTGGGCTGCTCCAACTTTCCCGTGCGCTCAGGGCAACTGCAGGGCAACTGCAGGGCCTCCATTTCCTGGATTCGCCGCGCCAGCTGCTCTTTCTCTCTTAGCCGCTTCTCCTGGCAAGTTGAAACCGCCTGGAACAATGCTGCATAGACAATTGCCACCCAACCTTCTCCATCACAACTCGTCGCATTTGCAGCTCCTCACACGTGAAGTTTCATGAAATGAGATTGAAGAGCCCGGGATACTGTCCAAAGCACTTTCTCCAAAAGTGAGCACCGGACTTCGGCTTCCATCCGCGTCCTTTCCTCCAGCTCCTTCCGCTCCTCCGCATCGATTGAGTTGAGCGTTTGAGCGACTTTGGAACGTAGGTAACGTGAACACAGAGGTGGGCAAGCGCGGACAGCAGAGGTGGAAGCTGACTTGAAACAAACACTCTCCGGAGTCCTGCAACCGCTTGAGTTGCAACAGTGCTTGCCTTGGTCCCAGGAAAAAGGCGGGGCAGCTGATTGCAATCATCAAGACGGGCGCGGCACTCTTCTCTCCACATGGAGGCCCGCTCCAAGGCCTACTCAAAGCTCTTGGCACAACTGTGGCACCCAAAATTTACACATTTTTACAATCTCCGCGACGTGCAACACGCCTCTGCGTTGCGCTCCTCGGCTTGTGCCTCTCTCGCCTTCCGGGTGCTCGCGCCACGGAGACTTCAAACACCCGAAGACGCAGTCACTACTCCAAAGAGGCGAGACCACAAAAGATCCTGAAGGTTTCGGCCCAACAAGCTAGAGACCAACACAGCCACACACACACACACAATCATACTGCCAACATGAACGGCAACATGCCAACGTGACTGCAACATGAATGCAACACTGACACAGCTTGAGCAAATGCCCCGTGATTCTCTCTCCCCAGTGCAGTTCAGATGATTTCGAGAACCTAGCGGACCTAGCGGACCTAGCATGTCTCTGGGATGCCTCAAGGAACCCATCCCTTGCCGAACCTTGGCTTCCTCGTGGGCTTTGGCCGCTTGTCGTTCCGCCATCTTAGGACAAAGCTGAGATGCGTCATAGAACCGACTGATATGAGGCTTTGAAAACGAGGAATAGGTTTGTCTCTTGTGGATGCTACATGGTGGGCCTCTGCTGCACGCTGCGCCTTCTCGCGCTCAATCTCCTTGCGGGCCTCCTCGAGGAGGCGCTCCTTCTCTTGAAGCTCTCGCTTCAGCTTCTGCGCTGTGCCTTCAGGGCCTTCGGATGGCGTTCCTTGCGTTCCTTGCGTTCCTTCGCCTTCCAAAAGCTCCTGCAGCTCCTCGGGGGAGACGGCGTTGGCTTCTCGCAGTGTCAAACCCAGCTCGATGGACCTGCGGCGGAGTTCCTTCACCTTCTGCTCGTCAAGAGGCTGCGACGGCTGCGAAGGCTGCGAAGGCTCCGAAGACACACGAAAGGTCTGCAACACCTCCTTCAACTCGATGAGCCCGTTCCGGTTGGTGTCCATTTTCACCAACAAGGGATCCAATAAATAGCTTGGCACAGCCACGCCAAGCCGTTTCAGGCCTTGTTTAAGCTCATCTCTGTCCAGCGTGCCTGTCCGATCATGATCGAGGGCATTGAAGAAACTTCTGGCATCATTAACAGTCGTTCCAAACAGCGTTTGCTCTGTATGCATCTGCACAGTGATCTGCGACACAACATCAGCCATCCTCAGTGGTCATGCAAGCTTTCCACAAAGCCTCTCTACATGTTAACTTACATTGTGCATGCTTTGCCTAGCATCAGTGCTGGAGCTAGACCTGCCCTTCAACATAGAGCTCCGTGTACGCGCAGTGAAAAAAGGAAGTACAAGGGCACAAGCTGTCCCTGAGAATGCAGCCCGAGAACTGTGCTTGCATGTCACTTTCGCTCGGGAGTGAAGCCTGCCGCTCTGCTTCTAAGCGGGACAGACCTGAGTTGCTGAGTTAAGGCGCGCGCTTAAGCCTTAGTAAGAGTAACGCAACCCTGGTCTGCCAAGTTGCGTTCTGCCTCCTCTTGCTTAAGCTGCTCGGGATCGGCGCTTGGGTCAAAAAGCAGCACCAATTCAGGCAGCTCGACGAGCCCACTCTTGTTGCCTCACAAATGCCCTCACGAACATCTTCTCACATCTTCACTGTATGATACGATGGTTATTCAGGGAGAGCCGAGTAACAGCACTAGATGTCTAGAGAAAGCACAATTACGTCGAAGAAGCACTATGAACATGTATATGAGACACATCAACCATGCCCCTTCTGATCACGTCACGCTTAAAGCGGTTGAGGCCGTTCTGGGGTAGGCGACGTACAGCCATCAAAGTCGGAGATTCAGAAAGTCATGGAGCCCGTTTCTGGATATGATCTGATGGGCTCGCCGTATTCATCACCTTTAGTCTCCGGGCTTCTGCATACTAATTCGCAGACCAGCTGCCATCCAGCGCATTGATCAGCATCAGGATCTGATGTTCTGGCACGGTCACGCCGAGCCTTTGCAAGCCTAGGAACAGCTCGTCCTTCTCCAGCCCTCCACTACCGTCTCCTCGGCTGCCACACCAACACTCACTACTTCCAAGGCCGTAGTGATTGTGTGAAGCCACAAGCAGGTCTCAAAACCCCTTGCATTCCTAGCTGAGTTTCTGTCCACGGCCTCATAGAATGTCCGAGCATCCGTGACCCTTTTGCCATACAATGTGCGTCCTCCTGCCTTTAAGGTGAACTTGATCTTCCCAGTGACTTCTTTTAAGATCTTCTCACGTTGAGCATCCTCGTCCTCCTCGCTTCTGTCGGAGTCTGTCCATGAAGATGGATCCAAGAGTCTTATGAACTCTTTTGACTCCAAGCGCCTGCTTCGGTTCACATCGCCAGCACTCACCAAATCGTCCAGCAGCTTCTCGGAAATTGGCATCTTCAACCTCTTTAGACCCTTTGAAAGCTCTGCCTTGGTGAGAGAGCCACTGTTGTCCGTGTCAAGTGCCTTGAAGAAGCCCTTGCCATCCTTGACCTTGGAGCCAGAGACTGTTATGCCTTGCTTCAGCTTGTCATTCATAGCCACCACGACAGCCCTGAGCTCGTCCTGCAGGGCAAACTGATCTGAGACTGTTGCCCTGCCACCCAAACTATAAACTGTTGCATGATATTGCCTGCACACCGGATATGTCAAAACGATCTTCCGACAAAGCCTCTACATTCCGACTACTGTTTCGGTTGCATGACATGCGTGCCTTGCGCGGGTGCTGGAACAGCGGATTGGGGGTCTTCTGGGCCGTGTCGAGATTCATGGCCTGCAAAAATGCACCCACTTCGATACATTGCTCTGCGTTCACCTCCATGGATTCGACAAATTGCGTGAGCTCATCCTCTAATCCCAAATCCAATTCCGTCAAGCCTGCAAGTATTTCTTCTCGCTCCAGCATGCCTCTGCCATCACTATCAAGGGCACGGTAAAGGCTCTCTGCATTGTCAACCACTTGGCCATGGATTTGGGCAACACCCGACGAAAGCGCTGATCGGACAGCATCGACAGCGCGCTCCAAGTCGGTTTGCCGCACGCTTCTGGCACTTCCCGGACTTGACATGGCTCCAACCAGGCTCAATCAGCCACACCCAGGCTGCCATTGAACGCTCCCTCATTCAGTCCGTCGCCCAGAAGCCTGAACCGGTTGAATTTCATCGGAAAGCTCCTGGGGTTCTTGGCCGCTGAACTGGAATTGCCGGTTTGCCTGGAGCCATCGTTGGCACTGCGCAATGCGAAAGAAGGGACCTAAGTCCTAGCTTGCGACGTAAAGAGCGTATGAATAAATTGGAAGCGTCAAGGCTTGCCAAGGCAGCTTTGTTCAGCCTAGTTTGCTTGGCCTGCTTGGCGAACAAGCATTTTGCCTAGCACTGGTGCTTTCTGACGGCTTGCAACGGGCGCAGCAGTGTACTCTGAATGTATACAGAGATGTTGGCGTCACAATGCCGAAATCTATTGAACTCTTGACAATTGAGTCATTCCTCATTCACCCTAGCAGCCCAGCACGACACGCGCAGACCGCTCAGCGGATGAAGACAGTCTCGCAGAGCTCTTGCAGATCAGATCGAGGCTGTGTACTCACAGCATCGACAGGTTTTCAGCCAGTCTTTGAAGTGCGATACCGATTCTGGCTCTGTGAAACTCGATCCATGTGACCATGATTTGACACTGACGGGCTTGAGCCGCGCAGTAAAGCAAGCCTGAGTCGACTTTGCCATTCAGGGTGACTCCAAAGAAGGCAAAGAAGGGAGAAGCAGTCATCTGCCCATCCTCAGCAGCCCAAGGCAGAAGCACACGTGCCATCCCGCATTAAAGCTCACGGCACCTCACCACTCTGGCAATGTCCGTTATCCTGTCGCGCATGGCCTCAGCTAGAGAAAGGGGAAACTTTGCAGCAATTGTCTGCAATGTACCGGCCTGGTCCATTGGCGGCCCCTTGCCACGCTCATGCATTTCCAGATGCCTTTGATTCATTCACTGCAATGACCATTCACAACGGCTGCAATCTTTGGATTAGGCCGGAGAGTAGAAATCGAACACTTTAGCATGTGGACAGGCTGTAGCGGCACATGGTAGCAAATGAACATGCCAGAAGCAATAGTGTCAGTCAAGGCATATGGGCTTCGGCAGAACGATCTTCAGAAGTCGAGGTGAGTGGTGCAAGCAGGTGGCTTGATGATTTGAGCTGCTCGGTACCATCCGATGCCTGAATTTCCTTAGAGACAAGCCAAGCTGTTTCTGGCCTAGCTAACCACACTGCAGGAACTAAAGCATGGTCTTGAAGCAAGGGCACGTTTAATTTCCATCCGCAGCTGCTTCTTCGGGTCTAGGATCATGCCCTTCTCCTTGAAGCAGATGCTGTGCTACGCAAGGCAACCAGAGGAACACCCCCACTCTTCCTCCTGAGCTCGCCGAGCCCGCTCCGCAGCTTTGCGAGCAGCCATCTTGGATTCCTGGCGATGTTGCGAGGGTGCAAAGCGGGGGCGTCGGTCCAGCAACTTGGGCTGAAGCCCTGTAGGCTGAACTGCGCTTGACTCCATATGGGACCATAGGATACCTGAAGCTCCAGAGCTCTGGAGCAGCACAGAACTATTTGCACGATCTCGATCCCAAACTCGGGCACTGAGGCAGTGGCGGTGCAAAGGTTGACTGCATGGTAGCCTGCCGCAGTCATCATACTACCGTACAACATCACTGTTTCCAATTAGCACATCAGCAATCATCAGCACACCGTCTGCATGGTGGCCTTTTCACCATCTCGCCTGGGGCCTCCGAAGCATCTCACCTGCAATTGCCACTCAGTCTGTCTGTCAGATCGTCATATAGAGGTAAAAACGCACGTCATCACCCTGTGCACAGCCCATTAGACGAAAGTCTTGCTTCTCTGTCAACCAACGTCCAGAATACCTACAGCTAGCGTAAGGAACAACCTCCCTGGTTAGACTCGGTTCCGGCATTGAGCTGTAGCAGGCCAATGCCCCGCCTGCACGAAAGGTCCACCAGGTGTCGGATTTGATCGAGACTGGGTGTAAGATGCAGTCATGAGACCTCCGTCCAGACGGTACAAAGCTAGACTCGACAATTCAACATGACAAGGCCCGGAGTGTGCCCTCCAGACGCGATCTCGTAAGGGATGACGAAACATGGAAAATGCGCGGAAATGGCTTGCAAACTGCCACTGGATCGGACCAGCTCACCGCGGCATCTGTGCTGGGGAGCTGGGGACGAGGTCCCGGCCAGAGCCGGTCGTGGGCAAAGTGCTAACCTGCACCAGAAAATTCCACTTCGTGAGCACGGTGCCTCGCCCTGCAATCTGGGAGTTCTGACAGCACTGCCTGGAGATTTGCTCGCGGCCGTACCAGGCGAGCACATAGCTGCCTGCCGTGCACGATGCCTCTGTCTCCAACTACCGGTCACACCAGGTCTACAGGGATGACAAGTAACTTGCACACTCAGCACATGCTGATGTTCACGACATGCAGCAACGCATGCCTTGTGTGCCCAAGAACCAGCTAAACTGTATTTGCACAGACTGACAAAGGTCGAGGACGTCGGAGTTTGAACTACAAGCATGGAAGCACTCGCTGAAGGGATGTCCTGGAAGAACGAGCATTCCAAAAGCGTCCAGAAGTAGCTTCCAGTCAAGGCGGCATGTTGGAAGCTTGCACGAAGCACTGGCGCAGTTGCTCTCGGGCACGACACGACCGAACAAATCCGACAACATTTCCAGGCAAAACACGGCCTGCTCAGCGGGGACAGCCATGCCATGCCAAGACGCAAGATTGCACAGGAAGAATGAAAACTTCGCTTTGGCACAGTCCTTTTCAGGTTAATGCTTTTGCCATAAATGGAAAGTAGATTTTCAAGTGATCCGATGCAGCTTGCATGTAAGCCAAAGCAGCTCGGGGGTGGATGGCGCCTATGTTTACTGTACCTGACCAAATTTTGGCAAAGGCTCCTGACATCTGCTTCGAACCCCCGGGAACCCGGACCCAGCAGTTAACTGAATCTCGTGTTGCGATAAAGGTCTGCGTCCTACATGGCAACCTTTAGCCGCCGGGACACTCCACCTGCCTGTCAGCCATGCTGAATCCAACAACATCAACAGGAGCAGTGCCAGCAGCAAAAGCAGCAAAAGCAGCAGCAGCAGCAGCAGCAGCAGCAGCAGCAGCAGCAGCAGCAGCGACAACGGCTGCAGATGGTGCCACAAAATATGTTCCTGCCCGGTGCTCGGCAGAAGCTGGTAACCTCTCTCGTGCAGATAACGTGGCTTTTGTTGCCAGCGCTGGCAGTGCGACAGATGCCCATGCCGAAGGGTATTCCACCTTCGCAGACTCTGGAAAGAAGTCTGCGATTAGTGTCGGAGCAACTGTCTTTGCAGGCGTCAGAATCCTGATAGCTCCGACACGGCACGGCACAATACGAAGCTCTCTGCCTTGCAGTCACTTGCAGCGTCGCCTGCTCTAAAACCTTTTGTCTAAGCTCAGGTCTTGTTCAGGGTTCCTTGTGCCTGACATTCCACATGCCACCATGACATACCGAGGCATACCATAACCACGATCATATTCATATGCTGAAAGCAAAGCCACGAAGCGTAAGTCAGACACCCTGCTGGTGGTGATCCATCGGGTCGTCCAGTGTGCATCGCAGAGATCATCCTCCTTCAAGGTGTCGCTTGCATCTGCACTCCATTCTCCAGATTTGCTCCAACAGCGCACATCTCTACTGACCTCTGGTCGCTTTCCGGGCTATCCAGAAGCTTGGCAGCCTGACACGGACATGTCGAAGCAACGGTGGAGCTTGCAACTGTGCAGTTTGCACATGCCAGTGTCACAGGCCGGAGTTGTTCAGCTAAGGATTGCTGGCAGTTACACTCGACTCAGAGAACACGTCGGTGCTACGCAGGATTGGACCACGGTACAGGATGGTACGGTGAGCTTCGCCTACAATGCTTGCCTGGTGCCGATCAATTTGACCAAGATGTGCAGCTTCTCGGATCTCACAGTAGATCTGAGGCAGGTCACTATGACATGCTATTGACGTGCGTGAACCACACACTCATTCACACATTGTATGCCGCACACTAGCAATTGTAAATGGCACCCGTGCAGACTGAGGGAATGAGGGACAAACTACAGCATGAAAGCATCCCCTGTTATCTGCACTAGTGTCGAGTCTGCAGTGTTGGACTAAACTCAGAGTTTTCAGAAGTTGTAGGGCAGGGTCGGGGCAACAAAGGCACAAGATGCCACAGCTTGGAGATGCTTGGAGATGTTTGACGATGCTTTTGCCTCGGCTTTTGGAAGCGGCTTGCTGCCTTATGCTGATTCCTCCCGAGTCCTACCAGCCTCCCTTTGACCAACTCCTTCCACTTGGTGCCATTCACGGCAGTGCGGCTTGGAATCACAACCGTTTCCATTCGCATCATTCACGACTCAAGCTTAGGGGCTTTGCAGCTTTGTCTGTGCCTTTGCGCAGTCCACAGCGGCCTGGCATCGGGTTTCCGAAGACTTCACTAGCCTGCACTTCTCTCCGACAAGCCCCTGGCCTTGACAAATGCCGCGACTTTCTCCAGCACCTGCAAACATCTGCAACAAAGGGAAGACAGATACTTCTTGCATCTTGAATCTTCCGCCACATCCAAGGAGCGAAACCTTCTCACAACTCAATGAAGGCCACCAAGCACGATGGCGCTAGTGCTGGTGCTGTAGGCATTGTAAACTCACTTGCCAGTTGTGGATGATGCTTGAATTTTCATTTGGCATTCGGCTGCCGGGCGACCACTTCCCGAATTCAACCAGTTTGGGCCTCGTCTGAACCAAGGGTGGCGGCTTGAATGTCCACCTGCTACATGCAATGAAGTAGGCAGTCAGCACAGTCCAAACCAGCTGCCTCGCAGTCCATAGAAACATACAATAGAAAGCGATGCAGACACCGTACAGAAGAATGTCTAATGTTTCAGAACCTCCCATGCCTATGGTACTCAGGAGACCAATCAACCGCAAATAAAGTGCACAGCCATACGCAATGTAGCGGGCGTCAGACGCAGCCTCTTGAAGAAGGAACTCCACTTGTGTGATCTTCTCCTTCGGTCAAATGTGGCGGGAGACTCTGTGAGAGCCCATAACCAAACCTACTAAACCTTGGAAGTGAGCCTTGGGCAGGGCCTGCGCTCGCATTGACATCAAGTCCTGCACAGCAAAATAGTTGGTCGAGTGCTTGTCCCAATTTGCAGCCAAAAAGACCGTGCTTCGAGTGCTTCCCCTTCCGTGAATCGAAGCAAATCGAAGCAATGGCACGATATGGCACATTGGCTCACCTGCAGGAACTGCTGAGGCTGCTCGAGAACACCTGCGCATGCTCACAGTACCAGAGCATCGCATGACTTAAAAATCTACGCCGTCTACGCATTGCCGTGTCTGCAGTACCAATCCTACAGTAAATAAACATTCCGAAAACGGTTTGATGACACTACCTTACCATACTTCACTTCATGGAACTGTCATGTCAGAGCGAAGTATGCTGAGATGGCCTGCAAACGCAGCTAAGACGCCTTGTCCCTGCCGGAGGCACGCACCAAGACTCAAGAAGCTGTTTGACATTGTTCCACGGAATTGGACCACCAAGAATGACAAGGGAAAGGCATCAGTGTCCCGCCCCTGGTGGCCTCCTCTCCCTCGCGTCGTGCAGAGTGATACCTTGTTGCATGGGGCTGTGCACGTGCAAGCCGGGCTTCAAGTTTGAAAGAGGTGGCGTACTCAAAAAGTGTACAGCAGCAGCTAGCCACCAACTCCACCGACGGCCTCGGATAAGGAAGTGATCATGTCAACATATACTTCGACAGGGGAGCACCATGTCATGTCGCAGTCTGGCCTTGATCCTGGTTCCGGCCGAAGCAGTGACTTTCCAAACAGCCTCAGAAGGAGAAAAGATGCACTCACGACTCAAGACTACCGCAGCACCATGCAGCACCCCATCTCCTGCAGCTGCTGTGCAGTGATGAAGGAAAGGTCCATCTTCTCAAGCTACTCCAACAGTTCAGAACGGTCTGTTCCAAGTCGTCCCAAATCACTCAAGCGACACCTGGAATCTGGAAGAATAGCGGGTCCAAGTCGCACTAGCTCGTCCGTATGCTCTTGCAAGAACAGCAAAGCATCCACCATCTGGCACAGTACAAAACATGGTCCGACTAAACAAATGGAATCACAGACACCTGCCTCTGCCGTCGGTTGAGAAAGTCTGTCACACAGCAAGTTCTGCCTAAGCGACTTGCAAGCGACTTGCACATATGCTCAGGCCAATGACAAAGGGGGTCTTCACAAGCTCAAGGCACCGACTGCAAATGTGCACGATCTGTATGGCCACATGCTATCTGCCAGTACATAGCATCAGGCTGACAAAAGCCATTTCCATCAGGGCCTTCTGGCTGGTCAGCAAGGTGTTTCCCATGGCATGTCACGACGAAATCTGGCCAACGAATTTGGGCCTCCTCGCCTAATTTCCGGTCTTTCTGTTTTTCGGCAGACTTCTAGCACTCTTTGGAAGCTTGTTCGGCGTCATCTCTCATACGAAAGTCGGGACTTACATCTGCGTCGCAGCATGTTGGATCTGCCTGTTCTACAGGCGAGGACCTTGACGTGTGCCGTGGATCGCTCATCTGCTTGAACCCTCTTCAGATGCCATGTGGATCATGCTTTCGCCGAGTCGTAAGGATTCTAGCTCAGAAGGTATACTTCTGCACTTGCAAAAATTGTAAACGTCTGCTTCTACAAACAAAGTTTATGCTATCCATTCCAGCTTTAGAGCTTTAGAGTACTGCCCTTACGTGCCCTTGCCGTGACCAAACTCTGGGCAAAGGGGAAGCAGATAGCAGCATACACAAAACAGGCACTGCGGCTCCTTTGACTTTGGCAAGCGACCTTTGCACCTTGTGAAACGATGATAATAACAATGAAACTTATACTGGCGATACCATCAACGAACACTCCACAGGAAATGTCGTGAATGAACATTTCACACAGACAGCTCTGCAAGTGGCATGCTGCTAATCAATTTCATTCTCAAGGGTCCTGGGCCAGAGCCTGCCGCGCCACCTGGTTCGCAGGTAATCACCAAAGGAAAGCTCCACAAAAACGAAGGCGAATCAAGGTGAGGGGTGGTGGTGGTGCAGAGGAGTTGTAAGGGTGGACAGGGGAGCAGCCCAGCCTGTACAGCCTCCCACCCCCCATTTACAAACACAATGCTCGTACGACGGGTTTGGAACAGGCGCACATGATCTTTGATTGCAGGGGGGGGGTCGGTAGTGGGCGCAGCCACCCCTCCCGTCCCCCATTTGCAAGGACAATGCTCGTGTGACGGGATTGGAAAGGATGCATCCTTTTGTGGGCCTGCATAGCAAGCTTTGCAAGGCGAAAAAATGCCAGGGGGCCGGCTGCTTTTGTCAACTCGATTGACTTTCTTCTTTCGTGCGGATTCTTTCATATTGCTGTCTTACTGTCTGTATTTCTTTCCTGCCTCCCCTCCTTCTTCCCCTCCTCCTCCTCCTCCTGCTGTATGTTTCTTCTCTGCTGTCTGTCTTGCTGTCTGCCTGTCTTCTTGCAGAACCCCTCCCTCCGCCCCACAAATTCAGATGCAAAGAAAATGAATGCCCACCAGGTCCCTTAAGGTACGAGTGAGCTGGGATGGGGCGCCCTGGCCGTTTCACGGCGGTTTGCCTCCACAAACAACCTTAAAGAACGGGCACGCCAAGAACAGTGCAGCATGTTGAGTCTCGCACGGGGGATCGCGCATGAATGAGAGATGCACCTCTCTCATGCATAAGCGTTCGTCCAGCCACAGTAATCTTCCCAGTGAGTACCTGCAAGCTCGCGACACTGCTGTCCCATACTGTGTCCACTACTGCAGAAAATGCCCAGCCTGAACGCTTTGGGCTCCCTAATTTGGAGCTCCGACTAGTAACTAGTACAGTGGTTCGCAATAGAGCGAAATGTTGTCGAAAGTCAATGATACAAAGTGGTTCGAAATGTTGCCGAAACTAGGTAACAAGCTAGCCTGGAACAACAAATCCCTCCCGCACCGCCCCCTTCGAGGAACTGAAACTTAAAGCCTCCAGCCTTCAAACCTGCATCCCAAAGCTCTGAAACTTTAAAGTTCTAAGAAATGACGTCTTGTAGGCTACAGCCCCCAAGGCTACAGCCCCAAGAGCCGAAAAGGAAAGGCCCAGAAGAAGCCCAGAAAAGGCCCACAAGAGGTCCAAGAGGCCGAACAACCTTGACCCCCTGCGCCCCAAAACAACTTTTCCCAAGTCCCAAACGCGACACTACGATTCTGTTCCCAAGTTGTTTGGCGGGGGTTTGTTGATACATCGAGAGCTTCCAGCACAATCACACTTGCACACTTCCGAGCGAGTCTGGTGATGGCTATGTTTGCGGGCTGATGGTGGCGATTTCTTTCTCAAAGGAGGCAACAGTGCAATGTGGTGTTTTGACTAGCTTTGTACTGCCCCAAAGCCGCTTGAGCAACATTACTCAATGTTGCGCGGATGCCTCCTTCGTGGTGCGGCCGGCGCAGATCAAGAAGAGATGGAAGATGCCAAGGCCAAAAACGCCTCAAAGCCAATTCAACAACCCTGAACGGCTCATGCATGGTGGGCTGGCCGGTTGTACCTCTCTTCTCCTCTATCTACTCCCTCGTTCTGTCTGCCCCGCTCCTGTCACATCAACAGAGGAGCTTGTCGTCCAGTTCGGGAATGGAAACGTGTACAGCCGAATTAGCGTGCAGCAGTCGATGCCCAGCCCACCATTTTCTTTCTCAAGGCTTTCTTGCTCCTCCGTCGGTGGCCCTTGCTTTGAGGGCGAAGGCTCGAAAACAAGACTCAACTTTCCAAGGATGACACCGATTCCTGCAAGGAATTCAAACATAGTGACTTTTGGCGAGATTTGAAGAATCATGCACAGCGCCTGCTGCCGTCGAGCACAGGCAACCGAAGCAAGCTTGCACGGCTAAACAAGGGAGGAGGGGATGACCGCTACAGCTTGCAAACTGCAGCTTGCAAACACAACATAGTGGAACGGTTTTGGAGTTCTCGTTGATGGCGATGATGCCTGTTAAAGGCTTCAAAGATGGGGGGTGGGGGCCTGGAAGGGGACGGACCTCTAAAACTTGCAGATGCCATGCTCGTGCCATGAGTTTTGGATAAAGCTGGTGTGGGTTTGATGCCCGGCAGGGCAAGCACTCTTGTCGTTAATGGCATGGTGTTCTTCGAAGCAAGTCCGTGAACGCTGTGGCGAAACCGAGTTAAACTTCTTGGCCTGCGTGTTCAGGGCAGAAACAAGACATTGCGGCGTCAACCCTTCACGGTCGGGAAACGAGATTGGACGGGGCTTCAAACGCGATGTTAGCCTGTTGACCACGGCGTGAGCGGTTTCAATCAAGCACCTACAAGTCCTGGGGTTGCAAAAGGTCAAAGTCGCCTGAGAATAGTTTTTTACACGTACGTGTATTAAAAAAAAAACAGACCCTCCCTCCCACCTCAGGAAATGTACAATGTCTTGTTGGGCGTTAAACGCCGCAAAGAATGAAGCAAGTTTGCCTCAGAAGAGAAAGCGACGAGTTTGCCAAAAATCTGAGGTGCCGGAAGGTCTGTTTGCTCTGAAATTTGTTCACCAATGTGTCTGACTATATGGCCCAAGCCCATTCTCACGAAGAAGGGGTCAAACGGAAGGATCAAAGACACAACTCTAGGCTTGGCTGCTCTGCAACAATGTGAATGTAGCAAAGCAGATCGTTGCCAGTACAGCGCTTGGGTATTCTCAAACAGTGGTTGGAGCAAAGCATCATCATACCCACATCTGCGCAATCGACCTCTGAAAGCCGATACTGTGTCAGAAAAAGACTGGAATGAACTGTTCGTGATAACGTAGCGTCTGATTTCAGCCCCAATCCATGATCTGAAGACCGTTGCTGGGTGGTTCGAATGAACAGGCAAATAACGGAAAAGATTCGTGGGCTTGAAATGGGTCTCGCACATCAGCTTCTGATCATGTCTTGTAATCTTCACGTCAAGGGATGTGATGGAAGACGAGCTCCATGAATTTTGTTCTTGGTATTCGGGCGCACATTGGTTGAAAAGGATCTCAAACTGGCGCGGTGCATCGGATTCAAGGTTCCCGTCAAGGATGATGACAACATCGTCTCTAAAACGGCCATAGAAAATGGCACGCTGCAACGCAGGAAGCAAAGAACCATTGTTTTCGAGAAGGTGCGCAGCTGTGATATCGCAAGCTTCAGACGCGAATGCGAGGCCTTGGCCCACACGTTTGCAACGAAAAGCTGTTCCATTCGCTGCCACAAACTGGTGCTGCAATATTGCCTAAGCGAGGTCGGCTACTGCAAGAGCATCATTGTACCCAGCTAACGATAAAGCAACGTACACATTCTTTGCAACCATGTCTGGTGTTGTGCTTGGGTAAACGTCAACAATGTCACCACTGCCCAATATACAAGCATCTGGAAAGTTTAATGCTTCTAACTTGGAAACAAGCTGTGCGGAATCATGCAACACAAAAGGAAGTTTCGCAACCACTGGAGACAGTCTCATTCTCACATACTGTGCCATCGGAGTAAGGATACTTGAATTGGTAGGTGTGATAACACGAGGAACTTGGACAGGTTTGTGGCTCTTCCATGTCAAGATAACTTCCATAAGTTTCCAGTCGGCATCAACATGCTGATCAAGGAAAGTCAAAGTGGTTCTCGGGGTTATCGCGGTATCCAATCTCGAGATGGCATTCCGAAGTTTGTGGGCCAGGCTGGGGCGATCACAAACTGCAGGTTCAAACTGCTCCAAGTTGTTGCAAGCTTGATGCTTTAAACCATGCAGAAAACAGCCCTTCATAGGTATCAACGCTGTACCTTTGTCATCGTTGACGACGGCGTAGTTGTGTAGCCTCAACCAGTATAAGCCCAATCTGTCAACGGCACTGAGATTGGAGGAAGGCTTGTGGCGTGAGATTTGTTTACGGTACCGCTCCCAAGCATCAGCCTCGAATGCCTCAAAAAGTGTCTGAGCTGAAGAAATGCGTGAGGAACATGGGGGCCACCATGTAGAAGGGCACCCCAATCGCTGAATGTGTAAAAAATCCAATTCTCAGTATGCTCTGTGCATGCTAGGGATTTGCAGCTGGCATCCGTTGACTGCATTGCCAGCTTGCTGACCCTAGCAGTTTTTTGTTCAAACCTGTAGTTGCATGTCCAGTGAAAAGGCGCTAAACCAAGCGAGGCTACGTCCAGGTGTGGTGAGTACCTGGGTCACTGGAAATTGCTGTGAAAAATCTCTGCAAGTTTGATCCGCACGCTGTTCGCAGCATTTCCAAAACAAGCTTGCTTTGCTGAGTGCGCGCTCCGTGATCATATTCTGCTCACTCTCCAACCTTGCATTTCTCCTATCCTCCTACATCCCGGCCTAGCAGCATCAGGGCGGTGGGAATGCCAATCAAGCCCAGCACAAGGCAGAGCAGGGGATTCCTGCAGTTGTCAACAAGTCCTCAATTACGTACGGCAAAGTGACCTGAGCTAGCAAGCGCTAAAGTACCGCATAAGCTACTCTTTTGATTCACAGTTTCCCTCAATTCAGAGACCGTGCACGAGTCCTCCACAAGTTCGGCAGCGATCCGACGTTGGAATACCTGATGCCTCCAAAGATCTGCAGAGGGGAACAGAAACGCCGTGAAAGCGACACGGAGTTGCGCCTACACCAATAGCCACGGATAAACCCAAGCACCTGGAATGCCATGTCATGTCACGTCTCAGGACAAAGACCAGGCCAAGACAATTGGTACAAGGTTACAAGGGGACAGCGAGACAGCTGCGTCGTCAACATGCCGGCACACCCGGTCGAAAACAAGAACGCGGAGAAGAATGCATAGTTCCTCAACACGGCGAAACATGTTGGCAACATCACAGAGCAAGAACCACGCAATAGCTGTGCCCACACGTCGGTCAGAGAGCTCGATACACGAAAAGTTGTGCGGTTGCAGTTCTCACTCTCAACTCTCCGTGGCTTGTTGCCTTTGGCCAACGCAGTTGTTGACGAAGGGACAGTGGTGGTCAAACCTGAAGGAGAAGCAAATCACAACTTCAAAGAGCCTCCTACGTACGGGCAACTGCTACCCTCAGATTCTGAGAAAGGCGCGTTAAGACACAGTTGTCGCAGTCTGCACAGTGCGAGGAACGGGGAGGTCGAACGATCTGTCCACATGCATCACAAGCGCATCATGACCGCAACTAACACATTTTGATCTGCTGGAGACAAGACGAGCCAAGCTGCTTTGCAAGTGGAGCACCAGCGATAGCCTTGAGACTGCTGCCTCAGCTGGGGTCTTTTCAGGGCAGGAAAGTACAGGTTCAGGACCTTGGCAACAAAGTCCGAAGTCAAATGTACAAAAGGGGTCCGTTTCGAGGGCCTGGCAAGTCAGTCAATGGAGGACATTCCGGTTCAATGCCACCCTCTACCTGTCGTCTTGCAAATTGAAGCGCTAAGACCCAGATGCGCAAGACATTGCAAGACCCCGCAATGCCGCAAGGCGGAAGGAAGAAAGGCAGAAAGGCAGGCACCGGTAGCGGCGGCACTCCCACAGCTGACACAATCTCCTCTTCCAGCCTCGTTGCATCTCGTTACAGGTCTGTGCAACCTTCCGCAACCAATGCAACCACCGAAACGTGAAAGTGATGTAAGCGCCGTACCCGGGCACGGCCAAGCGCAGCTCACGTCGAGGTAGAATGCCTGCACAGCCAGCGTATGATGACGTGGCACGATGTGGCACGTCGAACTGCTCAAATGCCCCGTGGCTATTGAGCAATGCTGCCTGGGTCTGTACAGGATGTCAGGAGTAAGAAGACGATAGTTGCGACAAGGGCCTAGCAACAAGCAAGCCAAGCCAAGCCAACCAAGCCTCCGACATGGACAAAATTGGCCCCAAAATTGGCCACACAAGGAGTAGGCAAACCCTCAAGCACCGAGAAGGCACAATGCTCGTGACGATTGGTAGCAGCGGGCTGACTTTCCACAAATGTGGAGAGCCTAGGTGGCATACGGATGCATACGGGACTCTCAGCCAAACACGAGCCCACACACTCCGGGCCGGGGGACAGCCCCAGAAGTAAAGTGCAGAAGGTATGAGGATGAGCGACCTTGCAGCAGAGGCATCGAGCAAGTTGCAACATGTTGCAACTAACAAGGTCTGAGGCCGCCGCCAGGTGCATAAGTTGTACCAGAAGTCGATGTCTGGACCGGTTACACAGCGGCCACAGCAGCAAAACCTGCAGCCAAATCTAGCATGCTGGCTAGTGTCTGCATTGGTTCGATTCAGCGGTGCTGCGTCTTTCTGGTGGTCTATTCAATCCATCATCCCGGCAAATGCCCGGTTATGCACTGGTCGACAAGCGCATGAGGCTGCGCAGGTCGTACTCAGCACCCAAACAGATGTCCCAACACGGCAGCAGGCCACCGCATACAGTTGCCCGGGCGTCTCCCAAGATGCCCACTCTTTCTCAAGACCTCAAAGTAAAGCAGGGCTGGGATTTGTGAACACTCAAGGGACGACAACACCTTCACGTGGTCGGCTGCGCCCGAACCCTTTTCGCCCCCCGCGACCCGCAATTGCTGGGTGACCCTGCCTTCCCGTCTCGTTCCACCCTTCAACTTGATAGCCACAGGCAGAGCGCAGAGAGCAAGAAAGGTCGCCAGGGCAGCCCAGCAGCACCGCCCGGCACCCAGGCTCCGCCCAGAAACCCCCAAAAAGGCCTCGTGGTGGGTGGCCTGGGGGCCCGCCTCCTGAAAGGGGATAGCCAGCCAGAGCGGCCATTTTTTACCAGACCACCCCCCAAACCCCCATGGCTCGCACCCAGAAATACCCCCCAAAAAAGGCCTCGTGTTGGGTGGCCTGGAGGGCCGGCTCCTAGGGGGGCCATTTTTTTGACCAGACCCACCCCCCAGACCCTCCATGGCTCCGCCCCAGTCCTTGCGGGTATTGAACGAAAGCTCCCTCAGGGGGAGCTTTCGTGATTTGAAGCTTATGGGACCTATGTGGAAAATGAATCTCTCCTTGTACTCTGATGTTTTCGACGCCGTTCCCCCGATAAAGCAACAGCAGCGAGCCATACTTTGCTGTCCCCACTGCGATATGAGGTCCTCCTGGCCTGTTGCGACCACCGAGTTCGTCCCAAACTTCATAAACTCTGGGCAGACGCCTGGGCCGTTAGCTTAAGTCACGAAGCTCGCAGGGAAGATTGCCATGAGGTAGCTGGTCCTTTTTTTGAGTTTATCATGACTGAGGCTGAGGTGCCGTCCCGGAGATATTGAGCCTTGGCAGAGGAGAGTTCAGAATGAGCCCTGCTGTTGGCATGAAGACGCATGAAGATGCAGGCGATGAAGCTGAGGCATGCGACGGCTGCGTGATGATTGCACCTGGCAGCATGTTCACACAAAATTGGGCGCCGGCAGGGAGGGGGGGGGATCGCTTGCCTGCAGTTTGCCTGCACACCAACTTGCAAGCAGACATGAATGACATGAATCAGCGCTGGGGGCGGCACGCCCAGCCAATGTCTCACAAGATGTCCCTAAAGCCTCGGCACATTTCCAAAGCACTCAAGGCCCCTTTGCGAAAGGAAGCGGTTCGGACTGGGCTGGGCACTGCCCAGTTCGTTGACATTGAGCTAACACTGCTCGCCGTCGGCGCCTCGCGAAGCGAAAGAACCCATGTGGCGCCGATGTCTGAAACATTGGACCGCAAGCTCCGTTCCACATCCGCGAACGTTCCACGAACGTTGCACATGAACCTCGGGGGACTCCATGACGCCAGCAGCCCAAGACGACCTGGAAAAAGCTGCCCCCAATCAGCATCAGCTCAGTCCAGCCGCTAGCTCGCCCCAAGAAAGGTCTGGGCGAGCGATTCTCGCGGGACTCCCTCGGGTCCTCCATCTCCATTGAGTCACACCTTCAGGTTTGCCGAGACAAGAGCAAGATGAGCAAGCAAATCAGCTACGACTATCTCTCAGGGCATCCTGGAACTCAATATCTTCTTCATGTCTATGTGGTGCAGGCAGCAGTTCGGGTATGAAGGTTCGACCCAAAATTCAGGGTGGGCTCCCAGAAAAGGAATCAATATGGATCTGAGACAGCTCCTGTGGCAACGATTGAAGGCCTAAGCGCGCGCCTTGGTAGCAGCTGCTAGACACCGGTGCATCAGCAAAGAGCTAGCTTGCAGATGTCCAGAGGCTCCATGCAGATGTCTCTCCAGAGTGCGAAACCTGTGTCTGTGTCTGTGCTTCGGGGCTCTTGCAAGTACTTCCGCGAGCCATTGAATTGTGGTGCGCATTGCCGTGGCTGTATTCTGCATGCTCTTGAAGCTGCCAAGCAGGCACACGAGCTGGTCCCTACGATCGCCATTCTGCCTTCAGATGCCGTCAGATGCCTTCAGGTGCCTGCAGATGCCTCTCAATGCACACTTTTGCCGCAAGAGTCTAAGCTGGCTCCGGCCCTGGCTTCAGGGAACCTTGCCGCCTGTCACACATCGGCAGCTCGCAGGATGCCAAAAATCGGGCACTTCTTATCACAATTCCTGATAGACCCCGAGGGCACAAAGGCATGTCCCGTCTCTCCTCGGAGACTTTGCTGCCGTCGGCTGGTCCCGCTCTTCCAAGAAGATGCTTTTGGACACCTTGACAGACACGGCCAAAGCCTTTAGCATACCGGCGCATCGCTCCGGCGCATCGCTCCGCAAGCTGAGGTCGAGGCCCCCAAGGCCTCGAAAGCTTTGGCAGCTCGCCAGAGTTTGCCTGCGGTGCCCGCACCATTTGCTCACGTGTACTATCGTGTACTATCGTGTACTCAAGACCTCGCGGCAGGTCGTATCGCTTCATGTCCAGGAGGTAGCTGACCTGCCAAGCGCAGCCGGGCAACCCACCGACCCACCTGCCGCATGCACTGTCGTATGCTGCATAAGCCGCATAAGTACTAAATAGTACTATATTGGCCGTGTGTCCAAGCGCTCTTCTCTTTGCCTTCTGGACCAGCGCCTGCGAGGGTTCCCAGCCGGTCCTTGTTCAAGGAGGCACAGAGAGGTGCAGAAATGCACAGAACTCTTTCGGCAAAACTCGCTCTTTGGTTCTCCTTCCGTCAACATGGCACCATCACGCCCCTGAGAGCCTGTCCTGCTCACTGCCGCCATGCCTTCCGCCAGGCGAACCAGCAGGTTCGCTGACAGCTCCGTTGCCCTGCCGGGCGTCGGCATGAGTAAGGGTGCGTGGCTTGGTTTTAGGCTCCGTTTTCGCCAGGCCTTGAGGGTGCACCCCGAAGACTACAGAAAGCAGGATGAATAGGATGAGTAGTTAATTGAGAAAAAACGCCAAATGCTGTTGTGCTTATGGCTCCATTCTCGTGTTTGTCACATCCAAATGTCGCAATCATTCGCGATGTTGTGGAATAATACATTGCACCCGCGGAGCAATCGATCAGCGTTGAGAGCCCACAAATGACGATCAGCCTTGTGGACAACACCTTGTCGCACGCAGCCAGCACCCCATCGCGAGAGGACTTGCAGCGCGAGAGGCTCCAAAGTATCTGCACCTCACTTAACTTCAAATGCTTTGGGGCAGTCCTCAAGAAGAGTACGCTTTATCGAAACCGCCGCATGATTTGCAGAAGGTTCACGTTGTGATTTGCCGATTCTGGTCCTGCCTTTCACACTCGGCCGTGAGGGATACTCAGGGCGTGGCAGCCGACTCTGCGCTGGGTACTTCCGGTTCCTGTAGCGACGCCTGCACCTCAAAGCGGAATGCTGGCGCATCTTCCACTCTCGGCATCTCTGCTAAATCTTTAGCGCCTTTGCATCGATCTTTAGCCTTCAGCCGCTTTGGCCGAACTTAGCCGAATTTTGGCTCTAGCCACGAGCTCCAGGTGCCTCCGGGAGCAACTCCTCCAAGCGCTTGGAGGCGTCCGAAAGCGACGGCTGCATGGCGATGCCCTGCGGCGGCACGAGGTGCTGCTGTGCTACCCTGCACTACTTGGACTACTTGGACTACGCACACATGTGCACCAGCACGATTGTGAGCTTTGCATCTCAACCACAACCAGGACTTGCCTGGCAAAGCATGGCAAGGGAATGTGCTGAGCTTCCTTGCTCCTGCAGGAGTGCTACGTGGCTTTTCAGGAACCTCTCGCATGTGCTGTACATCGGTCGTACATCCCCGCGCTTGTTTTGGGCGCCTTCACAGCTCGAGTGGCATAGTCCAAGAGAGTCTGAAGGACCTCCGCAGAGGCCAACTGCATGTGGCAACTCTTTGTGCAGGATGCAAATTTAAAACAAAAACGCAAGGCCCACACAAGCTCCCCCACTACCGGCCCTGCACTGACATATGACTCTGCGGCATAAGATCAACTCCCTCCAGATGTTCTGCCTGTCGCCTCTACTTTGGAGGCCTCTGGAACTTGCGGCTGCAAGTAGCCCAGGCTCCTCGAGAGTGCAGCGGAACTCTGCATGTGCTTGCCTGTAGCCCATGGGCTTTCTGCGTCAATCCAAGTCAAGATGTTAGAACCACCGCCGCTTTCTGACAAGTAGGGTGAAAAACTGATCCTCACCACAATGGCCAACTCATCAGCAGACAGTTCGCGTGCTCGTCCGTGGAGCTCCTCGTGACAACTGGCTGGATGCGGGGTTGGCCACGGAATGGCCCCATGCTCACACTCTTCGCAGAGTCGTCATGCCTCCAGCACCGAACTGGCCATGCTTTCCACTCCCCAGGTGCTTGGAGCAGCTCGACCTCAAAAGCACGAAGTCGCACAAAGTCGCACAAAAAACGCCCTGAAAGTCGGGGATATGTTGAGACATGCTGAGGTCACTTGCTCAGCGCGTCCAGCATCAGTGCCAAGGCCTGGATCTGCCAATGCTCAAAGCGCTTTGCTTGGGGAGCCTTTGGCCGATTTCAGTGCCTGCGAATCGAAGCTGGCAAATCCCAGCTCCAAGATGCGAGCACCAACGGGTCCTTTGAGAACCACCTGTTGTGCAACAATAACGCAGATGATATCAAATGATGTTCATATATGAAATTGCTCGGAGACTTGGCAGATCTCATCTACCAGAATCTGCTGCTAATCAAAACCAATGGCCTGCTCCGCCAAGGAGCCAGGACCTCGCAAGAAAGCACCTGCCACGCAGCACCACGCTGCGGACCACGCTGTACCAGAAAACTTTAATCAGATGGCTCACTGGATGCGCAGCGTGCCTGCAGCGTGCGCACAGTCCTGTGCTGACAGCTTCGAAGCTTCTTCTCCAAGTAGTCGGCCCGCATTCTGAGCAAGCCCAGAGTTCTTTGTTTCTTCTGCAAGTTGGCGAAGCAGGTGCCTCGTAAAGCCTGATGCCGCGGTGTCCAAACTTGGAGGCGGCGTACACGGCTTTCGAGGCTGCAGATCCCGACATTCTGTGCCTCGCCCATCCATGCCCAACTCTTCTAGAAACATCGATGCCAAACAGTGTGGATGAGCTGTCTGCAATGTGATTTTCAATCTCAGGCGCATTTCTAGTTCGAGGTTGGTGACCAGCTCCTGTGTCAGCAGCAACATCCATTGAGACATCGAGATGGTGTGCGTGTGTGACGTGGCACATCACGTTACCCCTGCCTGCCAAAGTTCCTCGTGATGGACTTTGCCGGTGGACAAGGCCATTGACAGAATCGCCAAGTCCTAACACACTGATGCGGTGACGACATGTGATGACTGCGTCAGAAACACTACACCCAAGGAGGTACTCGTCACTGGCCGAGGTGGAAAGACAATAAGTTGAAACGTTCAAATGCAATTTCAGATTGCTGCAAGCGTGCGTCCTGTTCATGGTTGGAAAACTTCGAGGCAGCTGTGGACAACGCTGGGTGTTATGTCTGTTCTACACTAGCGACTACAAAACAATGTTCGGCGAGGACTTGCGAGGATCATGTATGATTGATACATCACTCTTGTCGATTGCAGGTACACAGGAGTGGCCACGTGGCCAACTCCCCGTCTTGCTGCCGAGCTTGGTTCACACACACAGCCAGGCAGACAGACCGACGGACAGACAGACATGTGTGGAGCAGCCGTCCCAGGAGTGACATTGCTGCTTTGCCAAGCGCTCCTCGGGGTTTTCTCGGCCAGCATTTCGCAGCTTCCCTTTGAGCTCACGTGCAAGAGACCAACCTCGTCCAGAAGCTTTGAATAACATTTGGCAAGCAAGAGCAGTATGATCTATCTATCTATAACAATTTATCATATCAACTGCTTACGCAGACCGATGCAGTGTCAAGAAAAAGAGGTAAAGCATACGTTTCGAAACAGATGTACGTGTAGGAGGGAATATTGCCATGCAAATTGCCTATGGTTCGCCACGCAGTGGAAGTACAAAATGCTAAAGCGCAACAAGAAAGGCGGGTAAAGCCTCGATTTAGGAGTCTTTCAAACTCACACGCATCCACCGTCGAACCCGACCACTGCACACCTGCGTGCTATGCCTCCACATCGCAACTTATGGTCATATTCTGTTTATTGTCGTGCTTGTTGCACGTTGCTTCCTCCGTCTAGTTACCACCCAAAATTGCTTGAAGCAAGGACGCTGCATGCCAAACTTCTGTGGGGTGAGCACAAAATGCCGAGGAGTACCAAGACTCCAGCATAAATCGGCAGCTGCATTGCTCTGCTTCTTCTCCGTGTTGACAAGCCTCAGTGCCCGCGGAGGTCTGAACAGAAGCTGGAGGGGCATAGGCCACAGGCAATCACAGGCATGTCTGCTGACTGTCTTTTGAGAGCCTGAGACTCTGAGACTGGGGCTCCCAAGACACAAGGGAATGCAGCACGCCAATTGCCTGTGAATACGGCTTTCTTTAAAGAGGATAGCTCTCAACTCGTTGAGAGGCACTGCACTGCCCCATACCGAGTGCCTGTGAAGGGTTCAACTCTGAGAGCTCGCGAAGAAGCAGAGCCTCTCAAAGCACAAACAACATGTGCTTGCTTATTTGTTAACGTGCTCCTTTTCCGAGACAGAGAGCTGTACACAACGTTCGTCCTCTGTCTTGTGAGAGCACTCTCTCTGATTTTCCCCAGATGTGTATGCCCACGAGGATTCAGGCTCACTGAATCAATTCAGGCCCACTGAATCCCTAAGGTTAGCCCTCGCAAGCCTCCTTGCTTTGAGTCGAGGTTGCCAGGCAGTAAAAGAGAGCTGAACGCAGACGGTCAAGACACAGGTTATACATGGAGTTGTCGCCATCATGTCCAGCTCAACCAGAAATTCGTTTGAAAGCTTCCCGGGTAACCCAGAGCTTTCATCTCAGCAGTCGGTTGACTCAGTTGCGTCTGCTCCTCATCAGATGGCGGCTCCGCCCATGTATCGTGAACAAAGTGCACACAAGTTGCACCTGCTTTAGTGGCGTCTGTCCCAGGGCACCTCGTTGACTGGTTGTCGCCCTCATGGCTTAGCAACGGCAGCCTTAGCTTTCAACCCAAATTTGCAAATCGAAGATCCTGTGACGGGGCTCAGGCCCCAGCTTCGATCAGATCAGCCTGCGAGCAAAAGAACTGCACCTCGGGGAAGCGGATCTGGCGGCTTCTCGCCCTTGCCGGTCAGGTTCCGCTGCCTTTTTTTTGCATGCAGCTTGCAAGTTGCAACAAAGCTCTGCAAAGAACCAGAAGCACATTCGGGAACGGGAGGAACACCTCTCCAGGGCACAGGCGTCCTGAGCATCTCGTCTCGTTTCTTCGGCGGAACTGGTCCATCGACCCTGCCGTGTGTCTTCCAAACCTCCAAGCAGGAGCTTACATGAGTTTACAAGCAATCAGGAAACACGTGGAAACACCGTACCCAAGCAACTGACAAATCCTTGCACTACACATCGGCCCGTTTTACTTTGCGCCTTTCTGTGCCCCTGGCAAAAGTCGCCTTGGTGAAGCTCAGTGCAGGTGCTGTGGAATGGACTGCCGAGGCTGCTCAGACAAGGCTTCGGGTTTCAGGTTTCCCAGCTGACAGCTGCACAGGGGCTCTGAGTGTCTGGCCACAGTCTTCGTGCCGGCATAAACGACCTCGCACTTTTCTGCAGTCCCCCGACAATCCAGACACATAGACACCGGACAGGATATGCCATCAGCTGGGATGCTTGCAATCTCCACCCCAGCCTCAAGTCGAATGTGTGCCGAAATGTGTGCCGCAGTCACAAACACAGATGAAAAAGGCGATGAGAGGGTGTCAGTGTCGGTGTTCAGGCTCTCAAGGCTCTGACCGTTGTTCCAGGTTCGTGCCTCAAGAAGGTGGTCACCGGCTTCACGGCTATGGCGACGATAAGCACTAAGAAAAAAGGAGATGAAACGAGAGGAAAAACGAGAGCACACCGAGAGCAATATGAGAACAGAAGAGCTGGACTAAGCAACGCGGCCATGCAGGGACCCATTTCTTCTTGCACGCGGCGCCTCTCTTCGCGTACTGCCACCTGCTCTTGTAGAAGACACAAACCACAAACCTTCACAGACCTTCATGTGTCATGAGGCCTTCTGCTCGGTATCGAACTCGTCGCGACGTCTCTTTCGCTCCTCCTGCTTTTCGTTCAGAGCTTCCTGGCAGTGGTTCGATGCTTAGGCACGGGCCACGACATGAGAACTACGAAGACTACGAAGTGCGAACCACGAAAAGACGCGGACCCTCACGGACCCTGACGAACCCTCATCCCGGCTCCTGGAGGATCTGGCTCGACCACTTGAAGGTGAAGCCGACATTCGACATGGCACGGCGCACCTCTTGGGAGACCTTTCGCACCGGAAGAATATTCTCTGCCAGCATTGCCCACATTTAAAGTAGCAGCCAAGAACGTCGCTTCCTGAAAGCGATCACAGGTGTAGAAGACCAAGCTATACCGAGTCCCCTCAAAAGGCCTCACACAGTTTCAAGACGGCAGACTGCAACAATCTTGAGGCACGGAAGCAAGCCAAATGCAGACCTTGCGTAGTGCAAGCGGTTTCCATCGAAGCTCTGCCACCGACAGTGTATGTCAAAGGTTCGGCCCCTGGCCATGGCGAAATTGACTCCACGAAGCAAAGAGTTCCGCGCGATATCGGTAGGCTGCTGAGTTGCGGACAGAGCACGCAAAAGCAGTAGGAAACTACATACCGCTGTCACAGGACAGATGTGGCAGCCGAGAAAAGTCACAGCCCTTGTAGACTTTTGCCTCACCTTTCCAGTCTTAGCCAGAATTCGGAACCTGCACAATGGGCTGCGTTGATCTGGAAATAGGCCCAGAACTGCCTCTGAATTCCAGACTTCACTTTCGAGTCTTCCTTTTGAGCCGTTTGTCGAGTCTTTTTTCGAGGGCAACCTGGAGCCTGTCAATCTTTGGTCTCGTCGCCGTTTCTGCTGTTGCACGAACACATGTGCGTTCGCATCCGTTCACATCCTCTGGCACGCGTTCACTGCCTCCCAAGCCCCTGCGCTGCGCTCACCTAGGCTTGTTCCAAGGGCGACTTCCTGAGAAGGTAGACTCTCGGGAAAAGGTCTAGATCTCTCGCGAGCATAACTCTCTGCTTTGCACACAGGAGTCCGACTATGGTACACCGCATGTTGCATCGGGCCTGTAGCTCATCCCCGCTCGATAGTGGTGCATGCTCCCTAAGGGAACAAGAAGGGTTGCATAAAGCATCTTCAGCGCTGTGCTTTTCAGCCGATTTCTGGGGCTGTGGCGAATGCTCTCGCTGAGCTCTAGCAGAACATCCCCATCATCGTCGTGAGCCCAGAGGTCTCCACCCTTCGTGAAAGGAGAGCTTGGGAGGCTGAGTTAGGCTAAGTTAGGCTAGAGACGCTTGCAAAATGCTGAAGCGCATATCAATTGAGCCTTGTAGTCGCCTAGACCAATGATGAAACTGTTGCCGAGATTGTTCTTATCCTTCGAGCGCCGGCAGGGCCAGACACTCACAGCGGGCGCGACAGCTCATGACAGCATTTCTGCGCAATTGCTTTATCGACAACTGGGGCGCAGACGACATGCGGCCTTGCAGCATAGTTCTTGTTTACCTGAAACAAAGCAGAGTTATGAAGCTCACGCACGTGATGCTTTCCAGATCGCAGCCATTGTGGGGTCGTTGCATGCAGCATGTCCTGTCATCTAAATCTTGCGCCTGAATGGACGTGAACTGGAAGCTCGCATGTGCATCTTGACAGAACTTTGACAGAAGTCGTGCCTGTAGTCGGGAGGCTGAGTCAGGCCAGCACGCCGTCACACCACAATGATTCTTGACGATATCGTTTCCCTGTGTGCCCCAGTTTGATATGGTCCGCTGCATGGTCCGCTGCATGGCTTTAAATGCCCCGAACAGACAGCTAATGATGCTAATGGCTTCTGCCGACCTCTCCTAGCCTGTCCTCAAGGCAAGTTTCTGTGCGCCGGACCAAGTTTGGGTTCTTCTTGGATGCGTCACCTCAGTGCAGTCCATACATTCGGATCCTTTCGGAACAGATCCATTCCATTGACCTCATGCAAATGGGCACCGCGTTCCGGGCATCACGCTTAAGCCGGTCTTGTGTGCGTACACGTAGAGACCCAGGACCTCTGCCACACTTGGACTCCAAAGTTGTCCAAGCTTCTTGGATCAATGCTCGGAGAGCACACGGCTTCTTAAGACCTGCACCATGCCAGACACGGCTTCGACGCCCTCCGGGAGCACATTTTTCCGAGTCTTGTTCATGGGGAAGTGCACAGCCTGAGTGGTGCCCCATAGGGTCCGGATGCACCCCGAGTTTCGAGAAGTGTCTAAGCCTCCGAAGCCTCAAGGTTCGGACATCGAGAACCTTCGCAATGGCTTTGAAGGAGAAGTCTCTGGACTTCATGGCCTGTTTGGCCAACGCCTGAGCACACGGGCATGGCCTGAAAAGAACACAGTCAGGCATTCACGCGCTCGGCGCGGCCTCTGATTTCTGCCGTTGCCGGCGGGCCTGCAACGGGATCGAACTCAGCAGACAAGACTCAACGTCTGCAACCCGACACCTTGGCCCGTGGAAGCCGCAGTTTAGTGCTTATGCCCCGTCGACCTTGGATAATGAAACATCAGAGAGCAAAAATTTGCAAGATGCAACACCTTGTCAAATGCTTTGTCCGGATTTCTTGTAGACCTTGGAAGACCAGGGAATGGGCCGGACAGGATCCTCAGCTCGGCTGCAGGCTCCGACATCGACATGGGCTCCGACAAGACAAACATCCTAAGGTCCTAAAACAGGATCTCTAAGATTCTAAGATTCTCTGAGCCACGGACACTTCGTTCAATGACTTGGTTGGCACAAGCGCCTTGGCCGCCTTGCTCATCCAAGCACGCAATGGACACCGAGTGGTACGAACTGCCTAAGGCAGTCGCCTGGGGGCTTGCTGCATCTTCCGCAACAACTTCAGGCTCATCAGCCTCAGCCTTTCGTGGCGACGAGGCAGATGGCACGAACGGCCCAGGTGGCAACTTCGGTGTCGGAGCGCATCGCAAAAGCCTCATGTTTTCTGAGTCTTCCATTGAAGCTTGCAGCGATCTCTCGAGTTGAACCCCCTGAGGACATCCACTTGCTTATGAACGACCCCGGTTTCTTCCTTTGTGCCTGACAGGGACAGAGCTTTGATGCCAAAATCATGTGAGATAATTCGACGCTGCAGGTTTTAGCCCAGCGTGCCTCGACGGTCACCGGATCTGCATGCATGCCTAATGCATGCTTAGTCTCCTAGTGTCAGTTGCAAGGCCAACCTTGTCGATTCATCACGATACCTTCTGCCCTTTCAAGCTGGAAACCATTGGAACGATTCTGTGTCTTCCAAGGCGTCTCTGCACTTTCTGGAATCTTGACCCACAGATTTCCATGAAACACCCCAATATCGGGCTTGAGCCGAACCGACTCACAATTGTCAACTCGCATCTGAAGTAGCTGAAGGGTGCCTGCATGGCTTGCGAACCATGCGACCTACTTCGCCTAATGCGACCTTATGTGACCAGACAGTCGGCTGACTGAGGAAGTGCGCTTCAAGCCCGCGCTGCAAATGCGAACTAGTCTGCAGACTGCTTTCATTTATTAACTACAACTTAGAGTTAGACACTTAGAGAGTAGGAGAGGCAGATGAACAGAACGGCTTCAGCGAAACTGCTGACTAACTCCAAGATGAAGTCAAAGTCTGATCAGCCAACTGCAATCGCGCACGCCTCGGCCAGAAGGAGTAAGCCAGCTTTCACCTGGCAGCCAGAACAAATTACCACAACCCCGTTTGTCGCTTGCCGTATGAATGAACTGCCATAATGCCTCCGCCGAGATGTCTGCAGGCTGCGGATGTAGATTCCGCAAGGCAACGCCTGAAAAGAAGAAGAAACAAACAGAACGACACGGTACACTAATTTGGTCAGAGTGAGAAGAGAGAAGGTACTTTGCACTCAGCTTTCTTCGCCTGTTGTTGCGGCAACGCACTGCACGAACGAACACTGAAAGTCCGACCCGGCCAACTAGGAAACTAGGACGCACACATGTTCTGGCCAAATCCTCAACGGATGCATCATCACGGTGCCTTGGAGAAGCATCCATCCAGTCTAGGTTGCTCGGACTTGGTATCTTGCTAGAAGGTGAAGGTCTCTGTCCGCGAAAGCAGAAGCGACGGGAAAGCGGAATATTACGAATGTCTTTCTTCGGCTCCCCCTTGAAGGGCTGCATAAGGAAAGGCTTGAGACAGTTTTATGAGATAACAGGTGCTCCCTACTCTGAGACTGGATTCAATGTGTTGTAAAGATCTTCACTATATACCGAAGGTTTCAAACAGGGATGTCTCGGTGAAGCCAAGTACTTAATGGGGCTAAAAGCGAAGTCGGCTTTATCTGGACTGGACGGGAAACTCAGATCCGAGCTGGAGCAGCAAAGCCATGTGAGTCAAACTCTTCTGCAGATACTCTCCTTGCCTCGGACATTTGCTGGCCGCAGGTTCATGATGCACTGATGCACGGGAGATCACGAGTCTGAAGCCACTTAGGGAACTCACAGCTCACTCTTGCAGGCAGCATTTACTGTCTGCAGTCGCTTACAACGCTGCGGCGCCTGAAACGCGGATTCTCAAATGCTTCCAGTAGAACCGTTACATCCGGCAGCTGGAACTGGGGCAACCTGCCGGATCCAAGAGAAAGGGTTTCGGCAGAAACGATCCCCACACATGCCCACCCTCTGGAGCCTTCTGTGCAGTCTTCCGAGGTAGGTCGTCAAAAGGTTCTGATCGAACCAGTCAGCTCCTTGCTGCAACAAAATGCATCTCGAGAGAGCAGAAGGAACATAAAGGAGCTCTTGATCCATGTTGATCTTCTGAGGCAGACACGAGCAAACGCTCGGAAGATGTAGCACAAATCGGGCTGCAGGATTCCACACAATCGGTTCATGTCTTGAATGCGATGCGCATCAACATAAAGCTGAATGCCACTCCATGCCACTCCGTTTACACCCGACGACTGCACTCCACGGGAGATAGGCACTGCAGGTCACCATTTGCGCCCCATTATGTCCCATCATGGTATGGTGCTCGCGACTCACAACGGATGGTACATGCATGTGTATACATGTATATATATATATAACTGCGACTTTACCATGACTTACCTACTTCTGAGCCACCGGGCTCCGCCACTCATACCGAGTCATGCTTCTGCCAAGGTCTGGCAACGTTCACTTTCAGAAGCGCGAACTTCGCCTCCTCTGTGCGGGTGGAGAGCTGCTGCGCACGCCAGGAGAACCTCGAAAAGTGCATGTGCCACTTAGCCTGCACAGAACCACCCTGCAATGCCAACATTTATCAAAGCCGGGCAGCTTCAGCCATATTTCAGGATCCCAGACATTCTCCTGCTCACGACAGGAAACTCCCAGCAACGGCTTGACAAATTTCGACAACCAGCGGCATGGCTTGATAAGCCGACGGAGCCCTCGCAAAACTCGCAAAGGACTCTGCCGGGATGGCCAGGTCCAGCCGGTCCAGCCCCAGGCCGGTTAAAGACGGAAAGAAGCTGAGACTCTGAGACTCTGACTTGGACACACTTGTCAGCCAAAACTGCCAGCGTGACCTGGGGCAGAGGATCCGCATGGCACCGGAGAGCAGCGGTTTCACAGGTTTCACAGTGTTCGCAAGCGGTTAGGACATGGTTTCGAGGTGCAACATGGTGCAACATGGTGCAACGCCAAGCTCCGGGATCGCAAATTGAGAGATGGTCGTAAAAGCCATTAACTACAGGTCACACAGAACGGCGCACAGATGCGATTCTTGGACACAATATACATCTCCATCTTGGGGTCGCTTGCTCTACGGACAGCGACGTGGTTCCCGAAAACTTCATACTGCATTCAGACACCGAAATTGTGGAATACGTGGAAGGGAAAGAAAGGAAGAAAGAAACGAACTGTCCGTAAACATCATCGGCTCCCGCCGAGCTGTGATAGATCGTGCATGCAATCAAGATGCACCCAGACCTTCGAAGTGGCCAGGAGGCCCACAGACATGCGGTGCCCATCTGATCTAAGGCCAGGGGGTTGGGCCGAGAATGGCGCCAGAAGATGAGTTGGGCAAAAAAAGGATGGAAGTAAGAAAACAGCTGGCGGCTCGGTTTTTGCTGGGAGGGCTGTAGGGCCAACCCTGAGGCCGCAAGCTGCGCTCGAGGTTGAGCCAGGAGGCGAGGCAAACAATTTGTCACGACGGGGATGCAAGCACCGGCAAAAAAAGGAATCGGCAGGTGCATTACGGTTTAAGCCGTTCCTCTGACAAATGCTCCAGCACAAAGGCACCACGCAAAAAACACAAAGACATCGGCATGCGAGCAACCGGCAGGTGCTTTGGGTCGGAGCGGCCCTGCGTCGCAAGCGCCAGACGGGGAACATCAACCCTGAAAATGCGGAAGGCAGCTGCTGGCCACGATGAGGAGCCTCCACGGGAACGCCTTGTTGCATCCTGTCGCTGTTAACTTGTGACGATTATGGGCGCGGTCTACACCAGCATTCTGAACACGCCAAACAGAACTGCGTCTGTAAGAATTTGCGCATTTCGGAGAGCGGGCCTGCGGAGAGTTGCAAGCGCTGAAGCGCGTGCGGGGACGCCAACGGAGAAGGGCGCCTACGGGGCTGGGCAGCCGCATAAACCCGCCCGGGGCGGGGAGCCGAGAAGAAGACCTGCAAGGACCTAGGAGAGCACAACCCGTTGAGCAACCCACGCCACCTCTTGATGTCAAAACATATGTAGACGGCGTCTGCAGCCACAGATACAAGTTCGTCCAGCAGACAGCAGCGCTCCTACACCGATTTCATTGAACAAGCGCAAGGCGGGTGCCACCAACTACGGTCACGGGTGTCCAGTAGCACACTCTGCCCATTGGGAGGGCATTGTCAGCGCACGTGGCAGCTGGCAGAAAGAGAAGAGGTGCTCATCGGCAGGGAGAGGGACGTGAAGATAAGACATCCTCAGCACCTCCAGAGAGTCAAGTGCCTCGGGGCGTTCAGTGCATTTGGGGAACTTAGGGGCTCAGGATTGCTTGGGCTCTTCACTTCATACCCTACAAGCTCCGTAGAAGCCTAGAAGACCAAAAGATGTTTCTTGAGAAAGCCAGCCTCTGAAGACGAAATCCACCCATCCACACTCCCGGCAGGGACTTCACTTGAATGAGCCTCTCACGGCATCCATCTGCTCTGTGTACAGGGATCCCCCTCTCAGGCCAGCCTGAGACATTGCGGACGGGACACAATCTTGACAGCCCTCACGCAATGTCTCCTTGGTGATGTCCGGGAAGCCGAAGAAGGTTGCTGGAGCTACACGCCTTTCTCGCCACCATTCCTGACAATCTACCAAGCAAGTCTACTTCCAGGAATACAGGCCTATGCTGAGCAACGGCCTTCATGAAACCATGCGTTGATGTACTCAAAACAACTTTGTGCAGCAGCCTTCTGCGGCTGCACTCTGGAAAGGTCAAACCTGCAAGCGGTTAAAAAAAAAAGAAGGCAACAACCTGTCTCTGTTCGTGACAAAGATAAACTCACGAGGAGGGGCACAGACGCTAGCAGCACGCAGGAAGACACGGAGGAACGCTTTCGGGAAGGGTCCACACAGCCAACAACAGGATTGCGACGGCGTAAACCCCAAACAGTGAGAGACCACGTAGGGACATGAAGAGTTTCACCCATCGAAAAAAGGCATTTGATGCCGCTGGAGCTCCAGATGGCCTCCGCGTACTACATCGCACTACTTTAGCACCACAAATGTCGATCTTGAGGGCTTCGGATGTCCTAGCAGAAAACAAGCAAGGAGAGGACCAAGAGAAAAGCAGGAAGAAATCAGCTACTTACTCCTTTCTTTGACCGAGGCTCTGCAGCTCTCGGAACAACAAGGGAGTATGCCATTCCAAGGCTCTGCAGCTTTCAGGTAACGTGAATGTCTTTTCGCGAGGCGGGTGATCGCGCCACCAGAGCTCCGGACGTCCCCAAAAAAAGCACCAAAGCGCGGACAATCTGCATTTGGCGAACCCCGACATCCAAAGCACCGACAGTTTGGCATTTCCCACGTCCAGAATCACCGACAGTTACGAGGATGGCGACGTGGATGCGCATGGCACCCAAACGGTAGCGCGATTTCAAAAATCGCGAGTTGTAAACCCCCGTAGTCTGCAAACCCACCTAACGCACAAAACGCAGGCTTCCGCCTGCCACATTTTCGGTGCACTTAACTTTGCAAGCTACGGAAAACACTCAGGACCGAGGCCGAGAGCGCGATTTCCGCCCAGAAAGACCACGAAATGCTCACGAGGCCTAGGCGAGAGAGCGAATTCCCAGACTACGCTGGCGGGTAGGCGAGGGGTTTCCACTTGTCCGCAAGTTGGAAGGAAAAGACTTCGATCGCAAAAGCCTAGCGGACGGCGGCACAGCTCGAGCAACCGAACGCTGTATGGCCTGCTGACAACTGAATATGTCAGACGTCCACCCCCCCTCCCTCAGCGAAGGTGTTGGAAACCCCTCGACCCCTTAACCCTCGACGACTGGACGCCTTAAACCCTGAGCCGCCACATTCCCTGACTCCCTGAATCTCCCTGAACCGCAGAAGCATTCCACAGCCAAACATGTGCATGGTGCACGGTGCGCCTGTCCGTCATTGGACGAGGAGTTCTGATCCGGTAGTGCTGTTTGGACCATGAGCGCCTGCAGCCCACAGGACAGCATGTATCGACAAGAAGCTAGACTGCAGGATACTGCAGGAGTTGCAAGTTGCAACTCTTACGAGAAGCACATGACACTCAAGCTTCATGTCCAAAGACAAGGTCAAGTGGTCAAGTGGTCATGTGGTCAGGTGGTCAGGTCGTCAGGTAGGTCCAGTATCAAGATATCACGCCTCGATGGTGGGGTGTACCATCGCCGCTGCGTAGAAAGGTGCCGCAGACGACCCAGGCTTTGGACATCTCGAAGCGCCATTCCCCTCACATCATCGGCACGTGCATGGTCAGCAATTAGAAACGCAAGGTAGGCCAGGGTTAGGGTTGGAAGTGGCTCAGACGTAAGGTTCGACTCGCTTGATGGCAACTATTGCATGGTACCATCAGGTCTCAAGCCAAACAGCTGCCGCAGCTGCAGACTAGATGGTAGTACGAAGTGCTTACAGTAGGCAGAAGCGATCCTTCAAAACCAAGTCTGCAAGAACCCCAGCCACCACCCCCTACTTCGTTGAAGAGAAGGACGGCTGCCCATCGCATCCAACTCTGTTAAACAGCAAACCCAACACACCAACACATGCCACAGCAAGACAGACTGGAACTGTGCAGACAGACTTTTACGGCGGCAGAACTCAGATCTGTTCGATGACTGAAGTCTGAAGAAGCCATCGCTTGTTCAAGCAAGATGCTCTGAAATCGTGTTGATTCTCGCACACATCAGTAGGTCACCAGCTCTCCCCTTGTGCCCTTGGCTTCAGAGCACCTCATCGTATCTTACAGACCTTGGTGAAACCGAATCCGAGGAAAGCGAGAGGATGCAGAAAATAGCATATTGGGTGAGCATGTTAATGCCCTGTTGTTTTCCACAGCTACACACTCAGGACACTGTTTCTGTCTAGCATTGGCCAAGCTCTCGCAAAGAGGCATGCTCTCGACGTGACGTCGTTCTTCCATCGACAGCATGACTATAGTTACTATGGTTCAAACCGGTCAGCAGAGAAAAGGCATCTTGCTAACATAAGAAAGTGCAACAGATGCTAAATCACAAACAACACGACTGATGCTTGCACCCAGTCAGAGGCCAAACTCGACGGTATTCCATATAGAACCGCCAAGGCTGGTCTATGGAAACAGGGTGGCATCATCAAGCAAGAATCCGCACAGGCAGGCACGCCTTTGCGGCCTACCATGACAACTGAGTGCTTTGTCATTCGCCATCACTTCACGCGAACATTCCACGCGACACCAGTATCGTCACCTTCCTGCCATTGTTTGAAGAGCAAAGAATGTATGTCTCCAGAGCCAACGCTATGAGCTGCACAAGCCCTGCCGGGCAGACTGTCCCTTGGACACTTCTTCCAGAAGCTGATCAGCACCTCAGCTTGCTACAAGGCAAAACTTGATGGAGTGGACGCTCCAAATTCAGGACCTGCGCAAAAGTCATGAAAATGTAAACTCTGAAGCTAGTCATGCTGGTTGATGGGCACAAGAAATCGTCGCAAGAACGAAGGCTGAGCGTCTGAGGTCCAGGGCACAAGGACTCGACGCAGAAAGGCACGCTGTCTAAAAAGTTCATGCGAGTAAGCAGCGGGCTACCACGCTTGCCATTCACCGCGACCACTGCATCACCACCCTTCACCTGCATCACGCAGAGTAGAAGAGAAGTGAATCATGAAGGTCTGGGAAAAGTGAGAACAAAGCAATCTAGGTGGCGGCCTGCATGTCAGATGGCTGTGTCTTGTTCCACTCGTTCACCAGGCCATCCTTCACCTTCCAAACCTGACAGACACGCTATGACATGCCGAATCATGCCGATCCCCTCCTCACTTTTGGCTCCGGCCATGCTTGGACAGGCACCAAACCGGTACCAACAACTACACAACATTACAAACAACTTGGCAAGGCAGCAGCCGTATTCGGCCTTGAGAACCTTGCCACCCACCACGCTGATATCCAAGCCTGGGCATCTCGAGACAAGTTCTGCCAAGACTTGCCAACACTGAAGAGACTTCGTATGACTTCGTGATGGAACAAGTCGCACTCAGCTCCTTTGACTAAGGGAAGTGCCGATTCTCTGATCGCCAGGCAGCTTCTCGATTACCACCTTTCGCAGGACAGCACAACAGGCCACCAAACGTGGCCATGCCCTGTTACCAGATGCGAGGTGGTCAAGTAGATCAACTCAGTGCCTCGAACTCCCTGTCGTTTCGCGGGCTAGCCTGTGATCAGCTAGTATACTGGAACGCGCTCTGTCCTCGATATCACGGCTACGGCCAGGGCTCCAGCTGCAGGCTCTCCAAATTTGGTCTGGCAAGGTAGCTCATTCGTAGGGCATTCTCAGCTTTAGAGATGGCACTACATCGGAGATTCATGTACCGAAGCTTTGGAGATATGTGGAAGACAGAACGGATGAGGGGAATGTTGGCACGTGCCTCATCTGGCACAGCGACCTTCGGCTTATCGTTCAAGCGATCAATGGCCGAATCAACAGCCTCAACGGATCTACCGCAGCATGTGTTGCCCAGGCTGCAGCTCCACTGACAAGCTTTGGCTTTGCAAAGTACATGTCACAGAAAGAATGTCTCACTCAGTACTCTCCGTGGGTGATGCAAAGAACTGTCCACCTCGACAGGCTCACCCTGGTCAGTGCAGCATCCGCACCTCAAGGCAACGACAAGATGCTCACAGGTGACCCATCGTGGCCAGTATAGGCAACGTACGCGATGTTGTGTCAGCTGGGAGGCGCGCAGAAGCGCCATCGCCACCGCCTGACAAAACCACGTTGGAGACACAGGAGAGCACAAGTGAGTACAAGAACAAGACACAGAATGTCCATGAAGGTCTTCTGCCTGTCAAGCTGGAGATACTCGGGTGTGCTGGTCACCGCACCGCGTGGCTTTGACCAGAAGCGCACGCGGAAAGAGCAGATGCAAAAAGGGCAGTTATCGAGTTCTTGCGCACACGACTGAAGATGCAGTAAAACACAGCGAGCGAGAGAGAGAGAGAGAGAGAGAGACAGAGAGAGAGCAAAGTCACACATAGTGGGGCTTCTGGATATATCTTGCGGCTGCAATCTACAGCAGCAAAATCGCATGCATTTCCGGATATTTCCGGCAAAGCCCATTTGCAGACATTGTCTAGAAGTCTGAGCAAAATGAGTCTGCTGCACACGTTTTGATCGAACTTGCGCTATGGCTGGTCGTATAGACCTTCACATACTTCTTTGTACAGCAAGTCCGAAAAAGAATGGTCGGTCTCGTGAAACGCAGCGCTAACGTAACAGTGAAACGATTCCGTTGGCTCTGAGACCGGGATCCAGTCTGATCTTGAAACCCCTTGCTCGGCGCGCCTCTCTCAACCCATCCCCACCGTGGAAAAGTCCGGCATGCTCTAAACACAAATGCCACAACGAACCTTCCCGAAGACCCTTACCACGACTTTGCAAATGGCTCAGAAAACGAGAAAGAAAGTATTCAGCAACGAGGTCTCAGATCAAGCCAGGCGTTAGCCGTACATGGCCACAGGACCTCGAACATCACGGAACTGCAGTTCAACAACCTTGTCTGAAAGTCATTGGCCACAAAGTTGGCACATCCACTTCCTTACCGCTGCGAGTGCCTCTAGAAAGGACCTGTGGTGTGTATCACTGGCGGGTCTTGGCCAGCATGCACAGGACATGTGCCTGCGTGAAACCGAAACTTTCAACGTACATGCGTTCATCTTTGCATGTCGGCAGTTCTTGTGCTCACAGACTTCTGGCAGATGCCCCTCCAACCGGAACCTCGTTGAACCAGCAGTCCGAACATCACTGGCACAAGCAATCTGGACTCAAGGGAAAACATTCACACTGGTTCAATGTGATTCATACCGCATTGGCATTGTTTGGTGGCAAAAGAACTTACCGAGCTTGTTACCGTCAGTGGCGGCAAGGTTGCACCTGATAGGCTCGACAGGCTCGATCGGCGATCAGGGTGTCACTGCCACTCGTTGCCCCCTTCCCCAAGTCTCGAGCCCCTGCCTCGACCAACGGGAGCCTGTGCTCACGCGTGAAAGCAAAACTTTGCACTAACAACCGTTCAGGCGATCGCCCTCCAAAGAAAACTTTGCAAAATGAGGGCTTGGAACGTCTTGTTCCGCTTGATTCAAGAGCAGCCCTGCTGCGCACACTGTACGTTTTACATGTGGTACTCTCTCGCAGCGGCGACTCTTCTGGTGTCAGTGATGGTCACTTGAGGAAAAACTTTTCCAGGATCAACAACTTCCCATTCGTCGTCCTCTCCCTGGTCTGCTTTGCTCCTTTGGAAAGCTCGTTTCTTCACGTCGCTGACTGTGCTTCACATCTAACTCATGTCCGTCTAGTGCGTGGAGTACTTTGGTGCACTGCAGCATCTTTCCCATCATCACTCACATGGGTTTCAGTCTTCACGACTTACACCACCGAGCGCACGCAAGACCTACATGAAAAGTGATATGGTATATGATGGTATATGCATATGCAGCGAGCAAACAGGCTTGAGTCGGAAAAGCAGGGTCCGAGCGAGAGCGCGATTTAGAAAATGCACGGAACCCAGCCATGGGGTGCGGGCAGCGAAGCACTAACCAGAGCCTTCCTCGCAGAACGCAGAAACCCCGTGTTGGCATCCTCATACCTACGGACAACTCGCACTTTCGGCCCTGCCCCTCCGCTATACATTTATTATTGGGGGTTCACGGGGAACAAGATTAAAAAAGGTGGGCCCTCGTATCATGAATTCAATTCTCCTGTGTTCGCAAGGGCTCAATAAGTGCTCCGTCACTCTCTTCGAAAGTTACATCTTTCCCCCCTGGGCCTTTCGGTCTAGGCGAGAGCAGGTCAGAGCCTCTTGAGATTCGTGCGAACTACCAACTACGAAGCCCTATGAGCAGCTTCCTAAACGCGTCCATCCCACGCAGAACTGTCGGCGCTCTCTCTGCAAGTCTGTGGTGGTAGTCACTGAGTACTCCCGCCCGCTGTCTTTCAGTCCATGGTGGTGGTCTATCTGGCCCACGGAAATGCATAGCGGACCAGAGCGCATGAATTTCTCAAACCGCGCAAACTGGCTATTCGGGCCCGGGGACATGTCTTGGAGCTGAATATGCTGAAAGCTCTGACCGTCGGCATGCCGTTGCGTCTCCTTGAAAGACTCTGAGGCCCATTCTTCTGCCGAGCAAACGGGCTCCAGTTCGCGTTCCAGGAAACTGGACGATTGGGCAATGCTTGCGCCGAGTCCAGGGAGCTATCATCAGATAGTCAGATAGTCGGTATGCGCACCAAATTCTTTTCGATGGTTCCACCAGACACGAACTTAAACCAGGAAAGGCGTACTCACCGCACAAGCCGTGAGGAAGACGAGAGGGTCGAAAGATCACGTAGAAGGGACTTCGGCTTTGATGCTTGAGTCTGCTTGAGCACTTGAGCGCTTGAGCGCTTGAGCGCCTGAGGCAGATGGCAAGCCGACTCGCAACAGCTGCATTCAAGTCAAAACTTGTTCGGCGCCATGCCGCGAGAGCGAGCGCAAAGCTGAGAAGGCGAACACCATCATTTTACTTTGAAAAATGTCGTTCCTGGGACTCTCGACGGTTCTTGATCTTTTGCGGTGTTTCGATCGTCCGTAAAATTCTGTATCCGGCTCAGAAAACAGACTCCGGACATCAAAAGTTGTCTCAGACTTGCCGCAAGCCCTCGGTCATAGAATGTGCTTCCAGTGCCGCACACACTGCATCATGTACATGCTGTACATGCATACTTGTGCACCCATGGGACCCTCGCTTCCGCTCCCAAAGCGTGATATACTTAGATGCACCTTCATCGCATGCTCCGGCTCCAAGCTCGAGGTCTCCTCCCCAGCAGTTCCCAAACATTCACAGCCCCCCCCCCCCCCACCCCCCTCATGTTGAAGAATGTTTATCCCATGCTTATCCCTGTTTCAGCCACCTCATCCGGAGCCATGCGCTCATCCCATTGCCATTGCGGATCATCCTAGCACGCTGACGAGATCTGACGAGTGTGCCCTTGAAACGCGGGTCCGAGCCTCGTCTAGATCCTCATCTACATCATCGTAGTCCTCATCGCCCTCGTCCCACTGGTTGAGATTCGGCTGCACTGACCTCAACTGGAGTGAGCCTCACATGCCTCACATGCCAGTCCTGTGCATGAGCTAGGCAACTGCTAGGCAGGAGCTGGGGATTCCGCGCACGTGCTGCGAGGACATTTGGCTCAAAAGGCCAAGAATCGATGACGTAGGGATTGCAATGTACATCTCCGCCACCTTCTTCATTTTACTCTGCTGCAAAAAGACGCCTCTCTAGACATAGGACGTCAAAACGAATCACGGAAAAAAGAGGCTAATAACTTCTAGCACCAAGATGGTCCTGAGGCTGCCGCTGCTGGTCCTGCCGGTTCCAACATCCCACCTGAACAACCAAAGGAGACAAAGGAGATCATGGCAGAAGGAAACACCTGGCTGTGGCTTTGTAGGAAACCGGCACAGGTTCATCCCTGATATCCTCATCATCCAGGAAGACGGGTGGGGGTGCGAGGAACACCTCACCTTGGCCGTGTGCCCAACGTGCCCCCAACGTGCCCAATGCGCCGGCGTTCCCCGGCGTCCCTTTCTTTGGCCGCTTTTCCTTTGCTCTTCTGAAGTTCGAGTTTGCAAAAGAGCTCGAGGCGAAGACCTGCAGGATGCCTCCTGCGCGGGCCAACAGCTGTCCCCTTTTATGGGCACTCAGCAAGACGACCCGCCAAACCACTATAGCCCTCAGCGTCGCGGCCTCAAGATCTGCATGCCTTCCTGCGAAAGTCTTTCACCTCGGGCTTGCGCTCCGGTTGGTAATCAGTGCATCGAAAAAGAAATGTCCAAGGCCAATACGACCGACAGACCCCGAACGTACCCTCTTCGGCATCAGACTGTGCTGCAGGTACGCGCGCTGCCGCTTGGCAATGCAGGCCCACTGCTGCTCCTGGGAGCAGGCAGGTGGCCACAGCAACTGCACGACACCCAAATCCAGCACAATGGGTTGTGATCGTGGTAAGCCGGCTCCTGATGACGAGCGTCTGCCAGTTTGCCAGAAAGCTCTTTGACCTGAAACTCGACCGTATAATATAACGACACACCTATATATATACATATATGTAAAAGCACATGTTCCCATACTGGATTCCTGGGAAAAAGCAAAGAAGACAGAGGAAAGCAGAGGAAAGCAGAGGAAAGAGATGCACATCATGGAACTGGCACTCTCAGGCAACTTTCCCTCAAAAGGCCTGGCTCTGAAGCCTGGTGATAGCTTCCGCCTCGAGACCAGTCTGACAATGGTATATCAACTGCCGCAAAGATGCAACAGTCTCACACTCGCAGCCCTCCGACAATGCAAAAAGCATAACATTGCCACATAGCCAGCACAACACTACAAACATCCTCGGCAACTCACACGTCAAGGGTCATGGGCCGCCGTGCTGTGTTGCAAGAGCTTGGGATTAAAGCGCAGCCAAGCAGGGGCTTTGCAAAGATTTCTGCAGTGACTGCACCAAGTCTTGAAAGCTTCTACATGCCCGCAGCCTGCTCGTGCGGGGCACGACTGGCATCGCCCAAACACGCGTTCAGCCTGGCCCGTGAAGATTAGCAGATTCGTGTGACCATCATTCGACACTGACCCCTCCTGTGTCCTACTACTCTCTTGCCACTGACTCCTACCGGATGCTACCGGGTCCTACCAATGCACCCTTTTGGCCTGGCTGTCGCCTCGCACTGGACAAGATCCACAATGCAAAGGCTGGGCTGATGGGGATGACCATGACCATTGCCGGTGAGCTGAGAGTCAAACGGCCCGCGCTTCCGCTGTCTGCTGCCAGAGCCTTAGTAAAACTCGTTTGACGGTTCTCTCCCCTGCATGTACAGCTCCAAACTCGTTGCAGACGCTGCACTACGTTAACCCAGGGCCAGGCTGTTGTCGCGTGTCTCGCAGCTGTCGATGGAGCTCCGTGGTCTGCACCTCTTCGTATTTCTGTATATCTTGGGCAGCTTTGGACGGGTATATACTTATAATTTATATATGGTACCTCCCCCAAAGATCTACCTATTTATTCTGTCTTGAACAATTCAGGGAAGGGGGTGAAAATATTTGCAACCACATATTGATATACATAGAGGAGAGCAATGTGTCCTTATGTACATAGTCTGTACAGACGAAGGTAGGGTGTCAGGCTGCAAGTCATCCTTGCTTTGACCGACCAGGCCGATTAAGCACTCCAAGGGCTTAATCGGCCGGCCCGGATCGAAGATTGAAAGACTGAAGATGTTCCGGAAACTTTCCCTGGGCATCCTCAATATTCAACCCTCGATCCGTGGGCCCGATTATACGGGCCTGGTTTGTGATGCAGATTTACACTTCGACCGCTTCCCGCAGCCTCCATTGAAATACACCTCTTTAGATAGAAATGGGTCTGGCAGTGAGCGATGGAAAGGAGCTTTCTTGAAACACTCAAGTTCAAATTTTCCCGGAGGCTCTCGTAACTATGTGCTTTCTAAAGTTTGGGTTTGATGACATTTGGGTTTCTTCCAAGGGAGAGCACAAACAAGCTCAAAGCATCCTGCGAAAATAGAGATGGTCCTGTGGATGTTAAACGCTCCGAAGATTCACCAAATGTTTGCAAACATCTTTCAGTCTTGGGGTTTGCGGGTCTGGAGAAATGCTTGTCGTTACGTGCATTTTCTTGTAAAGAACTCGAAAAAATAGGATCATGTTTATCAGAACTTGTGTCAAGTCATTCACAGAAGCGAGTGTGTTTTCTTGTTAGCAAAAGACATATTTTTGCAGGGCTTATCGCACATGAAAATGCAACTACAAGGTAGAATAAATGTACATCATCCATTGACAAACCTATTCAGGGCAGCGCTTCTATGCGGGACCACCAGATAGGGGAACACCACAAACGGGAATTCTGCGAGCAAATAGCACGTGTCTTTCATGTCAGGAATTGCGGGACTTCACACTATGAGTTTCTCTATCTCCAAACATTCGTTTGTCTCTAGAATCGTCCTGTAGCCAGCACCTCCCACCCCGAAACTGCTACTGTGAGAAAAGGTGGGAGGGAGTCAAGGTCTCGATGTCATATGCTGTATGCTCAAGAATAGATGTTGGACACGGAATGTAGATACTTTGTTGTTGTTTTTTTGCTTTGATGAGTGGTTCAGGTTTCAATGCGACTGTTGACAAGTTGAGACAGTAACGAGGGCTTTCAGATGCACCTTTGAGGCAGGAGGGATATCGCAAATGCTGCACTGCTGTACTCTTGCTGAGGCTTCGGATGCAGGGGTGTCGGATGAGTTTGTGAGGTATGGACAACAATGAATGAATGCCTGGTACTACTCTTGCTACTACTCCTGCTCCTCCTCCTCCTCCTCCTCCTCCTCCTCCTCCTCCTCCTCCTCCTCCTCCTCCTCCTCCTCCTCTCCTCCTCCTCCTCCTCCTACTACTACTACTACTACTACTACTACTACTACTACTACTACTACTACTGCTACTGCTACTGCTACTGCTACTGCTACTGCTACTGCTACTGCTACTGCTACTGCTACTGCTACTGCTACTGCTACTGCTACTACTACTAGGACGACGACGACGACGACGACGACGCTAACCACATTGAGTTAGGCAGATCTTTAAGGGGAGTAGCATGCATATATCTATATATGTGTATATATATATATGTACATGTGTGTTTTCAGTGGCTGGTAAGAATCCGTGCAGCGGGCATCTCGCTTCGACAGGATCCTCTGCAAAGTCGCAACAGAGTTGCGCTGCGACTCGTCCTGGAGGCTGCAACTGCATCTCGGCAGCTCTATTGGAAGGCAATTTGCAGTGGCTCGATCAACCGTGTAAAGCGAGCAGTTCAAAGAACAGGCCTCGTCTACAAATGCGAGACACTTCTCAGGAGGATCTGCTATGGCACACTGCCTGTGGAAAGAAGGCAATCCGTGCTGCCGATGACTTCGGTCACTTGGACAGACTATTTCAGATGGGGATTGATTGTTGCAACACGTAGACAAGCTTGTGCCCGCTCCAAGCCTGTCAGTTGGCCCCAACCTCATCAGAACGAAATGTACCGGAAAGCATCCCGCATATCCGGCTTTCCGCTCTATGGCTCCGGCAGCTTTGGCGGGCCAGACGCCTCATTTGCGGAGTTTGCGGCTAGCAGCTGGAGCCCACGAAGTATTCAGCGGCAAGATGCGGCAACTCGCCTCCCTCCAAGTCCCTTCGGCCTCGTCCCTGACTGGCTCGAGATTTGCAGGAGGTAAAGGTGGCGGAAGTGGCTCCTGCCGCACTGATGGGGAGCTTTCTTGGAGAAAACCTCCGTGCATCCTGAACCTGGACCTAGCAGTGACAGCAGTGGCCGAACAGCGTTGAGCTGCGCAGCCTTTCCCGGCTTGTCAGGTGGCACCACTGTTCCAGGGAGCTCCTCTGAAAACTGCCAAGTTGGATGCACTTGTCTGCACATGTTGTTGCAAGAATGCTTCTACAAGATGATTTCAATCAGCCTCAGCCTCGCGGTCGGTGCTACCGCTGCGGTTTGAAGAGCTCGGAGTTCGCCTCTGGTGCTCGGCCAAAGATCATCAAAGATCATAAAGATCTAAGGGCACAGATACAAGAAAATCACAAATCAACGTGTCCAGGCCACACCTGCCAGTTTTCTGAGAGTGTTTTCTGAGAGCGTTCTCTGAGTGCCCAACGTGTCCGCCGATGCTTTCGACGACACCTTTGGACGTCCATGCTCGGGATCCTGGCATGGATTGGTAAAGCACATGCTGCTGTAGACACCCCAGACAGCTCACCAATACCACATCCACCGTGACGCACGTGACATTCGAATCCCCTTTTATCCGATGCACGAAGACTCGTCCGAGAGCCCTGAGTCCAGAGGGTGCTGTCCTGCCTTTTGCGACAGCGGTGCAAGCGACCGTGGGCAGTGGCAAGATTTGGACCACAGCATGCACACGAGACCGGGAGACCTAGGGTGCGAGTGTGATTTGGCACATGGAGCGATGCAAAAACTTGGTTTCGCAATGTCAACGACGCCACAAGTCGGCAAAGCAGGGCCCAGGAGAGAGCGCGATCTTGACCCAATTTCGACCCAACATGTATGCCACACCGAGAGCACAGCGAGTCAGCAACCAATGCCTTTTACCCTGGAGCGAGTGCACACTGCGCACACTTCTCGGAGAGCGCTTGAAGTGTGCACTCGCTGAGACGTCGTGAACCTGTGAACCTCCGCTTGCAGTCTCAACATGGCTCGCCTCACTGGAAGCTGGCGCCGCTGACTCGCGCAATGTTGAGACCGTGGTCGCCTTGCAGCGAATCCCCAAACGGTGCCAGAGCAGAGTTTCTATGTCATGTTTCAAAGCTACCCTGCCTCAAGCTGAGTCGCATCTGCTGAAAACTTCAACAAGCCATCCAGACGAGTTTCCAGCTCCTGCCGCTAAGGAATCAGACTTCTCACATGTGCAGAAACACGCTGAGCGCAATACAGAAAAAGAAAAGCATTGAGTGAAGAAAGAGAGCAAGGAACGCATTACAGCTCGAAAAGGAGGGAGAATAAGCAGGAGATTCAAAATGGATATATTTCTTTCGGAAAACAGTACCACTTACAAAAAAGCATGCATGAGAGCGCGAGCACGGCTCCTTCATTGTCACACCCTTCTGCGCCTCTGCTTCAAGGAGCAGCCTTGACGGCAAGATGGAAGTTACTCACCGCAACATCTTCAAGATGAGTCTTTGTGATGTTCTGGAACCGTTTAGGAACATCTCGCAAAACAGCATGAAAGCAGCGCGCAAAACAGTTTACAATATTGTGTAACTGCATGATTCGATAAACCGGCATTCGCTGCTCGTACTCCATGGCTGGTGTGGTTGCTCTTTGCACATCGCATTGCATTGAGACAAGACTCTCATCATGCCGCGCATGAGAAAGAGAAACGTTTGTGAAGTCACATCGAAAACGGCAAGGCTGTGATCTCAGCATGGTCCTAACCATAGTTGAGTGGCCAGTCTTTCCGTTTCAGAGAGCACGTCCCAGCATGACATGAATGAAGCTATGACACTTGCGAGATCACACAAAGACACTTCGAGACAGACTTCTGAGGTTTGGTGCAGAGTGTAGGGTGTAGGAAGTTTGGAGTGGGAGGGTGTGTGAAGTCTGGAGCGGGAGGGTTTGGGATGGGGCTTGGCTGGGATCATGCGCCGCGATTCACTTTTTGGTCATGCTTGGTTTTCTATGGCACAACCCTGCTTGACTACATGAGTTCAGAATGAAACGGTTGCCCTCTGTAGCTGATATGGTTCGTCTTGCTCCAGAACGAGCCCCCACGACACTGATAAATCATGGGGGAAACCGTGCGACGATGGAATCTGAAGCAGACTGTTCTGATGCTGCCGACCTCACAGACCAAGCTTCTTAAAAGCAGTGAAATCGCCCAAAACGCGCCATCACCCAGATCTAGCAATCTAGCAGACAGCGTCACATTCAGCAAGCACTGCAGACATGTCACACATACATGTCAGGCAAGCAGTCAGCTCAGGCTAGAACCGGATCTTGTCACAAAGATGGTCAACATCATGGCTCAGTGCAGCGCTGCCTGCCTGAATCAAGAACTTGTTGTGGGCTGAGTCAGCTGCGCAAGCAGATCGCAAGCAGGAAAAGAAACTCAGCTCCTCACAGTATTAGACACCCCCTTTTCAATGTCCTTGGCAACATCTGCACCGCCTGCCCATGAGCTGAGCCACATCGTTCGTTATATTTCGTTATTCACTTTTCAAGGATGACCGGTGCCTGTTGGAGCGTTCCCAGCGGAACCTTCCGTTTTGCAGTGGTGCACTGCGTTTCGCTTCCGAAGTCTTTGCCTCAGGTAGTTCATGTCAATCAACAACATGATCATCACTACCACGGCTGGCGGCTGGACATCCGAAATAGCAGCTGTCACACACTCACACTGCGTGACTGGCTTGGACCTATTCCCTCCACTGCTCCGCTCAGGCGATCGCGCCACATGTTGCTGCACCAAAGCAGCTGTCAGCAGCGCAAGAGCCTGCCGAAAGCGAAATGAAACTGGAAGCCGAGAGCAGAGCGACCTTAACGACCACACCGAGGTAAGAAAATGCCCGAGATCGGGACTCCCCCAACAAAAAAGGCCAGGAGGTGGGTTCCATCGAAGCCGCATGACCTGATAGTGCTGAGTTCCTGCCCTGGGGCAAGCACAGAGAAGAATGCGAGCAGAATCGAGACTTGGGCATGCTGGTGCAGTGTCACGCCGGGTCAAACCTGGTCCAGGGCCTTACTGTCGGAACGGCAGCATGCATGGCAACGCCACAATGACGCGCTGCGTGAACGAGGTCTTGGCAATAGCGCTTCCCTCCCGGCAGGGGCCCATCCGCTCTACCATACCATTTCAGACACCCCTGCGAAAATCTACGGAAAGGCATCTTGCAGAGGCTATGGACTATGAGCAACTGCTTAGATATCCGTAAGTATATGAATATGATCTCGAGAGTGTGCAGTGTGCAGTCGGATGCAGCTTGTTTTCCGAGGCCGGGCGCAGCAAAGAAGAAAGTCGACACTTTGTACACGTTGCGTTGCATAGCTGTGGACTCGAATCGTCACATGCGAGGCGCTTCTCAAGCGAAGCACAACAAGATTGGCAGCCACATCCAATGCGCCTGGGCCAAACATTCACTGTTTCGTCAGGGAGTGTACAAGTCACAAGGCTGGGTTCATGACGTTGCCCTGAGAGGCGGATTTGGCACCAGTTTGCAGCAAGGATCCATGGGTAGCGTTGGTGCTTTGCTCCTGAGGGGTAGAGAAAATTCCCCGTGATGGAGCATACAAGCACGCTACGCTGGGAGCATTCAATGCTCCGCTATGCTCCTCATCGTCCGACTCTTCGTCGCCACCGCCTCGCAAGGCAGGGACCCTCGCCAACATTGGTCACACTGACCACATGAAGCAAGCCCGACCCAAGAGGGACAGTGTTGGTCCTTTCAAGTTCCTAGTTGAACCAAAATGCAAAACTCACAGAATGCAAAATTCACAGAAACGCTTGCACTTCAGAGGGCCATATTCCAAGCATAACTTCAAAGCCGAGCCTGGATTGGACATGGTGGGTGGCTCCACGTCATTCGGGGAGACCGCGGCAACCACAGCGACCACTTTAGCCGGAGCTGAGGCATCTCCGACAACTGAGGAACCGGGGGCCTGCACAGCATGCTTGACACATTCCCGCACTATCCTTTTGCAGTCAGCATAGGGCTCTGGTGAGGCTGCATGCCAGGATCCGCACGGCTTTTGCAGCAGCAGCGGCAGCCGAAGTTTTGTTGACTGCTGCACCTGGCGAAAGAAGAAGTGTTGACAAGCAAAACACGCCTCGGTGTCCTAAGGTTTTTTCCCGGTCGGTCCCCCACCGCCTTCTGGTGAGGGTCCTTGCCGAACCTCTATAGAAAGCCCTCCACATCAGTTTTTCACACACCGAGCCTCTCCACCCCTACTGCATGTGTGCTTCATCTTGCTGATGATGGATGAATCGAAGGGGTGCAGCATGGGGGCAGTGCGAAAAGCAAACTGAGGGAAAAGAGCCACTGGCACCTGCTGATCCAGCGTCGCCATGAAAATCCTCAGCAAGGACATGCAAGACGGGCTAACCTTTCAAATCATACTTTGTGTTCACCCGTCATGCCTGGATCAATGCCCGCTGCAAAAGTGGTTGCTCAACAAAGCAGATGCTATGAGTGTAAGATACAGACCACCTTCTTGATGACCCCAGTGGCCTTCGCCAAGAAACTCTGAACAGCATCATGACATGACAGGCATGACATCATCACAGTCATCACATATCACCAATCAAGTCCAGGCTCCAAGGTCGTCGTCGTGGTGGTTTGGACCATGGCAGTGATGCGGCCGACCTTCACACTCCTTCGCAGCCAGGAATGTCGATGCCGCTCTAACGAGCCCGTAGATAAGTCCCACGCAAGTCCATGCCCTCATCCATGAGGCAGTTCTGAATTTTGAGGCCAGCCAAAGTAAGGTCCTCATGTACTCTTCTGCGTCATTTCGGTAACCACAATCGTTCAGCAGCACCCAAGCGAAAGATGGTCCATGGCCTGATCTTGCAGCTTCTCAGCCACTTCGTCAGGCGTTTTTGGACCTTGCGAAGAGACCGTGATGACGAACCTGGCTCACACTGAAGTCACTGAAGCGATGCTCATTCGTTTCAGGAAGGAAGAGAGAGAGTGTGTGTGGTCATGGTGGCTTGTGAGGGGCCCGGCCAAGCAGAGACTTCGTTGCCAAACGAATCTTTGTCATCCACAGGATTGTCGGGAGGCACCTCTGTTGCAAATGAACGTGATTTCAAAATTGCTTTGGTATCAACGGATGGGGCTGTTGCCTCTTCGCCTTCTACTGGCTGCTGCAACAGCGACTCCACACGCGTCTGCCAGCATGTTCAAAGAATGGCCACGTGATGAAAGCAGTGTCACGTTAATCGTCTCAGCGCCAAACCTTCGTACTCACACACTGAACAGATCTGAACAATGACGGCGTTAGTAGACGCGTTGTGCAGGGCAGTCTACGTGCATGTTTTTGCCTCGGCCCGGGCCGCGGGCTCCACAAAACAAAAGGTGCTAGTAATACTCATCGTCAACTTCTCCCCACCTCCAGTCCCCTCCCCGGCAAATTGCAACCGCTCCAACACCACACCGACAAACTAACGGAGTTGAGACTTTCTGAGAGTTCCTTGATTCTTTTGGGTTCCCTGGGTTCCTTGGGTTCCTTGGGTTCATTGGAGTCCAACCAACCTAAGCAAGCACGGACACGGCCACGAAAGCGGATAGGGTCCATGCCTGCCTCACTCAAAGCCTCTCACTCGACCTTTCAACAAACTTTGCTTCTCAAAGCTCAGGCCCAAAACTCCTAACTCTCGGCCCTCGGCTCCGTCAGAGGTGCGCACGAAACTCCTCTCTTAACCCACTTCTGAGGGATCCTTAACACCTCCTGAACCTCCCTGGAAACCGCCTACAAGTATAGGCCGCCCTAGGGACCCAAAACAAGATCCTTGCTAAAATATTCGGGCCGTCGAGGTCGTCCATGCGCAGCGCTCACGTTACATAGGTTGCGCTAAAGCGACTGCAGGCACACCAGACGCAGGGAATTTCGCATTATGGGATGCATGCGCACGTTACCCAGTATAGAGGGATGTTCAGGGCGTCGATAGCCAAATTCTGAGGATGGCGCAAGACAAAGAAGACAACGCCTATTAGTCAGTGAGGACAGCACAAAATCCTAGAAGGGTTGAACTTACACATCGTGCATTTCTCGTACACGTGCCTTTTTTTTGGACCTGTCCCTGACTAGATTTGTGGCATCTTGCTCGACGCTCACAAGAACATGCCCCCTTAAACAGTGTTGCGAGGGTGAAGGGCCCAAAACAAAGCTTCGTGGGGCAAGTGGTCAGCTATGTCCTAAAGCATGAACGGCGGAATGCGAACCGAATCAACACAGAATTTGATGGCAGACCAAGAAGTCAGGTCTGTCATCCTGAAAGGTGAATGGCAGACAGCAGGTTCATGAAGACAGGAGGAGCGTGTGTTCGCATTGGACATTTGGGGTGCTAATGTCCTACACGGCTACCCAGGGATGCCTCACTTGGCACCAGCGACACCCGAATACCTGGCTGTCTCCGCAGATTCCAGAGGAAATATTGGTGATATGCTGGGTATTGAAACATACATAACAGGCGGCCCTAGTGAAGCGAGCGCGGTTTGCTGCTGGTCGGCATACCTAGGTGTGCCAACATACATCTGAAAGAAGCTGGCTGCAGGGATGTCTGAGAAAGGTGAGTTCTATGCTGCAGCGGGATCTGCCGAAAGGTCGATTATCACATATGGCGTCAACGCGTTTTAGTGACAGCCACACAGTTCCGGTTGACGATAAGGATGCTTCCGGCTGATCCCAGAAGCTCAGTCACTCAGAGGCTGGCCAACCAGCTGTGACAATGCTTGCAGCAGCCCCTGGCATGCAGTGCACTGCAACGAGTATGTCACGCAGAGTAGTGCTAGCAGCTGCTCCTAAAATGACCAGAGATCCCCTGGGCTTGAGATGCCTGAAGATCATTGAAGAAACGCTTGAAAAGAGGCACCTCCTCGGATCTGCGGTCTGCGGAGAACGACTTCGGGTAATCCGTCACCATCTCAATAACCTGAGGGTGTGTCATGATCTTAAGCCCCTTAGGGGCTTAGGGGCCTTAAGTCGCCCAAAGATGTAGAAGCCACAACTAAGGGAGCCGCCCCGGTCACGCGCACTTGCGCGGGATCTTGATCCAGGACCGTTTCAACCTGTCTACCAACCCGCGTGCAATGCACATATCCATAATGTATTCTGGAATATTTTTTTGGTGAACAATAGGTGGCAAACGAAACATGATAGGTCTGATAAGGTTGCAGATATTTGTGTGCAACTCCCGCCTGCTCCTGATCTCCATCGGCCTTCGCAAGAATCTGGATGACCTCGCTGGCACACACCATCATACGCCCAAGTACACACTTCCCCACACACATGCGCACATACGCACCATGCACGTTGCCGTCACGCAGTATGGGCTAGTGCTACGATCATCAAGTGCTCCAAAAGTGCAAACCCAACAAATGACAGAGCTCACTACATCACAACATATCACAACACCTGATGGCCTTGGTCTTGGCATCGATGAGGCCGACCGTTTCCAGGATGATATTGTTCCTGATGGTGACGGCCTTGAGGTCCTGGAGCTGGACCATCCGGATGGTCGCAACATGTCTTCTCAATCTTAACCTAGACTTTACTTTCTTGACAAATGTGGTCGAGGTGGAAGTGGAAGATGCTGCTTGGCAAAGAAGATTCTTTGACTGCCCCAGGGCAGAAGCTCTCAGCGTCTTCTGCCCTCCAGGCCATGTGCCACATGCCCGGGTGTTTGTTTCAGATTTGAGTACAGCGTTGATGTTCTGCAGTAGCAGGTGCCAACATCGCTCTTTCAAAGCACGAGCTCACAGTGATCATCAACGGTTGAAGCATTCTTTGGTTTCAGCTTTGGTTCCTCTGAACCTTTAGCCTTCTGTTCTCCTTTCCCTCCACTGGTCTGCGCATCTGAGAGCCTTAGCCTGACCACTCCAGCCACCTGCTTCGACGCAGCGAAATCTCGAATAGTGGCACATGTGTGCTAAGTGACATGAATGCCTGCTACGATGCGAACTGACATGCTGGCCAAGGTGTCAGGAACTCACACAACTTCCATACTATTTACTTGCGCATCTCCACCAGGCAGCTCAAGAAACTTGAATCAGATGACTCTGACCTGCCACATAGCCTAGTTGATACATCGAGCACAAGCTTGTGAGCCCAGACCGTCACTACATCTCCAGAGGCCACCGTAACAACGACAAGCGACGCAATGAGGAATTCGAGAGGTATGCTGCCTGGAAAACTTGAAAACCATGCTGCTAGTGATGCGAATCCTTGCCGTCTTTGCATGGCCTCCGAGTCTACAGGACATGGTATAAACGGAATGCACAAGTGTTTGTTCCTGAGTTTCTTGCTGCGGACAGTAGAACAGGTTCAGGCCTCTCCAAAACCATAGTGGGGGGGTTGGTTGTTCGTGGCCGCTGCAAGATGTCAACATTTTCAGCTCACACAAGCAAGATGGAGTTGTTGCTGTCCTTGAGTTCTGACCTGTGTAGGCACGAATGTACAAGTTCATTGCAGGAGCATGACTCGATCCATTTGCATCCTCAACCAATCGCCGCATACTCGTCTTCGTTTTGGGAAAACATGCAAAAAACCAGGAGAATTCAACCGACAGTGGCAATCGTCTTTGAACGGTCGGAAACAACTGCGACAGTCCTCCGCCATCATGGCTTGTGCAATCTTTCTAGCTTCCTCTGTTGCGGTCAACCGATTGGGTTGCACCGCTCCAACCATGCTGAACCTGGCGCGTGGAGTTTCCCATATTGGCGCAAGGCGCAAGTCTTAGACATGCAACTGAGTGCAGCGCCATGCATGCACCTGCCACGACAAGCCAGAAACCAACTCAGAGACCAGCTCAGCTGCAAGATGCGATCCAAATGAAGCCAGAAGGGGCCTAGAGGCTAAACGCAAGGGTACCTTTTAACCAACTGAAAATGTGTTTCTGTGCTTTGGGGCGTGCTTTGGGGCCAAAGCTTAGGGGTAGGGCTGACAAGTCTGCCAAAGCAAACCAAAGGACCAAAAGAAACCCTGAAAGGCTCCGAAAAACAAGATCAGCAAGATCAGGGAGAGTCGGGCTGGGCACAATAAGCCCTTCAGTCACCAGGCACCCCCCGGAACAAAAATGAAAGACGGAAACCACAAATGAAAGGGGGAGGATGGAGGGAGAGAGATAGAACGAATGAGCGAGAGAGAGAGAGAGAGAGGTTCTGAGCCCGTTGGAAGAAAGATCGGCACAGCAAGAACTCGCAAGTGGCTCACCTCGCCGCTCTTATTCTGAATAGAGTCGCTCGGAATGTTCCTTTTGGCGGCCTTGCGGGGCGGAAGCGATTCTTCACAAAGACTACGACGCTAACTGCAAAGCAACTCACCTGGTCGGAAACATCAGCGGTGTCGTCACCGAACTCAGCCTCATACCGATAGACCTGAATGCAAACTAGTCACGGGAAGATGTAAGCTTCGGAACGGTTGCTATCTGCACGCACCTGGTCTGGAATGAGCGAAGCACGTACACCTGACAAAGGGAGCTTTCTTCTATCATGCTTGGCTCGTCAACATAAATAAACAGACTTAGGTGTTGCGAAGCACATGTTCTAGTGCTTGCCGCCAGCCTGGCTTGGCAATGCCGGACAGCTCTGCTAGTAGCTGTTCAGTTGCCTGCGAGCAGCAGGCATATCTTGCTCAGAACTGCGCACGTACACACAAAGCTCGTCGGTGCTCCTCCTTGGTTTTCAGGTCTTCCGCAAACTTAAGTGGCTCCGGAACGATCATCTTCACCACCTGGCAAACTGCAGCCTAGCTATGGCCAAATCTGCTTTGGCAAAACGTTCTTTGCCGCATTGCAGGGTCATTACTGATCCACCACATGTTACAAGCCCATGATGCTCTTCCATGCATTGCTGGCGGCAAGTGCTGCACTCTGTAGCGCGGCAACCGAATGCAACCGAGCCCAAACATGGTCAACAACCTTAAGGCACGGGAAAAAATATCGTGGTGACTTTGCTAGGTCGAACTCTCCCGAGAACAAAGACGGCAAAAAGGAGCTTTCACGGCACCAGCTCAAGACGGCAAGATGTCCAAAAAATGTCCGGCGCACCCCAGTCAATCGCGTGGCATTTGGATTGTTCCATGCCGGCGAGGGTGCACCTGACACCCAATGAGCAAGCCTATAATCAAAACACATCCTCTCAACAAAAGGGAAACATGTCTCAGTCAGCTAGTCACCAGCCTGTTGTGGTTTTGGTTTTGGTCAGCTCGGTAGAGTCCCTTGGCTTGACCATGTTTTTACAACGCACAGCAACGCGACAACTGGTCAATGTGACACTACGGCAGCTGACCACCCAGCAACGCTGCTTGCTTTTCGAACACAGAGCCAAACCAACTCGATACAGCCAACACTGAGCCCCCCGCGTTTCCTTGCGACCGTGCGAGTTCACATACAACTTTGAAATGTTGACAAGAATGAGCACACCTCCATCGCCAGAGAGTTTGGATCATGTCCCGCATGCCCGCTTCACACCGACCACTACAGCCCGATTCCGTCAACTTCGTCTCTCTCGCTCTCTCTCGCCCGCTCTGGCTTACTTGTTTTTCACTCACTCTCTCTCTCTCTCTCTCTCTGCACGCTTAGCCCCCCCCGAAGGGAAGGCTGCCCCAGTCCCAAGTGTCATGCGGTCTGTTTTTCACTCTCTCTCTCTCTCTCTCTCTGAGTTGCGGGGAATCACATGGGGTAGCTTGCTGAAATTGGCTCTGTCCCCGGCCTACTCGACGAAGCTTGCTGCGCAGAATGCGTCCAGCATGCGCCAGATCCTGCCAACTGCTGAGGTCGCAAGCTCCAGTCCCAACGGCTTGCAAAAACGACGAGGTCCTTTTTGGAGATGTAGTCTAGCACTGCGGTCAAGTTCGTCGAGTTCGGCACCAGCATGCTGAACCTCTGTAGTTGTTGGCTATGGCACGACACTGGCACTCGCGACAAGCAGCGTCCAACCAACTGCTTTGGGTGCTTCTCCTTCTTCTTCTTCTTCTTCTTCTTCTTCTTCTTCTTCTTCTTCTTCTGCTTCTTCTTCTTCTTCTGCTTCTTCTTCTCCACGCTACTCCCAGTCTGGAGCTAAGCGTTGCCCCAACATGGCTACCAGTCGGAAAACCATCGCCCCAGGGTCTGCTGGACCATGGCAGAACTTTCGGCGGTGCTTCGGGGTGTACTCTCGGGGGAGACTGCCTAATTACGTTGTTCCTCGCAGGACATTCGGTGAAATACTCAATGCAAGAATTCGCCTTCGCTCTTTTGTTGGTTCTTCCCAAGAGGGCATGTCTATTTTGCGCCCTATTCACCAGGTGATTCATTTGTTGAGAACTGTGGATATCAAAACCTATGCGGGGATGGACAAGGGAATCAGCTTCCTTGCAGGTCTCGATCAGCCCGTTCGAAGTTGCTTTGCCGACTCTCCGCGTAAGTTTCATACATGGTACATGAGCTCATGGGGCCAGCTGCTGAATCTCTTCAAACGTGTCCACATGCTTCGCAAAGCCTTTGAGATGTTTCGGTCAGTGCCCCCCATGACTTTATGGTTCGTCCATTCCCGATCTACCTGTGTGGGTGGTACCTGCAGAACTCGTCGAAGAATTCTCATTAGGAATGCATCGATGCGGCCTTGCTGTGCACAAACTAGTAGTACCGTTGTGTACATCGTTGCAGATGATGGAGCTGAGAACCTTAAGGTTCCATCTTTTCGTACTTCGAGCTTTGGACCATAAAACCCTGAGTTCGTTTGCTATGCCATTGGCTTTTCCCATCTGCTTCAGAACATCTCTGCGGTTATCAACCATGCCGATAAGGGTTGTCCCTCCATATGCCGGTTGCCCTTTTTGTGACACGTATGAACCGTCGAGGAATCTGACAGAAGATAGGCGTTGGTTCATGGTCAGGTTGACACACTTGTCCGGATTCATGTTGGGAACTGCTTAACAATGCTAAATGCTATTATTTGGAGCTTGAAATTCAGTGCAGCACACCGAACGATCAGATAGAATGATGCGGAGTTCTCGGGCCAGGCATCCCGGAGAGAAAAAAACACAAAGGAACAAAAACCACAAATCTGAAGGTCTCTTTGGTCAGCTGATCCACAAAGTCTCACTCAACCCCTCAACCTCATCAATCGACACGGCAGAAAGGCAAGGCAACCAAATATTACCCTCGTATCGTTAGACCGGCGAAAAACATTCCCCGCCAAACGCTTCCGAACAAGTGGAAACATGTACCAAGATGCACAGTTTAGGGTTGTCAAAAACGATAATACATCAGAGTACACAGCTCAAAAATCAGGTATACGTCAAGCGTGTTCGCTCTCTCCCTAACTTGTTATCTTTCAGGACTTTAAGCGTAAACTTCGCATGCTTAAACAAAAGAGCCATTGCCAGGAGGCTTAGGGTTTAGGTTTGGGGGTTTGGGGTGTGAGGGTGGGGAGGGGGGGGGAAGGAGGTGGGGAGGGGGGGCAGGCGGGGGGGGGGGGGGAGGGGGGAGGGGGGGAGGGGGGAGGGGGGAGGGGGGGGGGGAGGGGGGAGGGGGGGGGGGAGGGGGAGGGGGGAGGGGGGAGGGGGGGAGGGGGGAGGGGGAGGGGGGGGGGGGGGAGGGGGGGGGAGGGGGGGGGGGAGGGGGGAGGGGGGAGGGGGGAGGGGGGAGGGGGGAGGGGTGAGGGGCGGGGAGTATAGCTTCCATTGAACCTCAGCAAGGTATTCTGCTGCACGACACTTCGTCTATAAGTTTCTCGCTTTTGAGTTCTCTTTGTTTAAGACTTCCTTTGTAGCATAACGGTATTTGATCTCTTGTATCTTCGCTATTTCTTTCGTCTAGTGGCTTTGCTGTGTCAAGTCACTGCACCTTGCGATCATGCATCAAGTTGGTGCAGCCTTAATTGAAAGGTTGCACGCTGCCTGGAAGGCTTTTGTCCGGAACGATGGGAGGCCTTCAGGCGGGTTTTGAGGAATGTGCGGACTTCTCGTTTTGGGGCCCACCCGCTTCTTGTCCATGCATCGTGCACCTTTCAAGGTGAGGCTTTTGGACAGGAAAGTGTCGTCAACTTCTCCGAGTGGCATTGTGTTTACACATGCCTTGTGTTTACACATGCCCAAGCCATGAAGCGACGCTGCATCAAGAGATGGGACCATCGCATGATTCGCAAAGCTCCTACTTGTATCACATTGTACCACACAAGCTTTTTGACGCAAGCGAAATCGGATCAGCGATCGACGAGTCTGAGTGTGGAAGCTCGTGGAGATGGCCATTGGCAGGAACTCCTAAGCAAAAGGGCCTGTCTGGACACTGTGACACGTGCAGGCTGCACTGGCTGGACACCAAGCACATACGTTTTTGCAAATAACGTTTAGAGGTTTAGATCTTACTCGAATCACCTTCGTACTCAAATCACCTAAAGAAGCTGGGGTGCTGCCATCATCTAGTGGCAAAGTTGAGTTAGAAACAAACATGTGCCCCAAAGTCTCTGCGCTCTCTCTCTTTCCTACAGTGTCACAGTTCAGCGTCTGTCTCAGCTTGTTCAGTCGCGCTGCGTTTATGAATTTGTTTCACAGTTGAGAGTCTGTCTCAACTTGTTCAGTCGCACTGCGCTCATGCATGTGTTGCTGCTTTTGCATTCATGTGTCTGTCGGTGTGTTTGCGGGCAGAAGTCCGAGCCACCCACCAGTTGATGACATCCCGGCTGCCCTTCTTGGAATCCGGCATCAAAGAAACATGCACACCTCAGAGGACGCTCGACAGAACACTTCAGGACTGGAGAAAGGCAGCTTGGCATGGAAAACTGAGAAGTGCGCGTCTTACTGGCAACTCAGCGAATTCTGCCAAAGCCTCTCGGCTAACCTGTCGTAATTCATTGAGATGACTTTCTCAAACAAGAGATTCTACGCCGCCTATGCATGCAGAGCCATCTCACAGCAGCGACCTGCTCCACCAATGGATTTGCGGCATAGCTCACCGGATCTTCGGTGATGATGTGCATAGCCTCACTGCGGTGCCAATACAGCTTTTGCATGTTTTGGCCTAGCGTCATGAAGGCGTGTCTGGTAAGCTCAAGACGCCGGTGATCTGAGATGCATATCCTTTCCGAATCAACTCCTCTGTTGTGACCTGGAAAAACTTCGTCTCAGTGCACGTGACTTGCAAGCAATGTCTGCAGTCTACAGGTTCATTACTGGGGCGCTGTCGCAATCAGTACCATTGCAGGATCCCGTCTGCCACAAGCACAGGGCAGCAAAGAGTCGTTCAGAACGCCAAACTGTACTTCATTCATTGCCTCATGCTTCGGACCAAGGCAGGCTTGACCACCACGTGCAGCTGGCGTGTCAATGATGCGATAGCGGATGGCCTGGCACAACGTGCACAAAAGCAGAAGCGAGGGCCTCTGAACAATTGTGTACCAAAACTACAATGTGCCAGTGAGACGGACCCGTCCCCGCAAGGTCGGCTGCACTCGGACCTTGACCGGACAGGCTCGCATGCATGAAATCAAGAAGCCACAGAGCAGCTGCATCCTTCTAATGAGGCCCACACCAGTCTTCCCAATCAGCAAAACCTGTTGTGAGGACTACGCAAAAGGTTGGTTCGATTCATGCTACTAACGTCCAAGACAAACAGTTGCGTGAGTTTTGGCTTCTGCCGTCAGTTTGCAAGCAGATGCTGCCGGGTGCTACGAGCCATATGAGCCATTCATCTCAGAGTGCACCGTGCTGGGTCGTTGGATGCTGCGTCCGAAGTCCAAAGAATTGGTCACCTGGTTGTGACGGGCGTCGAAAGCGGCTTCGTCGGCCCAATGAGAACTGAGGCTTGTCGGGTTTTTCCAAGCTTTTCCCGCCAGTTGAGAAAATGCTCGGTTGAGCTCGATGCCCTCTGACGCCACATGCGCTTCCAACGTGCTCAGCGTAGTAAACGTGCATTGCGGGCTGGCAGAGTACATTACCGCCGATCGTCCAAATATCAGTTCGTATACTGCCCCACTGCCCGCTCTACTAGCTGAGAAGGTCGTCCACATGTTCCCGAATGAACGCGGAGCAGCATGATTCCGATGTACTGCCAGGCTGCACCACGTCATCGCAAGGACTTTGTTAGACTCTTAGACACGGAGGAACCCTCGGTCCGTATTTGATCCTGAACCCTGAGCTTCTTTCTAGATACTCGGGGCCTTGAACCTACGGTATAAGACGGCAAACACAGCACCAGTCCACGAGAAAAGCCATCGAAACCCAATGACATGAAAGGCGCGGGAGCTGGATGCATAGTGACAGAAGCAATAGCCTGGGGACCAAACTGCAATCTTGAGGGCACAGCTCCTCATTGCATGTCTTCACATCTCTTGTGGAGCCTTTGCAGACAAGCATGCTGCTTCATCTGTGCCCACAACGTTGCCGAAGTGCTCAATAATGGCAGGGACCCGGCCAAAGCACTCTTTTCCTTCGTGGGCTGCTGGGATGGATATGTTTCGCAAACGATCTGTGATGCCAGCGCCACAGGACTTTGTGCAAGCCTCCAACACAGGGGAAAACTTTCCAAGCACAGGTATCACACTCGTATCACACTTGTAGCAACACCGACAAGGGCTCGAAACTACCAGTCCCTGCCTTCCATTCATTCCAATCGGCCCACACACAGTCTATGGGACAAGGCTTCTGGCCACACCTGTTACTCCAATCAAACGAAGAGCAAACTGAAAGTGAGATGCCCAACTTCCGTACTTATGACCACTGATAGTTGCCAGAACTGTTGTTGAGGGAAGAGCAGCTTCTTCTGCTCGTCCTCAACGAAAGTATCAGACCCAGCAGCGAACGGGTGCCATGATGTGCCATGCATGACATGCAGAGACTCAAGCCTGATGAATCCTTTCTTGACCAAACTTTACTCGGAGCTTGTGCCACCAAAAGATGGGTTTGGGGCTGCTCGAGAACTGTGCCGTCCATTTATGCTTTTTGACCATATGCCTCGTCTGGTCTGCAGTACATATACCACATGAATCGGGCAATGACAAATACCTGCTTTCATGCAACAGTAGATCTCGTGTGACGGGAGCGAGCGAATGCTTGCCAAGACTACCATGCACCCGAACACGAACCGTAGGTACAGTCCTCACCGTCGCAGGGTCTTCCACCCGCAGTTTCTTCAACAAGTCGCTTCCGAGCGCTTGTAGCCTGACCATTGACTACTCGAATCGTCCCAAACCAGCAAAATACTGCAAAGTCACAGGCTCGCACCCACAAGGAGACATTGCTGCCGCAAGTTTGACCTCGAGCCAAAGAATCCATTCAGACAAGATGGGAGCACTTGACCACCATTTGCAGTTCTCCACATTTGCAATGCTCAGGCAAATCTGGGATCAGAGCTGCAGTGTGACCAGTGGCTCCAGTCCCCCCAAAGACAGTCAACTGGGCAGGTCTTTTCAGCACAAGGCTTCTCCTGGACAGCGCGTTACGATGCTGGACAACCGTACAACAACTCTGCAACACATGCAACTCTCTTGACCTGCTCCAGTGGCTCACTGCAAGGCCGGCCGCCACCATCCTACATCGTGATACAATTTGTTTGGACCATGCCGCACCATGCCCCTCCCGTGCGGAGCCGCCTCTTTCACCAGGACTTTGCGCATGCGCGTACTGGTGCCATTACCACAAGTCACGGAGCCTGGGCTGAAGGAAACATAAGGAAACCCGTGGAACTGACACGCGAGGCGTCGTTGCCACATCCAGCTCCCAAGAGCCCGAGCAGGCTTTCCAGTTGCTCCAGTCCGCAAGGACACAGTCCTGAGACTGCTGGAACAGGAACCACCACTGACAGACCTTGTCCACAAGATGCTGAGCTTAGCCAAGAGCTGTTGGGCATGCCTGCCGCATGTTGATTTGCTCACTTGCCGTGGCCAACGGTACGGAGCTGCATGTTGGGACAGATGCCTTGACGTTGCAGACCTCCTCATCCTGCGTGGCTCCTTCACACTTCTTTCCTCGGCTGAGAACAAAGGTTAAAGAGCATCACGCAGAATCAGAAGCATTCTCTTCTGTGGACCGAACCCTCGGAAACAGCAGCTTCTGCTATAGATCGGGTTCGCCTGAAACCAGTGAATGGTGGCTTGGTCTTTTTGTCTTGAACGAACGGATGCCACTTGAACGAACGCCAACTTCTGCCAGCAGGACAGCTTCACTCCGCCAGCGCAGGTTGTTGAACAGTCTCCCCATGCAGACCAATCCTCAATGTTGCGGAACCGGCTCATCCATGCACTGCTGTGCATGCGGTGTCAAAAGACTGTACGGAGGCAAGTGCATGTGCTCAGGATGTCGGAGGTGCACAGGCGACACTGAGACATAGGCTGCCCATTTACAGTCCCGCGGACAAAGGGTGGTACCGCAGTCCTGACACTGTGACCAACACGAGCACATCATCGTTTGCACGGCATCAAAAAACACGATCACAAACGGAGACTCTCGCAGGGACATGTCATGTGTATCCTCCACCTGGATGCCTTCCGCCATGTTGCAGGGCCTTGCAGATTGCGCAACATACTTCAATACACTTCATCCTCCAACAACCGAGCTCGCGTAACATAGTGTGTTTCATAACTTGGCATCTGGCTTTCCAAGGCTGTTGTTTTGGACCTTTATGGGTTTGCCTCTCTGGCGTGTACCGCCATCGCAGGATGCAGTACCTTTCACGAGCTCCCATCCGAGATGTCATCAGGCTGATCCCTTTCTGGCCTGTCTGAGCTTTGGCTGAGCTTGGCACAGTGGCTCCAGTCACTCCACACGTCCCAGTGGCAATCCACTGGACAATCAATTTCATTGCAGCGGTCGAAGTCCTGATCAGAGGCTTTGTCAGAATCCTGAGGACACCATCCCAAGCATGAATGCTGCACATGAAACGGCTTAAACGGCTTGCGCACATGCTCCCAAGCACTTTCTTGTCACATTTTGTGCTTAGCCGCGATGGTGGAACTCAAACGTCGGTCCGACACGCAACCTGTACATCATGCAGTGTCTAAAGACGCCTTGTTCAAAGTGATCACTCAGTGGCCCAAGCTCAGTGGGCTGTAATCGGGATAGCCGGCAACACGAACACCTTGGATTTGCTGGCACTGCACATGGGACTTCACGCATTTCATGGGCCTCTTGGAGTTGGGACGTGTTGGGACTTTACGGATTTCACGGGCCTTTCGCGAGACTCGTTGCTGTGCACAGCGAATTAAAGTATAATTACAGTCCTATACATCTTTTTGGTAGATGGCACTGAGTGTAGATGTGTCTGCAAACGAACCCACATGCGGCATCCTTCCGTTCGTCAACTCTCGGATTTAATCCCTGCATTAGGCTGCGGACTGGAACAGCATGGACAGGGACCCACACGACAGCACGAGGAGACTGCGGTGGAGTGGACTCAGGCGTTGCAGGCCACAGCTGGTTGGCCTGGCAGAATTCGCAGCAATCTTTGCGCTTCTCTATGAGCTATGCTAGCCGTTTTCCGGAGTTGTGCTGTGACCTCAAGATGCTACAGGGCCTCTTCCACCTCTTCCACCTCTTCCACTTCTTCCGCTTCTTCCACTTCTTCCGCTTCTTCCGCTTCTTCCGCCCCTTGCGCCCCTTCTTGTTGAGCTTCAGCCTGCCACTCAGGGCGAACGATGCGACAGCACAGATCGCGCCCTTCATCAACCTGCTCTGAATCAATCTTCTGGCTGTCAGGCACTCACAGCCACACTCACAGCCACATTGGCACTCTGTCAGAGACCTCTCCTCAAATATTGGGAAGCACGGACATGACTTTGCCCGGATGAGAGCATCGTCTGCCGGAACCTGAAAAAAAAAGGAGCCGAGCAAAACCCTGCAACTCTCCCGCAACTTCATAGAAGTGAACCCGAACTTTCAACGTGTCCGCTCCTCTTCGCCCACTGGGCCGGTCTCGATCGCAGATGTGGAAGGGCCAACTTGATCCAGCTCTTGCAGAGCCTGCGGCACCTTCTCCACATTAAGGGACGCTGGACAGCCGGAATCCTCCTCAATTTCGAAAGCTGGTGCATCCAGTCCATCTGGTGGCTGAGATCTCTGTGCCCCCAAGGCCTGCCGCTTTGGCACAAGACTTGAGGACCAGGACTGAAGGGTAAGAGAACCCATTTGCCTCCTTTGACCTGGCAGCCCTGGCCACCCGTCTCTTCTTGCGCTTCTTTGCTTGCCTGAAGGTCCGTAATCCAAAAGGCGACAAGCAGGCGTTCCTGTTTTCCTGGCCTGCCAGGCTTGTCAGGCTTGTCAGGCATGTCAGGAGTTTCGTCGAACTGTGCCAACCTCGATTCATCGAAGTCTTAACAGCCTGACGCAATCGGATTGAAGCTGAGCATTGCACAGCTCGTCAATGTCACGCAAATCCTTCAAAGGCTCAAAAGGCTCAGAGGACATGGGAATGTCTCAGCCATGTGCTACCGCAGATGCCGCTGAAAAAGGCACCTCTTGCCATCCGCACATCGTGGGCTTTGCTTCGCTCACCTCATAAGCATGCGTCGTGAAGGGGCCACTGCCGACCACGTGAAGACAGTAAGACATGCGCATCTAGTCGGAGTAGCATGGAAGAAGTATGGGCCGACCTGCGGGACGGTGTCAGTTCTCAGGAACACAGGCTTGAGTCATCAGATCGCCTGGTGGCTGTTGCCAGGAAGCTCCGAAAAGTCTTGTCCTCACGAAGCCCAGTGGAAAACTGTTCAGCGATGCAGGAACCGTGAAAGCAGCGACAGTCCGACAGGACCACACAAGCTCCATCTTCGGCAAGATACCTTCAACAAATGCACTGCGGACAAGTTGTGGCCCCTTTGACATCTGTCAGCCTGGGCTGCGAGTTGGAGCCACAGAGGTCAGCAGTTGCTGCCTTCACAGCCTCCTGGCATATCGGATTGCGTGCCCAGTCTCACCGAGGTTGCTGTTGAGGCAAGCTCAGCCGTGGGCAAATTTCAGCTCGGCAGGGCTTTCGAAAAGCAGACGAAAGATTTGGTCACCACCTCGAGCCCAGGCAGTGTCAGACTCGAATCAGGGCGCTTTTACAGTACTAAGCCTCTGGCAAGTAATTTTGAGTACCGTGCTCACCATACCGTCAGTCATTGGCGGAGCCAAAGTCGAATTTCAGCTTGAAGCGGTCACGATCACACGAACCACGATGCTAAAAGGAAGGACAACGCCGTTCAGCGGGCAGGACAACGCCTTACATCGCCTAGGACTGCAGCAACATTGCAGGTTCGAGCCAAAAAGTGCGTGCATGGGATGCTGAATCTACCACAGATCCGGATGTCAAGAAAAGCGATTCCGCAAAGGGAATAACAGAGACACACAGCATGACGATATCAGAATACGCTAGCGATGTCCTCCGAGGCCCCATCACACCTGTCAATTGTTTAAAATGCACCACAGTTCTGCAAAGCTGCTGGAGGGTTCGGAAAAGACGAGGGCAGCACTCAAGGCCCCCGTGCCGCGGCTGCAAGGCCACAGTCCTCTTGCGACCTGGGAATGTCCAAGTAACAAATGGCGCCTTTTGGATCCTTTTGGTGCATAGTCTGCATAGTGTATCACAGGCCATGGCTCTTCCATCCTTGGCCACAGCTCTTCGAGCAGTAAGACCACGGACTCCAGTCGTACCACCTCTCGTGGCTAACAACCTACATCAAGCCGCTCTCCCGAAAATCAACAACAGATGCGCCTGCAGTCTTGCTGTTCACTGGCGTGCTCGTTTTGTTCGGCAGGCTCCGCCTCAGAAAACGAAAACTTCAGCAGCAACATCGCGCTCTGTTCCTTCATCAGTGAGTTCATGCACCAAGCACGGGACAACAGGAGGCGGTTGCACAGTGACGTTGAAAAGAACATCGCCAAACGGCACAGTATTCTCCTCAAACCCAAAGCCATCAAAGCGCAAAGCTGCACCGCGAAAGTGACCAAAGCGTGTGAAGTTCATGGAAACCAGGTTCCGAACTAGACCTGCTGCTGGTACCTCTATGGAGTCTTCCTCCCGAGATCATCTGCATGCAGCGCTTGACAAGCGACTTGCTGGCGGTCAAGCTGCCTGTATCTTCTCGGCGCGCATTATTCTTCGACCTATATACGAAGAAGCCGGACCAACAACATGTCCCAAGAGTGGACGAATACACGCACCCCTCACAAAACCCTGTCATGTTGCAATGGTGTTGGCGTACAAACTTTGGGCATGTGCTGACACTGTGCAAAGGCCACGGAATGAGGACCAGGCTGACAGCTGCGGCACCATCCTGGATTTTTAATTTGCAACCCAATCTTCATTCACGACCACATAGCCACCACAGCCCGCTCACACAACAAAACCAATTCCAGAACACCTCAAATTAAATCATACATCGCAACTAGGACTGAAATGAAGAACCGTGGCGGCTGCGCATGTCGGCATCTAACATGCTTGCAGCCGCTACTTGCAACCAAGATATAAACTCGGATCTCAAGGGAGCCTCGTCAGTGAGCGCCGCATCCTCTCGAGATTCTGTGTCACCTGCACAACTTGGACATCGAATCTGCCTTTATACATCGAAAAATACATGGCCAGCAGCCTTTGCTGTGAGACCGCACCGTGGATGCGATGGCTAAATGGAACACCAGCTTGCTGGACAGTAAGATGCCCAGCCACAGCCTGCTGCGCATTCAAACATTAAACTGGACTCCGCAACTGTCTCGAGAAACGATCGCCTTTTGTTGCAGAAAACCATCATGTCATAAAGACAACCTGGAATGAGGAAGCAGCTTGTGCAGCAGGCAAAAATGGCAATCTGGATGAGGTTGCCGCGATTGAACGGCCTGAGATACGGAGGCAAGAGAATGTCTCAAAATACGTAGAATTCAGCACCCTACCTGCAGCAGAGCCAAATCATTCACAAAAGATGTGCATGTTCTAAAAAGCTATCCGCAAACAACTGCGAAGACATGATCGAAAACATTGCGCCAGTCATCTGAAAAAATGCTCAACGAAAAAGTAGCAAGTGCTCGATCACTAGAGCATTTGTTGAGTGGAGAATACCTACAGCTAACAGCATCACACAAAAACGATTCGGCAACAAACACAGGCTGCTGCCCACAAATACGTCCACAAAACAAATCTCTTCAGGCCTCCATACTCAAGCATGCCATCTATTCGACGTCTGAAAATGGAGATTAACCCGCAATGCGAAAATTTGTGATCTGGGTGGTATCAAAGAAACTCGCAAGCATTTCTTGCTCAAACATGAAAACGAAGAAAAACGAAGGGAATAGTGAGTTGATAGCGCACTTGTGGGGTAGCAGGCGCCTCCGGCTCCGCCGAGCTTTTGAAAAAAACTTTCCATGCCTTTTGGGGCACCACTGCACCATGTTCCACGCTTGGAAGCCCTTGGCGAACAAGTAACACATCAACAAAACGCCAACCTGACGCGCTCGTGCAGAATCAGCACCTCCAGACTTTCCACCTTGTTGACGATTTTCTCCGGGTACAAAGGACCAAAACTAATCAAAGGCATGTCGATAAAATGACTAACGTGTCCTCCAAGCCAGCTTGGTGCGCAAACGTTGGCTCTTGCTACAAGCCAACCTGTCGTTGCGTTCATTCCTCTGTTCTTCGAACGTGCGAAGAAATCAACATTGGCAGAGCCGGCGACGACTTTAACCACACAATACAAACTTAAGGAATGTGGCTTTGAAAATACTACGATGTTTGCTTCGCTGCTTCTAAACGGATTCGAGCTTGCAACGAAAAGGAATTTCGAAAAAAAACACTAGCTAACCTCGGACACTTTCTGTCCCTTGCAAACGTATTATCCAGGTTCACTGCCGGCACTTGTCCGTTACGAATGTTCCTAAATGCCACCTTTAGACGGAACACTGCACGCATCTTTTTTATCACGCTGGCGTAAAAATCCCGGTCGGACGGAAAGACTTCGGGAAAGGCACCCGGGCGGAAGGAAGAGGAGAGAATGCTGGTCGTGTCCAGCAGCTTGACCCGCAGGGGTAGCAGGGCCAGCATTCTTCAAGCAAACGCCAGCAAGCGTGAGAGATCCGTTTCCAGCGGATACGTGTGCACAGAAAAGGTTGTAGGGAGTGCAGACCAGGGCACTGTGCCGCGAGTGGATTCCTGAAAGCCAAGCAGGGTCGGTTAGTAACCCCGACTGAGGCTATCAGCATGGTCAACATGGACGGAAATGTATTGACGCTCCTGTAACAAGAAGAAAGGAACGGAACAACACGCACATACCTTTGGCCAGCGAGAGTCCTTTCCAGGAGGCAGCCTCCAAAGCAGAGTTGTTGCAGCGGGGTAACGTGCAGGGGCGGATGTCCGGTCGGCAGAAGGCATGACAGGAGATGCAGGAGGGTGCAGCAGGAAACCACGGGAAGAAGGTGTACAATTCGCTTTGGAAAAAGGTTTCCTGGGAGAAAAGACAACAACCTTTAGGCAGGCAGACAAAACCACCGAGACCCGCGGATGTGGATGAGGCACATGCATCTGCGAAGGCCTTAGTTGACATGCAGCCACATGATCATCAAACGGAAGTCCGTGCCTGATCGGCCAATCTGCAACCACATGGCATCAGAGATGAACCTGCCCCTCAGAACAAGACGCTGTCAAGATTGTCCAAACCTCTGTGCTTGCCTCTCAAAAACATTATTGTTTCCCATCAGTTCAGAATAATTTATTGCACAATGACACTTCACCATTTGTAAAATTCCGCATGCTTTTGCTGGCACCGTTGACTGAGGTTCACGGATATCCATGCAGATTGACGTTGAGCAAATGTCCACAAGATGCCCTGGGAATGTGAGTTGGCGAAGCACCACAAATGCTGAAATGGAGCAAGCTCAGCACTGCCTGACATGTTCTCGTGCCTGTGCTTCACACTCTGGCAGACAACTCAAGTGCACATCACGTGTCAACTGGGAAACTAGAAGGGTCACATAAATCAACTCTTTTGGAAATCTGACAGTGCAGGGAGATCATCGCAAAATGCGAAAGCATGCCAGACAGTCAAAACCCGGACGCAAGCAACATAGCGGCTTCTCTTTTCGCAGACAGTGGGTTTGCTTAAGGCAAAAAAAAACGGCTTTACAAACTGAAAATAATGCGAAGAACGATCTTGCACAAAGACTCGAGATTGTGCTGGGAAGCTTTCAGGTTCATTCCAAAAAATTAAAAATCATTGACTTGTTTTTGATTTGTCGTCAATGTTCTGTGGAGGTTACGTAACGCGTTCTTTGTTTTTTTTTTTTTTGAGGTTGAAACTGCGCTTAAGACATGCCTTTAAGGATTGTGCGTTAAAAGCGATTTGGCAGCATGCACGTGTACCTGTAAAGCAGTTGGATTTTAATTGCAAAAAGTTAAGAAAAAAATTTCTTGATTTTGACAAGGTTTTCTGCTGGGTGCAACTTCTGGAGCAAGCGTTTTAGGATTTCTGAAGGCTCTAGAGATCGCGTCTACCTTTCTGCTCAGTGTCGAAACACTTCAGATTTTTGTTGATTTAAAAATTTTTCTGTTTGGTTTTTTGAACACTTTGGTTGTTGTCACGTTTTTTTTTTTTTTTTCAAAGTCAAACATTTTTTTTTTTTTCAAATGCCGCGTGGCAGCCCTTTGGTTCAAATTTTAGGTTCGTCAAAGTGGTCTTTGTACATTCTTTTGGTTTGAAATTTAGGTTTTCTGCTGGTATTGAGACACCTTTGAGCTTGTGACTTAAAGTGATGCACTTCGGTTCAAGTTTTTTTGGGTGCTTTAAGTTTGTTTAAGGGCACTCTGTGACTTGTGCTCGGTGTGTGTGTAAGTTAAATCGGTGCCTTCGATTCAGTTTGGGCACTTAGTGGCATGTGCATGCTGACATACACATCATGGAAGCTGTCAGACACCAATGCCCTAGCTTGCAAACGACACTTAGCAGTTAAATTTTCCACCCTGTGTAGGATTGTTGGCGACTGGTGTGGAGAACCGTCTCAGAGTTTGAACAGTGCTGCAGCCGTAGAACAGCAAGTGATTGGACTCTTGGCAGTGACAGTTGTGCGTCGTCTTTTGCTGAAGATGAGCTGTGTCGGTGAGCTTTGAGTCCAAAGGGGTGTAGATAGTGGAAGTGTGTGGTGTAGAGGTCAGCTCTGCGTTGCTGCGGTTTTGAGTGTTTTGCATCTGTTTGGAGCTGTGCAAGCACCTTGAGTGGCATTTGAGTTGTGTGGGCTGTCTGCGACCATGCAGCTTCAGTTTTGGAGAGTGTTTAAAGCCCAGTGTTTGACCCCACATGCAAACGCATGTTGTTTGGCTCAAGACCGGAGTCGTGTTTCAGTGCGAGAAAGCTGAAAGAAGCAGTGCGAGAAAGCTGAAAGAAGTGTTTGGAGTGCCTGTGAGCTGTGTGACTGTGAAGGGTTACTTGCACTTGGTACTTTGGAACACGAGTGAGTTGCTCGTCTTGTGCGTGACTTTGGTCTTTTTGCTTCTCATGCTTTTAGTTTCCCCCCCTGTTCGCAACCTGCTGCGTTGCCTTGTTTTTGCTCAGCTGCATTCCTGAGGAGTGCGCGCGATGTTGCAATTGAAGATCGCACGATATCTCCAATGTTGGGTGCGGCAACGACCAGCGTGCGTACTGGGCTTGCTCCTAAATCTTCTGAAGCCCCACTGTTCGCCTTGGGCGCAAAAGAAAGAGTGCGGACATCGTAAATGCCGCATCTGTTGTTTCACCACTTACATTTTACAATGAGTATGTGTAGCGTTTTTGTTTACAACAACGCAAGCAAACAGGGAATAAGATTGCACTCCATCATAAAATCCATGTTTCCGTTTGCTTGTTACAAGAATGCTGTTGGCAATTTTGATGATGTGTTGTAAACATAGTTTTGATGCAAAATGTGAAGCACTGGCACACGTGCTTCTTTATAACATACATGTGCATGGATGTCTGAGTCTCGCTTCTGTTGCAGCAATTGTGAGAGTGAAAGTTAGAGTTTGAACAGTGCTGTTCCCGCTCTCCCAACCCGGGTGAGCGAAGGACCTCACACGTGATCGTTGGATCACACTGTTGCTTTAGGTGTCGCACTGGTGCATCACTGTTAGACTTTGTGGAGCCCATCAATTCGTTTTGTTGATTTTAAAGCAAGAGCTAAGGATCGACCTTGGAGCAGTATTGAGCACAATGCTTTGGCTACTTTCGACACCAACAAGCGTTATTCGGGACCACCCAGCCCCTGCAGGATGTTTTTCGAATCATTTGCAACCGAGAGCTGTTGGTCATTGGTCCAGTCAGAGTCAGAGTTGCTTTCGGCCATTTTGCTGCCATGTGGCTCGACTTCGCAGATGTGCATGAATCGAAGATTTCGAGAACCTCATCCGTTGGAGAAATGACAGATGCAAGCCCCCCGAATCTAATCTTTAGGGATTCTAAGGACGAAGGATGCGCAACAAGGCCCTGTGGCTGGCGCGGATTTGGAGCTCAGCACCGTTCTTCGTGTGTAGTTTCGATTGTTGGCTGTTCTTTTGCGAACTCATTTCAGCATGTGGTCAACGATTGCACGATTGCAGTTGCCGTGAACATGTGAACTTACGTGTGAACATGTGTAGCAACAGAGCATTGTGAATGATCAACCATTGCCCCAAATTTCAAGTCTTGACAAATACATGGAAGATGCCATGGTTCCTTCTTCTGGTTGCCATAATTCCATCTCGCGGGCTGGCGCCGATGCGACTGGGAGATCAATGGCTCGCAGCAAATGTTGGAAACAATTTGGGTGTCTCGTCACGTGTTGTGTTGTAATGGCCCATGGCATTTCCGATGCACACTGTTTTATTCATGAAGGAAGTGTGAATAACTTGAGTGTTACATTCCCTTTTTGATGGTGTTTCGCTACGTGCATGAAGAGTACACGCGTGATGTTGCAATTGAAGATAGCATGATATCTCCAATGCTGCCGCAAATGTACAAAAATAAGCACCACGGTGCACCTGAGTGCTGCATCCAAGGCCCGTTACTGTTGCCCCATGTGTGGATGGCAACGACCAATGTGCGTACTGGGCTGTGATCGGAGAATGCGAGGCTGATGTAAAAGACAACAAGATAGCAATTCCAAATTTGACATGGGAAGACTCAAGCGAGATCTGCAGAGTTCTCCAGTGCAAGTAGCATTAGCATGCTGTGGTCCACTCAGCGTTCAATGGAGAGCACGGAGACGGGGGGGGGGGATGTTTTTTGCCAGTGGCTCTTGGGCTGGCTTTTGGTCAAGGCCAACCCGCGCTTCATGTTGGAGGTCTGTCGCGCATCGTGCCACGTATGCGCGGGGGACGAAGGCTGGCAGCGGAGGTTTTGAATGTGGTTGAGTATGGTTGAATGCCGTTTACGGCTGATAGCACCGGCAGCACAGGTGCATCGCACGCGAAGCTCTACAAAAAGCTGGAGCAAACCATGGCCATGAGGCAAAGTTCTGTAACACAACTCTCGGAAGTTGAATGTTGGTTGCTCCCTCAACGCTCATGGACAGTTCTAGCTAGCCATGATGGCCTTTGACCCATTGGAGGCAACATAAACTAGCATTTGTTCATGCAAGGGTGATGGCTCATGTAAGGTTGTTGCTGCCACGAATATGTGGAGTGCTTCCAAGAACGTTGCGTGTCTCACACCAGAATTCCTGCCAATTCGCCACATGCCGGGCTTGAATTTCAACTTCCCGTGCTCAGACCTTCAACAGCCCTGAGCGACACAAGCGCTGTCGAGGTCGGCAGTGTCACAAGTTGAGTCCGTAAAGTCGCATTTGTCAAGCCATAGCATGTCGATGGTTCATGCACGATTTGCTGCCGAACCCTAACAAACCAGTGCCTTCACCGGCAGGTCTCCTACAGTCCACGAGTTCTGCTTGTAGAGAAGTGGGGCCTGCTTTGATTTGGAGTTTGCGACAGGGCAGAAAGTTGAAGGCAACCTTATTGGGCATGGACAGCATGGAGTATTGCCGTGAACCTGAATGGGTTTAAAACAACTTTTGCTACCAGTGGTAACGACAGGTAGGCCCTTGTGCTTCTTGGACCTGGCCAGGTTCCTTTCCGAAGAGGAGTGCGAGGCGATTGCTTCTTCAAAACATCAGTAAAGCCCTGGGAGCTGCTTCGGATCATGGATGAAATTCTCAAGGTGCTCAAAACTATGGCCGCGCCCCACCTTCACGACGCCAAGACCATCAACCGAACCACAGGTCTGCGACTTGCATACATTTAATACGAGAGTTATGTGCAACTCTGGCATGAGATTCGCATCCCCCTTCTCAATGTTGCTCAATGTGAAGGGGCTTCTTTGCCGGACAAAGTGCGCACGAACTCTCAGATGTACTTCGACAGGGCAAGCCACTACCAGGCTCATGCGGCCGGTATACTGTTCCGTGGCCATGGGAGGTGATTTTAAGGTCGTCTCCGAGTGATGCAGGACCCCGTGGTCGCCGCAATTCAGCATCGCATGCAAGTCCTTGCGCGGATTCCTCCGGGGCATTCAGAGCCTTTGCAGGTGGGTCTGTATATGCTTGCATTCATGAGTTGTGGCAGTGCTGATTGAAAGGTGGGTCGGTACCGCGAGGGCGAGCATCTTGGGCTGAGTCAGACAAGGGTGTGACCCGTTTGTTAGACGCGGCGCGATCTTTCGCAGCCAGGCTCTGGCTTCTGGATAGTCAAATATTTGGCAGAAGCGGAGCTTGTCATCCTGTTGCGACATGGATCAACGGTCTCGCCCAAAAAGGCTTTGTCCGATGGTCTCTCAGGTTCTATCAGCCGCACTATGACTCGGAGCCTGCACAAAACGTGCGGCGTGCAGCGACTGTGCTGGTTTACCTGGATCCGCCGGAGGCGGGGTCCGTATGCGAACACAACGATTGTCTCTGCCAGCTGCTTCGAATTTTGCAGAAGCCGATGGGTGCAGGCGGGAGGAGAGACGATCTTTCCTAAGCACCGCCGGTGCCAGGACCGGCTAAGCATGTCTAAGGCTTCACCGAAAGGAAGCAGGCCATGGTGCAGGAGCAAAGTCGCTTCGCTCGAAGGAGGCCGACTTTGAAGACTGCTGCTCCCGCATCGAGGCAGCGGGCTGTTCTTTTGTGGGCGGCTTCAAGAGGTGGCATCAAGGTGCCGTGAACAAGCTTTTCTTACTTGAAGCTGCAATCTGAACACTCGACCCTTCGGACGAGCTGGTCTCAGAAAGTGTCGGCGAGGGAGATCAGAGCAAGATAGTCTGCTGCTGTGTTGGCCTGAAGGAGCTGGTGGTGAAAGAAGGAGGTGGGTTTGCAGTGGGGTTCTCGGACATTGCTGTAGTGTGTGGCCTTTCCAATTCCTGTTGAGACTGAGCATCATCTGCTCCCCTTGTTGGAATTCTGTTTGTCCTCTCTTTTGCAGTCCCCTCAGGTGAAGGCGAAGACAGGCACAGCAATTCTCTTCTTTTCTCACGACCTTGACGGCCAGTCCACGCCCCAGTGCTGGGTGACTCGGGTAGGACAGGCTGAGGGCAGACCAAGTGTCAAGTGGGCCAAGAGGTCAAGTTGCCACAGCGATGTGTCACCGGTGTCACACATGTTGCGCCTTGGCAGGCACAATCCCCTTTCCATGCACGCATCGTGCCCGGTGCTGCAAGGAGTGAGTGCAATCGGCTGATGGGCATTTCAGTAGCAGTAGCACGATCGGTTCCGAATAAAACTGCACCACCAAAGTCAGCTTTGGAAGGCGACGTGGGTTTCAGGGCTTTGGAAAGCCCTTGAACGAGTCAAAAGAGTCAAGAATCAGAGACTTCTGTCAGGAGAGAAGTGGGTTGCACAACAGTGGTTTCGACTTGAGTGTGGGCCTTGGCTGTGATGAGTTCAGGTGGGACCAAGACATGCGAGAAGACAATCTGTCTTTATGAGAATTTAGCGGGAGGACGAATGAAAACCAAGTGAAACAAGAGAGAGCGAATAATTTCATGCCTTCTTGCAGGCGTTGCCAAAACCCGCGCCAGGTAAATCTTACATATGTTGAAGTTCGTCTGGTTTCTCCCTAGCTTGGCTAACTGATAAGCAGCTTATTTTGTGCCTTGTGCGGCTTCTGGGCCCGGTTGGGGTCTGTCCAGTCCGTACAGTCTGTCCCGTCTGCCCAGTCTGTCCAGTCTGTTCAGTCGTTCAGTTTGTCCAGTCTGTCCTCGCTTGTCGTCCAATTCTGTTGACTGCCGAGCCGCTGCCAGTTCGATGAGCACTTTCCTTGATCTTTGCCCTGTCTGCCTGCTGGGGTGTTGTTGAACTCTCCTGGGTTTGGCTTGTTGTGAATCTGCTTTCGGGCGGGTACATCCCACCTAGCAGAGTGTGCAAAAAATGAGTGGTCTGCGCGCTCTCCCACACAGACGCCCGCATCCTAATGTGCCCCGGGCTCATTTCCAAGGGACCCCCCCGACACTAACACAACCCCCCCCCCCCCCCAACAAAGTATTTCCCCCCTCCCTCTCCCCTCCCCGAAAAAAACACAACATCAGCAAAGTGCTGTGTGGGTCGTGCAACTTGGGGCCCTCCTATTCGGCTGAGTTGTATCGTGTCTGGGGCAGCACGTGCTTACATGCTGCTAGGACCGCTGGGATGCTCCGCTTGACGGAGCTCGTTGCACTGCGACCTCTGTTTCAAGCATCTTCTGCCATCCACTGGGCTTTTGTGAGGCCCTACGCTGGAAGCCCCTTCTTCCAGTTCATGCTGCAAGCGGCCGATGGAACAAGTGGCTTTGGAGGCCTGCCCGTTTCCACTTGTCGATCAGCCTTGTGGTGCTTAAATGAAGGAGAAGCAGTTGCCAGTGAAAGCAGCTTGCCTGGAGAAGAGACTGGTGTCCCACCGGAGTTGTAGCACACTCTATGAGTTCTGGAAGAGTCATCTGGAACTCTCAGAGAACAATTGCGAAGTCGAGCTCCTATCGTTTCCTGCGAGAACACGAGAGATTGCCCGCTGCTAGTCGTAAGTTGTGCAGCAGTGCTACCAGCTCCAATTCCCCTTGCAAAGTGCTGCAAGCCAAGATCCATGATTTTTTTTTCGATCTTTGTCTTTCTCGTTCGGTATGGTAGTTTGGTACAACGTGGAGCTTGCATGTTGTCGGTAGAGCCATCTGGCCCCAGCTTCAGGGTTCAGCCCATGTAGACAACATTATAACCGCAGACACCCGGGCCTACCCACATTCCCGCGCCTGGTGCTAGCATGGTGCTCGCAACTCTGAACCCGGGTGCCAACACAGCCTACCAGCCTACGGCATAGAAGACGTACTCGACGTCGCATCACAGACCCTTGAAGAAGGTCTCTCTCCAATTTGAGTGCATGCCATGTGCATTGTGTCCGAGGCCTCAAGCTGCAAGGGGGGGTGTGCAGAGTGCAGAGCGAGTGCAATTGTCAGTGCAACTGTGCTGAGGAAGGGCGAAGTTGAAAATAGTCGGGGTTGAGGAAGGTATCTTGATGCATTTTGCCTCTGCAGGACCGCGCGCAGTCAGCACTGCGGGCGGTCGCTCAATTTGCCAATGTTGCGGGGCAGGCTCTGCTTGAAATGCGTGTCAGAATTCCGTATTGTAGTTGGTTAGTTGCAGCTGGGAAATGTCGAGAATGCAGATTGTCCTAGAACAGTTTCGTAGTAGTTTCGAGGTGCTTTTTGCATCATTTGGCTGCTCACAGGTACAGCACGAGGAGCTGCGAACTGCCTCGTTGCAGGCATGAATGATCGGAGTCCAAGGACAAGTGAACAAAAAACATCAGCCATACCAGGTCGCTCACGAGGCCCTGGCACAGTGCGAGGCACACTTTGTGCAGTGCGCACGAATCTGGGCACGCAGACTCTTGGGTGGTCAAGCACTATGTGCTAAACCGCAGCTCTCCCTTCAGGCGCATGGCCAGCGCTGTGTCCAGTTCCTCTTGGAGGCTTTGCAGAAGAGCACCAAGGCTGCCCCACTTTGACGGCTGTACCTTCAAGTACCTTTGATAGCAGGTTCCTGCATGCGGCTCTTCTCAGTTCTTGGCTTTGTTCTTCCGGGGTTGAATGCTTGGAATTTTGATTTCGACCTCTGCGATCCAGATTTTGCGTCTGCCTTTCAACATTACTGTATCGGTGTCGTGCCTGCTTCTTGTTTTGTGCATGTTCGGCTACCCTGGAGGCCAGTGCCAGTGCTGCCGAGGATGTAATCTGGATGGTCTACAAGGCCTGAGACCCTACAAAACAGTCACGCAGTTAAAGGCAGAGCCGCCTGAAGTCTTTAGTTCTGCTTGTGCGCTTGATAGCTTCTTGTCCGGTTCCGCTTAGGTTGCTCGCAGAAGCGACACAGCCAAGGCCCACTCTGCACGAGCCCGGTTGTGTGCATTGTAAAGATGGAAGGCTGCTGTTCATATTGCTGCAAACTCCAGGCTCTAATCTCCTTGCGGCAGAAGAGGCGATCTAATCGTCTGAGGTAGGTGGAGCGCTGCGTGAGGCCTGGATACTTCAGGCAGGTGGCGTGTCTGTGCTCAAGGCTGGCAGAGGGTGCCTTTTCCTTCGTGTTCCCTGACAACAGTTCTGAGAACACATAGCATCCAGATTTTTTCGAGGCTGCCCTGATTTGTCATGCCAGCCAGTCGGGTGGCCCGGGACAGACCAGGTGCCAGGTGGGGAGGTGCCTCAAAGGCAAGCTACTTTCGGCCTCCAGTTTCGTTGTGGGCTCCCGGAAAATGCCTTGGCATGTCAACATTGCGAAGAGGCACGGGGATTCGGTTTCGTACAGATGTTGCAACATGTCCAAGGTGCGAAGTGCTGGGTCTCAGGAGAAATCGCGGGGTTCTGGCATCCGGGCAGACGTTGCCGAAAGCGCCAAGAGTAAACCCCAAGAAGCCTGGATGGCAAACCGTATACACCCTAAACCCTAGTAGCAGGAAACGTTGGGTGGGAGCCCTAGACCCTCAAACCTTAAAGGAGATGTTGGATGAGCCCTCAACTCTACAAGGATAGGTCTGATGACAAACGCACTGGCTGGACAACCAGGACTGGGTAAGTCCCCAACCCGAAGAAGGCGACACCATAAACGGAGACAAGATGTTGGGCAGCAAGCTCCAGACGCTAAGTCCGAAAAGGACGTGGTGGCAAACCTTAAACCCTGTTTGGCAGCCCATTCGAGTGTTACGGCGGCCTGTGCAACGGCCAGGATTTGTGGGAGTCGGAATGCCCCGGCACCTTGCCGATCCTGTGAATCCCTGTGTGACAGTTTCTGACATTTCCCGCCGGCTGAAACATGTTGCCACGATAGCCGATAGCAAAGAATAACAATCTCACGAGGTTCGAGAGGCTGAAGTTGGCACTTCACACAATTTCAGTCCCCTCTGTTGAAGCACTCAAGTAGAAGCATGTCGAAGCATGTCGAAACGATGGTGCTGAGGCCGCAGCTGCTGGAGAATGGAGTGTGGACAGTGCAGCTTGGCGTTGGCTTGGCATTTTCGTGAGGGGAGCGCTGTGCTGATTTCCGTTGCCGTACCGTGGCAGTCTGGCAGCCTGATGTGATCTAACGTGGCTGTCTCAGACAGTCCTGTCTGCAAGAGATTCCGCCCTGGCTAAGGTATGCTTTGGAAGGGTTGCGGTCTCTTGCTGTGCTCCTGGAGGGGTGCGGGGCCTCAACGCAATGGGGGGCGATGAGTGATGTCAGAGGTGAGAAAGACTTGAGAAGTCTTGGATCTTGGGGTGTCTTCGATATGTTGCGAGATGTCTTCCAAGCTGAAGTAGCTGGATCTTGCTCGATGGAGATCCCTTAATCAGCGTAAGCTCGCTAGCAGAGTGTGAGGTGTCGGGGCACAAGCCCCGAGGAGGTTGCTGTGCGCGGGGCCATCTGCGGAGCGCTGTATCACCTGGTGTCGTGCTGAGAGCGCCTTATGAAGTGACACGGAACGATACGGCCCAGGTATATCCAGGATCCAGGTTGTGTCGAGCTGCCACACTGAGAGGCCACAGCCCTTGATTCAACTCTCTGTGAGGTCAGTCCGCGGAGAAAGTCCACATCGGCCTTGGCCGCTGCAGAGGCGGCGGCTGAGTGCATCTGTGAAGGGGTCCCTATTGCGGCGTTGCCTTCCGGATGTGTCTGTTGATGTGTCCGTTGATGTGTCTGTTCCTTGAGGTCGTGCAACCAGAGAGCGTTGTCATGTTGCTGTCCGAGGCATCGGCTTCTACTCGAGTTGAGGGCATCTTGCAGAATCCGATGGTGCAGCGCAGCAACAGCATTCGAGAGAACCTGACATCGGATACTGAACGGAGGTTTTAAGTATCGGCGGCTTGGATGAGGATGCGCACCGCGCTCGGTGCAGATGCGACAACAACATACAACAGCCTCCAGGTGGTCTCTTGTGGCCTCCTTTGGCTCGTTGCAGAGCAAGAAGATACGGAAGTCATGTACGCAAAGCTTGTAGGAAAACTGAGTGGAAGTTCGGGCACACTGAGGTTCCTTAAATGTTTTGCATGCAGGCTGTGGGCAACCTGCACTGCGTTGGAAACCCAAGTGCAGAAGGTCCAGCTTGGATTACTTGCATGTTGCCTCAGCTGCTCATTGCGACAGATTGCAATTCCAGGGCTTGTCTGTTGTTAGATTCCCAGAGTCCCAGAGTTCGGATGTCGTTTGGCTTGGAGGATGCCCGCCTGGCCTTTGTAGTGGCCTCACGTGGAGGCAGCTGAGGAACTACAAGTTTCGCTGAGTTCTTTCAGGGGTGTTCAGGTGCCATGTCGACATGCAAGAAGTTGAGCGAAAGCTAGAGCCATGTCGAGTGGGTTGCTGTACAACTGGACCCATGGGTTCTCTACAGGTGCTCCGGACCCTGATAATGATTTGGAGAGCACAGAACTTCAACTCTTTACAAATGTGCGACGAGCTATTCTTACTCTGCAGCTTTCTTCTCTCAAGCGCCCAAAGCAAGACATGGTGTGAGTTCACAAGAAAAAGGTCCGGGACCCAGGGGCGAGGCTATTCTCTCTGCGAAGGTGCATAGTGAACTGTGCAGCGTTCCCGGAGAAGGCGAAACGACTCCAGCATGGATCAGCTGATCAGAGTTGCTTACCCAGGAATGGCTGTGAGACCGTTGGCTGTATTACGCTTTGCTTGGGACACTGCATGACACTGCCTTCGTTCTCCGAGAGTTGCTATTCGATCCGAAAGCCCTTTAGGCTCAGCTGTTGGCCGTCTTCTACACCAGAGAGAGAGACAGAGTTAGAGCCATGGCTTCCAAGAGTGCACTGGCCCTCAGCGCCGTAGGCGCCGCATCCCTAATTGGTAGCTCAGCCTTCGTGGCTCCCTCGGCCAGTTCCAGCAGCACCGCCCTGCGTGGGGCGCCGATTGGGCAGGAGCCTGTTAGCTCCAGCCAGGCCTCCGGCCAGGTCTCAGGCCACACAGCGGCCGCCACAGCCGTGGCTACCGCAGCCCTCGCGCTGGTGTCCAGCCGACGGGCAGCACGTGGCAAAACAGCACGCAGTGCAGAGGCTACGGGAGTCACCGACGAGAAGCCCTTTGCGGGTGGCCTGATCGGTGGGGAGTCTGCTTTTGCAGGCCAGGACTTCAACTTTGACCCCCTCGGCCTGTCCGTGAAGTGTGAGAAGTATTTGCCCTGGTTCCGGGAGGCTGAGCTCAAGCATGGCAGGACTGCCGGGACCGCTCTCAAGTGTTAGACAAATGTGCAACGGTTCTGTTCTCAGATTTTTTGGAAGTACCAGCTAAAGCAGGACTGGCTGTCGTGCCGCTAGTTGAGCCCTGATTCTCAAGTACCGTGCATGTGTTCTCAGGGTGCTTGATGCCTGATGAGGATCGCCATGCTGGCCTTTGTGGGTTTGGTCGTGCCTGAGATTGTGCGCATCCCTGGAACTCATCCTTGCTATGCGGCCAAGACTGTCGTAGACGCTCACAATGCCTGTGCCGGCAATCCCCCATTCCCTTTCCTTATCAACGCAAATGACTTCTTTGGCACGGAGAACAATACAGGTCCCCTGTTCCAGGTGTACGCCTTCTGCGGCGCACCCGCCTCAGTTAGAAGTGCTTCAATAACAGGGCATCTCAAGCAGAATCCCGCGAGCAGCAGCGGACAATGTAGACTTCAGCTTGACAGTTTGCTGCGCAGTACCTGCAATCGAAGTATGGGGGGGATGGCCGTGAGGGGCCGGGTTCATCATTTGCGGGCGGGAAGAGTGGTTCGGTTAGTTGCATGGGGCTCCAGACCAGGTCGTTGAGATGCTGACCACCTTCGCCAAGACTTGCAATGTCTCAAACAAGCCAGGCTTGACTCTGGAGAATGCTGGTGACTATCAGCTTGGCACTAGCTTCCTTCCGAGTGAACCCGAAAAGATCAAGGAGATGAAGCTGAAGGAGTTGAAGAACGGACGTCTTGCAATGCTGGCTTTCGGTGGGGCCATCACGCAGGCCACCCTGACTGGAAATGGATTCCCGTGGCTTTATGCTCAGAAGGAGTCCAGCGCCGCTCTCAGCTCCTCCATCGGCGCTGCAGCCTCCGGCTCCCTTGCCGGTCGTAGCCAAAGCAAGCGTGGTGTGGTGGCCAGGCAAGCCGGCTACAAGATGAGCGCCGCAGTTCCCTTCCTCCCCATGTCCCCTGCTCTCGAGGGCATCCCTGGTGAGGAGGAGGGCTTCGACCCTATGGGCTTTTCGCTGGCCTTTGAGATTGGCTGGCTGCGTGAAGCGGAGCTTAAGCATGGACGTGTTGCCATGCTTGCCACTGTTGGATGGATCACTACCGATCTTGGACTTCGAGTCCCGGGCGATGCCTTCCAGGTTTCGACCCTTGAGGCCCATGATGCCATGGTGAAGTTCGGTGGCATGCCTCAGATCCTGATCTGGTGCGGCCTCTTGGAGGTCCTTGGACTCTTTGCCTATGTGAACATGCGTGAGGGAAAGACGGATCGCAAGCCGGGTGACTTCGGCCTCCGCGGGTTCTACCCCAGTGATGCAAAAGGTCAGTATGAAATGCAGGTGAAGGAGCTTCGCAACGGCCGCCTGGCCATGCTTGCTTTCTCCGGCATTGTGACATCTGCCGTTCTCACCCAGGAACAGTGGCCTTTCTTCGATGCGGCCATTTCTGCTTTGCCTCGAAAGGACGAGGCCAGGAGCGGCTCCGCCTTCTGCGGGGCAGTGGCCCCTCAGCGCGTGGGCCAAACTCTTCGCCAGGCCTCCTCCAGCAAGAGCCTGCCCTTCCTGCCCAAGCCGAAAAACCTGGAGGGGCTTGCGGGGGGCGAGGCTGAGTTCGATCCTGTTGGCTTCGCTGAGCTCATTGACGTCAAGTGGCTTCGTGAAGCCGAACTGAAGCACGGCCGTGTGTGCATGCTGGCGACCATTGGATTCGTCGCGGAGCAGTACTGGCAGCTGCCAGGCTTCGATGGGGCTGAAGATGCGTTGCAGGCCGTCTACACTGCCCCCCTGAACGCCACCGGAGTGCTGCTCTTCATCTGCGGCTACATTGAGAGCTCAACCTACGGAGGCAAGATCACGATGCTGGACATGTTTGAGGGGGAGGGTGCCTCCCGTGAGCCTGGAGATCTGAACTTTGGAAAGCGCTTCTGGGCCGCAGCGCAGACCAGGTCAGGTCAGACGGTCAGAGGTGCCAGGAAGAGCGTGACAGCATGCACCGGATTTCTTCCACATGCACTAAGGTTTTCTTCCGGCCGACAAGGCTAAAGCTGACGATTTCAGGGTAAAGGACGAACTCGGGTAGAGTACCCTGGACCTTGAGGTTGTGGATTGTTGGAACCTGCACAGGAGCTGTCCAATGGGAGGCTCGCCATGCTGGCCTTCTCAGGCCCCTTGGCAAGTCTCGGTCGGGCAGTTCGGTTTCTTCTCGCACCACATCGCACGCGAGATTCTGCACGTTGTGCCGAGAGGAATGGTCCACCACAACCTGGTCGTCAAGGGCCCCCTCTTCCCTCTCTTCCCAGCCGCAGGGCTTGAAGTGGATTTTGACTCGCTAATCCTTTTAGAACTTTTTAAAGCCCCACGTTGACTGCATCGCGACATGTTCTCTCTTTCTGTTTGTTTTGCAGGAAGGCTGGGCGGGCCCACAGGGCGCCTGGGACCTGGACTCCACGGCCGGTGCCCTGTGCCTTGGCCCAGGAGATCTGTGTTCTTGAAACGATGTCTGAAACCATGTTTGCAAAACGATGTGCAACGACCCAATGTGTCCCGAACCCCTCACTGCCACCACTGCTAGCCCAGGAACAGCGGACGCTGGGGGCTGTGATCTTGCCTACGTGGCTGAGGTAGAAACTAGTGTCCTGAGGTAGTTATGACGGTAGTAGAAGTCATTGTGCTCGTCCCACCGTATATCGCATGAGCGGCTCCAGCTTGATTTTTTGAGCCGGCGAAGTGCTGGACAAAGGCTTCTTTGGCTGGTGACCTAATTTGCCAGCATCTTCCCAAATCAACAAACAAAGCTGTAGCAAACATCTGGGCAGTTCTGTTTCTGCGCTGAGATATGGGAAGCAAGCGCCTGCACCGACCCCACTGCGTGGCTGGTTGGTTTAAAATGAACTGCCAGCACATTTCTCGATCTTTGACACATGTGTACTCTCTCTTGCCTTGGACTTGGAGTGCCAGACCACTGCCAGACCACACCTCCAAGGATTTGGTCCTGGTGCCAGTTTCTGCAGCCTCTGATCTGGTCACGAAGGGCTGGTGCGCCGCGAGAATTAATTCTGCTGCACGGGCTCCTTGTTTTGTTGATGTCACGTATCGGCAGGGCGCCAGAATATCACTGCAGCTGGTTGATCGTCTCTGCCAGTGCCTTCGGCCACCACCTTTTGCCAGGTACACATCGAACTTCCGTCAGATTCGTGAGCTGGTACAGGCACAGCACAGCTATTCTTTTTGTGACGGTTAGTGCCCTCTCGCTGTGCAAGCCGGCCAAGCCAGGATCCGGAGTATCAGTCTGCGGAAGTTGACCCCGATGAGCCAGTCCTTGAGGTGCCCTTCAAATTGGAAAGTTCCGCATGCGAACACAAATCAGTATTCGCAGTCGGCCGATTCCAAGAAGACCTAACATGCAAGCAACGAAAAAGAACGGGCAAGGTAGTTGTCGGCGATGCGAACATGAAGGCCAAGAATGGTTTATGACTTTACTCTCCCACGGTGCAACCACGATGCAGCCACGGTGCAGCCACAGTGCAGTCACTGTGCAGCTCCGGTTTTGAGGTGTTCCGGATATTCCGTGGTGTATGTTGAGCTTGCCAGGTCGCTGCTGCTTCAACACCGACGTTTGTGAGGTCGACTGTCTGAGAAATCGGCCCTAGCAAGCCAGAGTAGATCATCACATGCCGCCGGCCGCAGCTCTGCGCATGGTCGTGACTGACGTGCTCAGCACCTTAGCGTAGCAGTGCGTACCAAACGGCACCTGTGCGTACCAAACGGCACCTCACAGAGCCGCAGGATCTTCATGGATGGTGAGAATGTGGGAGCTTCTTGGCTTGCCCAGCTCGATTGAACTTCTCCAACAATGAACCTTTTGGAGTGCTGTGCGCCCGTTTGGCTAACTTTCCGATGGGCACAAGACTGAAGCCCGGTCTTCATTATTCATGCTGTGGCTAAGGAGACCTCTCTTCAGAAGAGGCGTCCCTACAACATGCCAGTCTGGAACGAACGACCCTGGACCCGAATCGTGTTCTTCTTGCTCTGATGTGAGCATCATCTGCGACCTAGACTGTTGCGTGCTAGAGGCTCCTTGGACACTGGAACAGGCTCATGCCGAAAGGTTTGTTGAACTAGCTAGAGAAAAAGTCGAGAGTGGAAGAGATGAGTAGACGACCATTCTCTGGCAACTGTAGCCTTCGCGCGCTGAGGATTCTTGCTATTGCCCCGCGGTGCATTCTCCACAAGATTCGAGGCATGGAATACCCATGTCGCGTGCTCACATGACACAAAAAATAGTCAAGACTTCTCTTTGGCCATGCCCTCGTCCGCTGCGCAGGTTGTCGACACATGGGACCGTGTGCTGGGCCACTGCACCATCGGCACGCAGAGCCTGTGGCGTGTCTAAGCTGAAGCCAGGAGATGGCCGTGCCTATGGGTGTACAAACACAGCACAGTGTGATGCAAAGAGATGCGTCTAGACTTAGCACTCTCAGGTGCAGCGGGACATTCCGGACAGGTCTCTGTGGAGCTGCTTGCTTGCACTAGCCTTGCACATGTTCGCAGACCACGTCGGGAGACTATTCGCTATTGGAAAGCATGCTTTGAAGAGTTAAGGCTGCCGCTGCAGTTGGAGAAAGGCCTGAATGGCAAGATCTGGGTCCACTCGCGGCCCTGGGATGGCCTCCCTCTGCCCGAGAGGCCTCGGGCCCAATCTGGCAACACTTCTTGCCATGGCTGTGTCCTCTAACAATACATCAATATATTCGGGAAGCCAAACCAGCGGGGAGGAGCAGCGCCCCAAATCGGCAGGAAAGTACCGAAGCCCTCCAGATAAACTTGCAAGTAAAAAGCTGCAATGCAAGCCAAAGGCCAGAACCCTGAGCTGCCGCGGTTTAGTAACAAGGGCCAAGCAGCTTCGGTAGCAATCCCTTGCCAACACCTTCCGTCCGGGCCAGTGCATCCCACCTCACTCTCCACGAACTAGCTCGAGCAATCTCTCCGGTAGGTTCGCTTGCCTAGTTGCTGCACAAGGCATAGCAGGCTAGGTATGGCGAAGTGTTCTTCAAGGCCAGAGACCACCATGTCAAAGCTCTGGAAGGAGCTTCCCAAGTTGCTCCCATGCTGCAGCTCACTGTAATAAGCTCTAGGCCTGCCTCGTTATCTGTCTGCAGCATGTCGGAGTTGTCATCGTTCAACCAAGCGTACTGTTGTTCCACACCAGGGAGAACCACGGGCAGACGTCCCATAATTGTTTTTCTTCTACATTGTCGTTGGGATTGACGAGTCAGTGGACTATAGTGGACTGTTCAATCTGGTTGTGCTAAGAAGGCGCTTTCGAGGTCACTGACATTCAATGACCCTGTGTCGCTGAACATGCGCCATTCAAGCTGGGAGGCCCTGGTGGCCTCGAGCACAGGAGCTGCATGAGGCTTGGAACTGCTCGTTGCTGCCCGCCCTGAATGGCAGATCGAGCGATGTACGAGCGATGTACGCGTACCGTGTTAACAAAGTCTTCAAGAACCAACCCTGGTTCAATGTCTTGATCAGCTAAGAGGCTAAGACGACTTGTTACGTGCAAATCACGTGAAGGACACATGGTCACCATCTCGTCTGGCGCAGGATGAAGGCCGTGCCTTTCTAGCTGGAGTCCGTCGCGCAATGCAAAGCAGCATAAAGCAGCCCCAATCTGTCTCAGTGTTCCTGGTATGGTACAACAGCATGGGATGCCCAAGCGCAATTGCAGGCCCTGAAGATGACATTGTTGGCAACTTGCAGCCTGAGGCAGGGGCACAGTTGCATTTGGGCATCTCAATGCATGTTGTGCTGTGCGTCTGCTGGCCGCAGAAATTGCAGGACTTCGGCAAAAGCCGAGCCAAGGTCCTCAGCGATGATGTTTTTTCCAGGATAGACAAGGCCAGCAGGTTGATACATGTGATTATAGTCAACCATGTTTGCATGCCCAAGCCATGCAACCAGGGCGGCCAATGGCCAACACAAAGGGTGCGACGGCATCGCCAGGATCGAATCACACGCGCAGACTTCGAAGCGGCCCTGAGGAGTGGTACGTCTCAACCAAGGCCCGGAGATTTGAAGCATTCGAGGGACCATCGTTGTGCTTAATTACTGTCATGTCAATGCTGTGGCCAGCCGAAACCACCAGGCAAGGCGCAGCCCCACAGACGCAGGCCTGAAGAGAGTCCGAGTTACCAGAGTACATTTTGCCAGGTTATGTGGTGATGGCAACCCGTGTGTCAGATCTTGCAGTTTGTGTCTCTCCCAAGCAGTTTCATTTGTCAGTTTTGCTAGAGACGGTGGCAAAGGCGGCGCAGGGCTCAAACATCATCTGGCCCCAACCAGCCTTGGCCCAAGATGCTGACTCACTGGGAGTTTGTTGCGCAGTTGATGAGATTGCAGCAGTCCCAGGAAATGATCTAGGCTTGTTCTTCTTTCGCACCACGGTGTGCAACAGGTGAAGCCATCGGCACAAATCAGCGCTCCGCAGATGTCTATGCCCGGGTCACCTCAGGTTTATCTGGAGGCTATGCAGAGGGATTAGCTGCTCAGGTACTCACATAACCTCGGTGCCCCCAAGGTGTCGTTGTTGTTTTGTCTTTCGACTCGAAAGACTTTCGAGGCACCGGGCCAGCCATCCTCGAGAGGAGTCCTGTCTCAGTTTGCCGCCACGATGCCTCCGCTACCTGCTTGACTCTTGGGAACCTGCACTTGACATCATAATGTGGCATCATGCAAGACCTCATGGCACTTAAATGAGCTTAAGCAGAGCTTAAGTGATGCATTATACAAAAAATGTCACTACACATCATGTTGCTCTGGTGAGCTCGGCCGAGGTGGGAGGGTCCCCGTCCAACGCGTCGCTGGCACAGTTTGCCCGGTCGATGCCCCCCCAGCCGGCTGGGCACCCAGAGGTGGTCTCAGTTTGACAAACTCTACAGTGGGCCAACCGTTTTGAGATAAGATCTGAGGTGTTCACTAGCAGCCTTGTAGCAACTGCCTTCATCTTCGGCCTGGTAGAATGTTTCAAAGCACCAACATCTTTGCAACACCTCGTAGCGGCGGGGTCGTTATAAGATGTTTGCTGTCAAAGTGGCGTGTAAAGGACGTGAAGGGAAGGCTGAAGTTGCACTGCCTTATACTAATGGCGGCTCGAGATGTGAGCGTGAAAGTGTATCGCAAGGAGTCCGAATCAGCTACGTCCTGAATACTGTTGTATGCTTGTTCTTCATCGTGCTGCTCGCAGATGCTCACTTAGTAGTCATGCAGGTTTTGTGTTCTTTCAGAAGAGTCAACTGGGTCTGGCGTTTCAATTATGGCGAGCTTGACAGTAGCTTACAGAAGCGGACTCATACGTTACCACGCTATGGCATGCTGAGATCGTCCATGGTATTGGATGACAAAAGGGTAAGCAGGCACCACTGGCTGGCATCGCATGATCAAAGGGCTGTGTTTTGCAAAAAAAGTGTGTGGTCTATGGTATCATGTGACGGAAGGGGTGGGCTTCAAGAAAACATCGCTGGCATCGCATGATGAGAGGGTGCATTCAAATACGCTATCATTGGTTGTGCATGATGAGAGGAAACGGCATGTTGATAGGGATGGGTTTGACCGTTATTGGAAGGTGTGTTGAGTTTTGATTCAGTTGCCAGTTACTTTGCCCTATTATTCATACTGTTACTGTTTGTGCGGCTCTTAATTGTATTCTGTAAGCCGCATGCAGATTAATTTTACTATTAGTACGAAGAGAAGAAGTGAATTGAATTGCTGCCCGATTTCAAGTGCCGCCGCCGACCCCCAAAATAAGGCGGCTCCGGCAGCGGAGGCAGTGGGGAGTTTACGGATCACAGGGGGCGAGGGGGGGTTGACCAAAAGTGGTGATTTTTTTCTGTGCGGCATTGGGGGGAGGGGGTGAGTGGGGGCCAGGGGGGAGGGCGGCACCAGAAAGGTGGTGGTGGGGGTGGCAGGTTGTGGACTTTTGGTCGGGTGATGAAAGAGGTGGGGTGGGTTGTTTTTGGCGATGGGAGGTGGTGGGGGAGGGGTGGGGGTAGGGGGTCGGGGTAGACGACTTCCCCCCCCCAACGAAGGTTATGTTGACAAACGCGTGCTTCCACCCGCTAGGTGGTGTTTGAAAGACACAAAATTGGTTGTTCTTGGGCTCTCTTTTGGGCTTTTTCCTGTGGGGGCACGGGTGGGGGTAGGGGGGGGCCTAGCGAGAAAGGTACGAGTCCAGCTTCTTGACGCCAACAAGGGGCGTTGGCGGATTAAACTACTATTGCACGGGATACAATCATAAAATTAAAACTGAGCACCTTTGAACATTTTTTAACCGGGCCTTCTTAGGATAGTAATGACATCCCTAGTATTTTACTCTGTGTTCTTGCCTCCGTGCTATTATTGCATCAAGAGATGGACGGATGGTATCACACGCGTTGCATGGGGAGAGGATGGGTTTTGCAAAATATTCAGACACTGGCATCGTGTGATCCTCCTGAAGAGGTAGGCCACACAAAGCATCCATGATGAGAGGGGAGGGCTCTTGCAAAAAAGTGAAGCCAGTTTGCTATAGCTTGCTTAAGCATTGACGGATAATTCTCGGGGGAGGATTGGACATGGGTGGACATGGATGCAGGTTTACTGTACAGACCAGGGCTAACACCTTTATCCAGTACTTTGCAGAACTGAGGTAAAGCCTGAGGCAGACGGGACCTCAAAGACAGCTCCCGCTGCGAATTTGACTGCTCAGACCTTAGACTCTCAGCGATGCTAGAAGCCCCTGGGGCTTGGGCCATTGGGGTTTCGACCTTGCACTGGTGTGTGTCTCCGTATGCTGTGCTATTCATTTTCTCGACCAGGATTTGTTCTCGAAGATTGACAAGGACTGAACCAGAACGATTTGGGTTCTGGTGTGTTCATTCTAACGAGTTGACCAGGATGGCAGCGGCAGCATCACCCGCGCGGAGTTCGAGCGCGCTATCCGGCAGGGTGAGCTCAAGCGCCAAGCCTCAGATGTTGGTTCGCAAGGCTGCATATTTGTCAACCATCCCCAAACATTTATTACTAGGGCTGTTTATCCAAACTAGTCCAGGTTCTACAGATCTAAGCAAAAAAAGAACGAATTGACTGCTGATCCAATTTGGTATCAGATGTGTGCCTGACAGAGTGTTGTAGTGCTGTGTCACTATCATCCCCAGAGGCCTCTTCATGATGCAGTCTTTCCATGCCCCACTCGTCTTTCCTCTTTCCAGTACAGCCTGTGGTCTTGCCATGTCTTGCCTGAGGACGTCCATCGCTCCTGGCCAGGTGCAGGCGACATCTGCACAGCACTGTGAGAGTTCTTGCTGCGATGTGCTGCGTCTTCTTTCCCGGCTTCCGCTCGCACGAGGCCTCGCAGCAGAGCGTCTCTCTTCCGCTAGGCAAGGGACCTGGTTTTCTCGATTCTTGCCAGTTCCTGTGGGCCAAAACCCACCTGATAAAGAAGCAGGCAGTGACAGTGAGGAAAGCTTTGGACTGGAGTTATGGTGCTTCCATGAGTTGAGCCGTGCACGGTGACATTGTATCTCTTCTCGAATATGCACGGCTTCAGTGGATCAGGCCGGTCGGTGGAGGGCCCCAAGGTTGCTTCACCACAGCGTCCGGCGACCACGGCGCTCTGGGCCTGCTTGTGGAACTCTGTCTGTCTCTGTGTGTGTGTGTGTGTATGTGCGACACGATCAGCCTCTATGCATGCCTGATGGTGAATGGTTAGTCTAGACAGGATGATGGACAGCAGACACGCAACGCATCACTTCGAGTCACAGCGCACACCGTGCGCACACCAAGTGGTTGAGGCATCGATGGAAAGGGCCGGGCTGCCGATTCGGAAAAACACAATCACACCGTCACTTTGTCGTCGAAGTCAGGTACAAGTATCATGCAACGGCTGCAGCAGTTGTGCAGTCTGAATGTTTGAGCCTACGCGCAGTAGCTCCGAAAGCCATAGCTCCGATTGCCTGAGCTCACTAGGGTGGTGGCAGGAACTCTGAACCCAAGGCGTTCCCAAACCGAGAACTTCAGCCAAAGCTCCAGCCCTTGCATGTGGCCTGGTGGCAGCACCGGCAGAATAAATTGTGGTGGCAGCATTGCCACTGAGCAGCCAAAACAACGAATGACGGCAGTACAAAGCAGTGATTGGATCTACATGAGAAACGGTTCTGTCTGCAGAGCCTCTGTAGAAAGAGCCGTGGCGCCGAGCAGCCCAAACATGCCAAACCGTGCTCAAAATTCAGTTTGAGAAGCGAACAAATAGTGGTGCGGAGCCGAAATCCTGGGAACATCTGGGAAGAACCTTGCCAGAACTTTGCCAGCTCTTTGGCAGGCTTTGTCGGCGATTCCTTCAAGCCCGAGGCATCCCAGGGGGCCGATGCACCGGTTGGCCATCACTTGATTTCTTTCCCTGGTTGAAGTAGCTTGGAAAAAGGACGAAGCTGGGCAGTGTGTCAGAGTGTGTCTAGTTTTGTGTCCAGGTCTCAGAAGACCAATTCGCAGCCCTCGGCCTTGGCCTTGGAGTGTGCTAGCTACGCAGTACGGCCAAGGTTCCTTTAAGTCTCCAATGCCTCTCCTTGTCTCGCCCTCTCACCTGTGTTATTCCCATGCTGCTGTTGGACCCCTGCCCAGACGCCCAAGAAGCCCGCGCAGCCTTCAATGGCTTCCATGCCACCGCGCCTTCAGGTGGGAAATTTAATGACATTCATCATGCTGTTGAACAAGTTGGAGCTCCGTAAACTCCGCTTCTCTCAGGCTGCAGGCTTCCACTTTTGATGCCGCGAGATGGGTTCAATGTGGACACGACATCTGCCTCAAATGGCTACCTTGAAAGCCTGGCTGCCCCAGAAAGTCTGGGGTGTATGGCTGGCGAACTTGCCTTCAGCCTTCCACTCCCACGTCCTGCGCGTGGAGGTTTAAACAAGCGACAAGAGCTTTGGTTGTCTCACATTTTGAGGGTGCAGCTGTACATATGAGTGAGCGCCCCAAGTCGGAACCAACATCCAATATTCGTAGCCGTAGCTTAAGATAAACATGATGTTCTGCCCATGTGATGTGGATGACGGCAGCCTCTTACTGTATCTCTTGCTGTGCTTGATTTCTTTTGATATCCCTCTTGAAAGTACCTTTTGTGATTGATGTCGTTCAATGGACTGAGTGCAGAGTTGGAAAGGAGTGCTGCAGTGTGCAAGCCTTCTAACTGCAGCCTTCAAAACGCTTTGTAGACATTTCTTTCCATGTCTTGCTCTTGATCACATTGGCAGTGGAAGCATCCACCCACGTTTGCATCATTGTCGGGGCAAAGCGCCCTGTACAGGTTGCCACATCCTGGTGCAGCTCCTCCGCTCGCCGCGTGCAGCTGGTCCCACTGGCCAGGCGAGCCTGGAGTAGGGCTTTTTGAGCCTGGCATGCAAAAGCAGAAGGTGGTGTCTCCAGCGTGCAAGTCGCACGCGCGCCTGCAGCCAGGACATCCGCAAAGTCCTTGCTTGCCTGATGCTTGCGCTGGCGGATGCGAGCCCTGAAGCAGCCCAGGTGGGTCGGGAGCGGGAGGGGTGCCAGGCGATCAGCTGAGAGCAATCAGTGAACGGAGGCGCTGCGTGCGGCGGGTGCCTGTCCTGCCCTAGCACAGGCTTGTTGTGGGTCCTGGGCTGCAATGTTGGACTGTGCTTGGTGTTGCTCTGCTACCTGACAATCCTGCGCAGCCTTCTGAAAGTCTGCTAAGCAGGAGGGCTTGCAGGGCGATGGAGCAGATGCGGAGGCAAGCTGCTACGGGAGTCGAGTGTGGTGAGAGCGGTGCTTCTACCTCTCTTGGCCTCTCTTGGCAATGCCTTGGAGGCAGCGATGTGGGCCCTCGGGGCCATCGGCGGTCTCAAAGATGTTCTGCAGGCGCCTTCAGGATGCCAGAGCTGTGAGATGCACAAGAGTGGCATGCTGTAGCCTTTGCCTCCCGCAGGCCATGAGGCATTGTGGGCTGGCCACCTAGTCGCTAGACTCCAGGGTCCAAGACGGTGGCCACATGGCGCAGTGGGCACGAACATGGCGAGATGTAAGTGCTTTGCACGGGGCGGCGGATTTACCGAGGCCTAGCAACTCCAGTGTCCTCAGCGGTGGCGCGCATGCCGTTGCCGAGCAGGGGTCACGGATATCGGCCCGTTGACAGCCTGAACGTTCCTGTAGATTCCAGCTGTTTACGATCTTCTCTCTCAGCTCGAGCTGAAGAAGTGCGTGGCACTCTAGCAGCTACTTTGAACATGAGTGGCAAATACGTCTTTCAGATTCTTGCGGCATGTGTATGCATGTCTTGCATGCACTGCCAGAAACACACAACGAGCTGAACACCTTTGGGAACAGGTTTTCTTCCGAAACGTGTTGGGTGTGCTGGTTGCCCCTGGTCGCCATGCCCTACGCATTGACGCGAATGGTGCGAAGAACACACAAAGCTCGAGCGGCCTTTGTTTCTTGGCATCATCTGCGTCAGAAGTCTCTGCTTCATCTCCTTCTCAGTGTGGGGACTCGCAACTGGATCTTAGGTTCTCGCAGCCTGCGGTGCCTGCATTCTCCGTTACCGGAACTTTGTCCCCGCACCGGTGGTGCACCAGGAGCCAAGGGTCTGCGCCGGAACCATTCGGGCTGCATGTTGTCGTCTAGCAGTAGTTTGTTGCAGATCTTGATTCGTGCGAGAAAGGGCTGCCCGCAAGTTTGCGACAGCTTGAGCTCGCCGATGTGATTGGATGGTTTGATCTGCGGAACGGGGTGTTGTGGTCACGTGCGGTCATGACTCACCCTGTGACTCACATCACATCGGTCGCCATGTTCTCTCCAGAGCCTGCTGGAGGGCATCGGGGAAAGTCGGGGCCCATCTCAGGCCTTCGTCCCTTGCATCTCCAGGATTCCTCCGTCCGTCCCGCAGCTGCCGCATGCGGCACCGCCCTTGGTGCGAGCTGCGCGGCAGTTGCTGAGGCAGCCGGCGCTCAGGTCGGCTCATGTGGGCACCTTTTAAGCATGTGCTCCATCCATCTCCGTAGATGCAAAGTTGAGAGGGTTGATGATCACCTATGGTCATGAACCACAAACTTCGGGTTGTAGGTTATGCCCCGCGACCCTTGGCTTCACAAGTTTTGGCATAAGTCGCACGCCGGTCCAGGCGCTTCCTGCAGCGCCCAGTGGCATCAACCAGTTGCCTGAGACTCAGCAGGCCAGCAGTGCATGTGCTTTGAGTTCAGCATAATGGCTCTGCGTCTTGGAGTTGCTTCAGTTTCTAGTGACAGCTTGTGTTGCAGATGGTAGCTCTACTTGCAACACTTCTGTAGATCTGACAATCGCTCAGGCACATATCTAATCTAATGAACCCAGGTGTAAACTCTCATATCGTTGAACCGGGCTTTATGCTTTGAGGGTGGGGGTGGCTTCACATCGTTTCTTGTTGTTCCTTTAAACTTCCCTAGGGGTTCAAGCAGACGCAGCAGAGGTCTTTTGGCCTTAGGCTTTGATGCAGGCAGTCGTGGTGGCCACGCTTCTCCTCGGCCTCGCTGCGGGCACTTGGGCCCTGGTGAACCCGATCTTCGGCGCTTTGCAAGGAGCGGGGGCAGAATTCACAAACTCATCTGGGTCCTGCCATTCACATCCCCGATATCCCCGAGCCCAGAGCTTGAAAGGAACTCTCCCAGAGGGCTGGTTCAAGACCTGGCGCAAGACGTGGCCAATCTTGGGTGCCTTCTACATGGCCGCAGGCTCGTGCAATGATAGAGAAATCCGCTACTCTGCCGTATGCCATGATCTGAATGCAAGAGATGTATGATCCAAGTGTAGCCTGGTCAGCGTGTCCCGTCGCTCGTAACCTTGTGTACTCTCACACGGGGTGCGCTGTTATACACTTTGTGTCCACTAGAGCTTGACCCCGTCGTTGACAAGCAATCTTCAACTTTTGTCTGGAATGGGTCTCAGTTCCATCTTGGACATGGGGCAGGCGTCGCCCACTTCACTGCAGCGGATGCTTTTGAAGCCATCTATCCACCTCAAGGCAGTGCCAACACCGACGTAAGGATCTTCTTTCCGTACATGCCTGTCGCATGTTTGATGTGAAAAGACATCCGTGTGCTGAGCACCGGGATTTCATCGAATCTCCTTTGAAGGATCGGGAGCAGTCAGTAGGTCTGAAGTCAGCTCCTGCAAAGACACTGTGACGTTTTTGTTGTTTGTTAAGCGCAATCAAGGGTTGAGCACTACGCTTTCGAAATTTTCGAAGACACAACTCAATCACGTGCAGATGCAGGTCACCACCTTGATTCTCAACCATCTTAAAAGGCTTTCAAGCGGTGCCTTGCTGGTCTCTGGAGGTACGTGGGGTTTCTGGTACCTGCCCGGCAGCGCGGCGTTCCACGTAGCCTGGACAGGCTCGGAGAGATTCTATCTTGGATCCCTGGTGAACTCCGAAAGCGCCTACAGCATCCTAAAGTAGACCGCAAAAGGGCTCGAGCGCAGTTTGAGATGTGTGAGGTTCTGGCTGGAAGTGCTTTGTGCAGACACGCAGGGATTGCGAGATGCCTGAGATGCTAGCCGCAGGTGTCGCAGAGATTGCCGGTGGTTCTGGCCTCTTCCTGGGCTCACTGTTCCTTGGCCTCGCAGGCTGGAGTGGGCAGATGATCTGACCCACTGTAGGGACATCAAGAAGGCAACACCTTTTTATAGAGTCTTGATGAAGTTGGTGTGGACCTTCAGGGGCCTTCAACTGGGAGTTGCCTCCGGCGCTTCGCTCCCTTCCTGCGACACTGGGATGCAGCGGGGTTCGCTAGGCTTCTAGGTACCTTCAGGAAGAAACCTAGCCTTGCGCAGTATGCAGTCAGCGAATGCCTGCAAGTCTGGAAGAATTTTGGACGGTATTTCCTTTTGATCTTGAGCTGCTGCTTGGAACCGAACCCCGCTGAGTGCCAGACCAGTGTCTTGTTTTCAAGGCTCTCAGCCTTGGGCTTGTTCACACTGACATGGGCGGCGCCTTGTCCGGCACGGCAGTGAACCTTCACAGGGTTTCGGCGGGTATTGGGGCATTTGGTACACGGAGGTGACACCAGCGAATATCTACATGTTCACCCACGGAGCTCAGATGACAGGCCTGGGCCGGGATGCCTGTTAGAGTCTTGGCATCTTCTTGCTGTGCGCCGTGGAGGCCTCACGCCCGGCGACCAGCCCATCCCTGTGGACTGCGTCAAACCACATGCCAGCGTTTAGAGAAACAGCGAAGAACAGCAAAGAGTACACAGCACGGCCCGCCTCGCATCGTGCTCCTCAGGAGTTCCATGCGGTCAGGGGCCTGCTTCAGGCAAGCTTGGAGAGTCACTTCCGCGGACATGGAAGGTTTAACGGCTTGACGTTCTACTCTGCCCTGCAAAGGTGGTGCTGCTGGGAATCCTTTGGGGCTACTATCGTGCACCCGGCTGCAGATTTCAGTCCCAAACGATTTGAGAGGTCCGTCTGTGCCCCGAATCCTAGCAGCGCACAGGTGCTGCCCAGGCGGAGGAAGCTCAAGAAGCGTGACGCTTCCGAGCACTGCAAGTTGCGCTGATACGGTAGTGCTTGTTGCAGTGAGATACTATCTGGGTGTATCTGGTACAGTCCATGAAGACCAATTTTCGGTACAGTCCATGAAGACCAGTTTTCAGCCCTCCAAGCCATTTTCACCCACCAGTGGTGTGGCTGTGCAGAATTTTCGGAAACGGCTCGACATTGATTTGCCATAGGTAAAGATGCTGGAACATGAGGTTGCTTTCTCCAGCTCTAGTGTTTGGCAGGCAAGGCACGGAGTTGACTGGAGACCGTTGCCTTAAGGAAGTGAGCTTACAGCACCCGAAGGTTTTGAGACTTCGGATACCAAGGTGCGCAGCTCGTGCTGGTGATGGCGAAGAGCTAGCACAGTTGCCGGTCGGGGGGCCGAAACGTGCATTCCATGGGCATCCCTCTGCCGCAATGCTGAATAGCTGTCGTCTCAACGAAGCTCGTATGGGCCTGGGTCGACCGTGGAACCAAAACTACCTGCTGAATGGGCAGAACACTCTGGACGCACGCTACAAAAAATACTTGTCAGGCCATGTCAGGCCTGACTTGTCGCCGCCATGCAATTTTTTGCTGTCAGCGGACAATAACAAACAACACACAGACACACAGACACACAGACACACAGACACACAGACACATAGACACACAGACACATAGACACACAGACACACGGACACACAGACGACACAAATCGGCGAAACAGATGCAACACATTTGCTTCCGGCCGTTTTGCCCTTCGGCAAGGGACGTTAGAGATGTTCAACAGCTTGGAATCCGCTCATTTGTGCTCCCTCCATCTTGCTGAGAGGCTGCTCTGATCCTCCTTCTTGAGATCATCAAGCATCGCTCCTGGTCATGTGCAGGGGTTTCACTCAGCGCCGAGCTTTAACTGTCACCAATCAAGATGATAAAGGGCTTCCCGAATTGCATAGGACGCTGTTGGATTTTTTGGGACGCGTGTCCGAGGCAGGAGGAGTCTGCACCCTCGGGGGTGCTGAGAGCGGCCATGCAGGTGCCAAGCGTTTAGTGAGTTTAGTGCTTGATGCCCAGGAAGTACAAGCAAGGGAATCCGTTCTGCTGGCCAGTGTTGACAGGCACTCGGCCGCACGCTGACTGCGCTCACGTGGGGATGCCAAGCTGGCAGTTGCTGCCAGCTTTTCCAGCTTTTCTGGAAAGCTGACCTCTGAGGCCACATGCTCCCCCTGGACATGTTGCACAAGTCGACCAAGGCGTTCAGGTGCACGGGAGGGAGGAGGCTTTACTGTTGGGGCTTACCAGTTGCATGGCTTGGCCCCAGTTAAACATCTCTTTAGACCAAGCTGGGTCTGTGAGACTGTGGAGCCTGGCAAAGCAAGTGTTTCATCTTGGGTCCGAACTGAAGCTGCTGCCAGACTCTCATCTCCCAGCTGCGGCGACCTCCTGCAGCTTGACTTCGGAGGGGGCTCGAGGGATTGGGTGCGATTGGGTACGATGGGGTGGGGACGGGAGTGCGCACCGTGATGACCGCTCTTCATGCAGTGTACTTTCAACTATGCGAGTTTGTGATGGCTTAGGCCGCTGCCCTCGTGGAGAAGCAGGAGGTCCCGAAATCTGATACCTAGAATCGCTGTTCTTCTCCGAAGTACCATGCCCCAGCAGCAGTTTTCTGTTCACTATGAGTTTTTCCCGCAAGAAGAGGACTGGTGGTCCCATGATGATGGAACCGATGGCTACGAGTACGACTATGAGCTGGGAGCTGATAAGAACTGATTCGGCGTTTTCCATATTTCCAATTGGGAGTTTGGCTCTCCAGAGAGTGCTGCCGTGTGCTTGCTATGTGCTGCACTTGCAACTGTGATGGAATGAAGTTTGCACAGAGTACACCCCTCGAGCACCTGCGCTCATTTGAAGCCGGATGCTGCTTTGCTCACAGCGTGTCAAATCCTGCTTTTGGCTTCCCAAGTGCGAGCACAGCGAACAAACAGCCTTCAGGCCAGGCAGCACGCGATCGTGTGCAGAAGTGTAGGGCGTAGGGCAAGCTTCGAGCTCTGGGTGATGACACATTCTGCGGCTACAAGGGGGCAACATAAGGATTGGCCAGCCAGGTGGTCCTATTGTGTCTTTACGAAAAACGTTGCATTTCGTACGTTAGAAGTCCTATTCAGAGGCAACAGCTGCTTATTTTGAGTGTGCCGCCTTTGGAGCAGACTGGGCAAAGCAATACGGGGCGATTCTCTCCAAACCTGAAGCCAAGCCGGGCTCTTTGAAGTTGCGTTTAATCGAATGGGGGGCCGGCGCTTTGGATTCTCTCCACACAACACAGCAAATCTGAGAGTCAAAGCTAGACCATGCTAGACCGTGTCTGTCATCCGAAGGTCACTTGGCCAAGCATTCCTCAGCCGCCCGTTAGCCGAATGACTTGCTGACAGCATTGTATGGCACACTCGGAATCAAGCCAAGCCAGACGCGTGCCCTGACCCGTGTCCGAGAAGATGTTAAGCTCAGCCTTGTTTCACCTGTTCTGGGGGTATTCTCTTGAAACTCGTGCAGGGCTATTTGGACGTTGCCATGGCCATGGGTACAATGCTTGGCGAGATCCCGACGCTACTTGGATTCAGTTCGCCCTTGTTTATGTCATGTGGCAGGCTCCATGTTGCAAATTTCTGGCAGGTTCAGTGGTCAGCCCTTGACGGTGACACAGACGAGTACCAATGCAAGTGCCCTAAAGATGTTGAATGTCCTCTTGCTTGTGCTGGGGCTGGGCCCAAATCGCACTGTCTCTGCTGTCGCATAGCACCGATGCGGAAGCACCAGCATCTTACCGACACGGAGACTATCAGGGCGCGGCCTATGGTTCCCTGCCGCTTGCTGCGCCCGCGAGCACCTCGCCCTTCGTTGCCATGCCACTGTCGGCATCAAGGCCGGGAAGCGTTGGTGGAAGGTTGGGTGGAAGGTTGGGTGGAAGGTCGGGTGGAAGGTTGGGTGGAAGGTTGGGTGGAAGGTTGGTTGTGGGTCTTCGTGGTTCTGCTGGTGGTCAGCTTGATTCATGGGACAGGTACGAGCAGGCTTCAGGAGTGGACTTGGCGATGTCAGGGCTTTGAATGGCTTTGCACGTTGCGGGTAAGCCGTTAGTTCTTGAATGTTCTTGATTCTGTTTGTGGATGTGGGGCAGGCCAGGAATGACCTACACAACAACCTCAACGCCACCTGTGTCTTATACGGCCCTGTTCTGAGAGTGCAAGAAGAGGGCAGCACACCAAACAGCACGTTGACAATGCTCCAAAGATGATTGCCCGCCTCGGCCCAGACTTTCGGTTGGCTGTGGAAGGGAGATGAGTTGGGACTGCCTCGTTAGTCTCTCTACACCCGAGAAAGATGCAAGGCTCATTTCAGGAGGTGCTACACGGCGAGGAGGGCTGGCGGAGCAGGTTGAACTTGAGCGGGCAAGAACAACTTCCATCCGCTCTTCGGGTTTTCTACAGTTTTGTTCTCATCAAGTGCGGCTTGGTCGCGCGGCAAACTTCACTAGAGCCTGGGGATCTGGATGTGGGCGGGCGGGATTCGCCGCCGCTTCTTCATCGAGGGGACTGAGGCGTCTGTTATGAGGGTTTTCTCTCCAAACGCGGGGGGGGCAAGGTGAGCAACCGCTGTGTGAGCCTTGTCTTCTCATCTAGGTCCCAAGCCGCATGAACTCGACCTACACGTATGGCGCAGGTGCTTATGTCAGTTGTATTTGTCACGTCTTTTTGGAGCTGAGTTGAAGGACATGTCGACTGTGCGCCTGCCATGCGTTCGTGCAGGGAATAATATGCCGGGGGCCGTGAGCTTGCCTCCGTTTGAATTCAAGTTGCTTGGCTGCATTTTTCTTTGGCGTGTCTTCTGGAAAGATCCGCTGAGCAACGGCCAGGGTTGCCTAAGCACCAAGGTTCGTGAAAGACGATTATTTCGACTCTCCATCGCCTGTTGATTCCACGAGCAATTATCACAAGGCCTGGCCGGTTGCTGTGTCGAGACATGATACGGCCTGAGCTGTCTCCGTATGGTGCTGTGTTGCTCTTTCACATCCGTGTTTAAAGGACGGCCTCAACAGAATGTGCAGTGTGCAGTGCAGTGCTCTGGTGTGCGGCTTTCATCCTGATCGCACAGGGCTATGACATGCCCGAGTATGCCGATGTCTCCGCGTTCCCTGCACCACAGATGGGGCAGATGGGGCAGATGGGGCAGATGGGGCAGACGGGTGCGCATCTTCAGGATCGGAGTCCCTGGTTGTCCCCTCATTGCCCTCGATTCCAAAGCCTTGCAGTCCTTTGATCCTTTGAGGAGGCAGACCGGTTGGACAGGGAGATCGAGGCACACGACCAGAAAGTCCGTGAGCTGGCAGCGCAGAACCTCGGCAGCAAAGCCGCCATCTCTTCCAAAGTCCCAATCACTCGCCGTCGGAAATCTTTGGAGTATGCCCAGATTGGCCAAGCCAAGTCTACGCTTTTGCCCTCTGCCCTCCGCCGTATTCGCAAGGCCTCTCACAGTGCAGAACTTGGAGACCCAAATCCAGGACAGGCCCCAAACTAAGCTTCTGACTCGTGGCTCAAACAATCCTGGCGTTTGTTCACGGAAGAGCTAGGCCAGGGCTGACAAGCACCAAAGCCATGGGTCCGCATCAGCGTCCCGACGCTTCGGATCCTTTCCGAACAGAGCCCGCGGAGTGTTTGATGTGTAGTTTTTAGGCTGCTGAGTTCAGAGGAGCTCCTGGATGGGCAAGAGTCCTTGCGGTACGAGCTGCGACAGGTGAAGATGCAGGCCGGTCTTGTCCACCAAACTGTGAGACTCAACACCTGCGGCTGATGCACACCTAGCAACTCGTGGAGATGGTGAAAATGAAAAGCACTTGGACAGGGAGCACAGAGGAAGTGTCGAAATGCAGCATCGTGAGAAGATAACTGAAAGGCACACTGAGGAGGACAGGAATACAAGTGCGTTCCGATTGTGCAGTGCTAATGGCACTGCTGACAGTTGTCATCAATAGTCGTAGACACGATGGGTGGCAGATTCAGTTAGGTGCAGCATTGCAAGACCACTGCAAGAGTTGCAAGATAACAAAGATGACAGGTGGAGCAGAATGCCTCAGATCTGGAGGTCGGGGCAGAAACGATGTTGGCGCTCTGGGCCGCATGGGACTCGACGTCAGAGATGTGTCGTGTACCTCGCGAGACCATTCGCCGGGAGCGACCCATGCCGCAGTCAGCTGCGGGATCCATGGTGCAGGCCTCTCGGCTCGGGACGTGTGCTTGTGAAATATTGCTCTTTGTTCGTGTCACAGGCCCCTCCCTTGGCGGCTGCTCCCTTGCCTGTGGTGCAGCCCCAGAAGCCCATGGCGGCCATGCCAATGACACAGCCCATGCAGCAGCCGGTGACACAGCCCCAGCAGCCGATGGCCATGCAGACGCAGAGGCATTCTGCGGGTTGTGTGTTTGATGGCGTGTGGCTTTGTGTGTGTCTCGTTTGCCCGTTTCAAGCGGTCTGATGTAGGTCGCACCGCCTCACCTTGCCCCCGGAGCCTGCGGGGAAATATGACAAAACTGTCGGGAGCCCATGACTTCAGCGATCTTCAGAGGCACACCTCAGTCCATCAGCCGCTTTTTTGCCGGCACGCGCTGCAAAGCACTGTGAAGCGCTGTGAATTGCCGGGCTATGGGTGGCCATGGGGTTACTTGACATAGTCACTTAGCGGAGCTTCGCGGTGCCAGCTGCTAGCTGTCCTGCCGGGAAGCGCTCACCATGCCAAGGTGCACAGTAATCTGGGCTATTGCAGCGACACTGGTTTCGACGCCTCGGACATGCTGAGCAAGGCCGCTCTCTTCTTTTGAGAGGGCAAGGCTTCAGGAAGTTAGGTCTTGAATTATCTTCCCACGATGGGCTGCGCAGCTGGGTGACATCGACCTTTGTGCTTGCGCCAGTTGTGTGGATGTGCAGGCACATGCCAGGGCAATGGATTCGGCCATGAGCTGCTGAGCTGCAGAGCTCGGGAACAGACAAGTCACTTCTTTCGGCATGTGTCGCTTGATGACCTGTTACATCTGATAAGAATCATTGTACCGAAGGCCTGCACCAGACTGTCAAGGGCTACTTGCCCGGCTTTCAGGGTCAGGAACGTCGATAGAGGCTCGGTTGCCGACGGGTAACGTGTGAGTCGCAACTGCTTGGTGCTGGAGTCGGCCATGAAGCCAAAGCACTTGCGCCAGGACAGGGGAGAAGAGCAGCTTCTGTGCGTTGCGGGCTGGCGGGGGCCGAGTTGACGGGACCCAGGCTGCGCCTAAAAACAGGCGAAAACAAGTCTGCCCCCCCAAGCAAAAGAAGAACCCGGATTGATTTCTTCGCTTTGTGAGCCTCGCCTCTCCACATCTCTCCATTTTGCTAGCTACTCGTAGTCGTACTCTACAAGCTTAAGCACTAGGGTATCTAACTTCGTATGTCGCCTGACACTTGGATCGTGAGCTGCTCACAAGTATGAAGCTCCTTCTGGAATGCAAGACGCCGCTTCGTGTGAGTGTCGAAGGCCGTCTAAGCCGTTAACAGCTGGACATATGCTTCGCTTGCACGAGGGACCGGTCATCTTGCTTTCCCTTTTTTGCTTCTATGGCTTGCTTGCTGTGGCTGCCTGAGAATGCTGAGTGGTCCCTCTAGTCCCGAATTCGGAAGCAGTTCTGAGACGAACTATTCCAGCTCAGCCACGTCAAGCTTTGGCAAATGTACCGCATTGTACTGATATTTTCCGCAGGGCCGTCCAAGGGTCACAGCTGGCTCTGGAGACGCATGGCGCATTTTTTGTAGGGTTGTGAGCTTACTCTTCAAGCTTCTCCTCGGTGAGCCTGACAAGCTGAGAAGTCAAGTTAGTACGAGTTGACATTTGGTGTTGGTATGGTGTTGGTGGTGTGGTGGTGGTGTGGTGGTGGTGTGGTGGTTGTTGGCACAGGACGCTGCTGATTGGAGCAGCTGCTAAACTTTGGAAGGTAGGGAAGCTTGAGAAGCTTGCCGATGTGTGGTGCGAGCTGCAGAAACGCTCGTGTATCATACTGGTGCTTGTCAGGTCTGCTTTTGATGTGGTGGGTTTTCCAGGATGCCTGTAAAGCAAAGCCTTGAAGCTACCTCATGCTACATCACACACAAAGCTACCACAAATTCACCCCCAAAGAAGCTTTGAAGCTGCCCACCTGAAAAGAGTAGACTGGTGAGACCTTGCCTCCCTACGCCCTCCTCGTGACATTTGAAGACACATATGGAGGCATTCAGAGAATCATGAGAGGTGTCAAGGAGGGCGCGATGGTGCCAAGGGAAGCCACTTGCCTTGCGGAAAGTAGGCTTCTGTAATTAGCTGCGAACGTAGGCCTGCAGGACATGCATCGTCTTGCAGTGAGCCCTCTCTGAGCCATCACAACATCAAAGTCACACGAGCCACCCCCCAAACAAAAGAAACAAAACGCATCAAACTTACTGTAGTCTTCCAAGATGGGGACGGTATGGCGTGCAGCGTGCGTCAGAGACCAGGACAGGAAGTTAACGTGCCTCGAGCTTGTTTCACGAGAAAAGGCAGAGCTGGGTGCTGCCATTGGCTGCCGCCAACATGCGATTCAACGCTTGGTTCCCCGAGCAGCTCCAGGTCCTCACCCGCTGCCGGCGCGGCGCAAGCAGCAGCCGAGGCAGAGTTCTCAGCTGATGCTACATTTTGGTGCATTGCCAATGTCTGTGGAGGAGAATGCCGGTCATCAACAGTGTCTATAATTGATCACGCGCATGGCCGTTGCCCTGTTCACCACGTGGTTGTTGCTTGGCGTTTCGTGAGGCGATCGGTCGCATTGCGCTCACTACGTCGGAGTGGAGACCAGTGCTGCATGGCTACGCCATGGAGGCTGCATCATTTATCTTTGTTGGATTTGGCTTCCTTGTCAAGTACAAAAATTGTGCTCGGATAGTTGCATGCTTTCACGACGGAGTTGTTCCAACGATCATCTCCAGGCAATTGTCGCGTGGATTAGATCTGGTACAGCCGGGCGAAAGCTCAACAAGGACAGGGCAATGGGTTGAACCCACTGGCAAGAAACTGCCAAGAGTTCTGTCATGTCAGCGTCCCTCCGCAGTACCTCTTCTGGGCAGCAGCTGCGCTGTCAGGCATGCCTTTCGTAGCCCCTCAGCTGAAGACTTTGATCGATTACCCATGTTTAATCAGCGTGATGTGGATGCGTGTGGAGGTTGATTTCATTCTTGGCAGTAGTTTGCAGCAGCGCATGACTAGATTCCAGATTTGCAAAGCTGAAAGATTCCCGGCTAACTCTGACTCGAGCTGTAGCTGTCGCCGTGGACCCTTTCGTTTCGCGTGGAAGGAAGCAGGAAGCCCTGTTACTGGCACATCGCGATTCGCAAGCGCCCAGGCGGCTGAGCTCAAGCTGCACATGAACCGCATCTCCGCGGCGTGCCTGGCCTGTTCCGAATTTGTCCGGCCTGCCTTTTGGCATATACGGGAGGGGAATAAAAGTATGCCACAAGGAACACTCGTATTCTTTCTCAGCATGTGGGGCAGGAGCAACGTCATATGTGTTTCTAGGCTGTTAGTGTCATGGCAAGGTGGATGCGGCTCTGTGCACCGTCATAGACATCCTGGATGAAGACATCGATGGCACCCACTCCCAGAAGGGATTCTAAGGGATCAGGGCTCCAAGCCAAAGTGCAGCATTCAGCCTCCTTCAAGTCGTTGATGCTAGGACCAAGTCAGGTAAAGAAGTTTCTGGGCCAGGATGATGGGTAAGACGCGCCAAGCTCATCCCGCCATGCGCAGGGGAGTACACCTTGGCTGGCACCGATCGCGGGGAGGTCCCGGCCTTTGACTGTGGAGAGTTGGGGCATTGGCAATGGCGGCTGTATTCATGACAACCGTCGGAGGCACAATGTTGCTGTCCATGCATCCCTCAGGCAGAGATGCCGACTCTGATAGCCCTGATCGTCCAAGCCATGCAGCTCCATCCCGCAGCGCCCGAGGCCCCTTGTTTCTTCCTTCCTTCTCCCTTCGCTCTCCCTCTCTCTCCCTCTCTTGTCTCTCTCTCTCTCTCTGGTCTCTCTGGTCTCTCTCGTCTCTCTCGTCTCGTCTCTCTCGTCTCTCTCGTCTCTCTCTCTCTCTCTCTCTCGTCTCTCTCTCTCTCTCTCTGTCGTCTCCCTCTCTCTCTCTCTTTCTCTCGTCTCGTCTCTCCCGTCTCGTCTCGTTTCTTTCTCTCGCTCTCGTTCTACCCGGGTTCTGGTGAGGTCCAAGCCCGCGGAGCGACCTGCATCGGCTTGTTGGTACCCTTTGTCGAGTACGCATGGGCCTCGTGGGCCTCACAAGCTGTGTTTTTGAGAGAAGTTGGAACTCGTCTCTGTCGGACCTCTCGCCGGCGCAAGGTTCGCCGTTTCATCATCGTTTCTATCTCTGTTTTGCACATCTTTGCCAAACGCTTTGTTTGCTCTACTCCTCCTGAGCTTACAGGCAACAGGCTTTAGCTCCGACTCCATCTCCTGTCAAGTCCCAGGCCTCACTGCAAGCGGTGGCACCAGCGGCCATCGTTGCCGTGCCGTATCCCAGTGAAAGGATCGCATGAAGATTTAAAAGAACATCCATTATATTTATCTGAATTATTAATTGAATTATCTGCGCAATTAGATAATAAACGAGTTGTACAAACTATTACTATGTCTGGACAAATACCATTAATTAAATCTTATTTAGAACATGTACAAAGAGATACTAATGCAGTTGTTAATGAAGCTTTCAATAATTTATTAGTTGAAGAATCGAATTATGGGCGGTGCACGTGGATGCACGTGGATGCACGTAGATGCCGGCTTTCTTTTGGCTTCAGAACTGCCAATCGCCTCTGTGCCCGAGCTGAACACCGTGTCACAGCCTTGCCATGGCTTTCCGCCGGTTGTTGGCTGCATCCGCAGTTGCGCTGTCCTCGGCGCGGTTGGCGAGATGGGAGAGTCATGGTGAGTTGATGGACGAGGAGGCACTGAAGGAGAAGGCCGTCACCCAGGAGCTCATTGACGCCGTCAACTCTGCCAAGGGTTCGACTTGGACGGCCGGACCGAACACCCGCTTTGCAGGTGCCACGCTAAAGGATGTTAAGATTCTGATGGGGACGCTGCAGGACTTGGACAACAACACTGTCCTGCCGTACAAAGCCCCAACAGAGGTTTCGAACCTGCCAGACGAGTTCGACTGGAGGACAGACCCACGTGCTCAGGATTGCCCCAGCTTGAAGGAGATTCGGGACCAAGCGGATTGCGGATCCTGCTGGGCTTTCGGCAGTGTCGAGGCGATGACAGATCGCATCTGCATTGCCAGTAAGGGCCAGCAGAAAGTCCATCTTTCAGCGGAGGACGTGACTAGCTGCTGCACCTTTGGTGACATGGGCTGTAACGGAGGTGTGCCATCCACTGTCTACTCCTACTACCGGACATCTGGCATTGTTGATGGCGGCAACTATGGCGACAAGTCTATGTGCTACTCGTACCAGCTCCAGCCTTGTGCGCACCACACGACCTCGCCCCATTACAAGAACTGTACCGGCGAGGAGCCAACCCCCTCTTGTGCCAGGAAGTGCGTGGACAATGGTGCTGACTGGGGCACCAGCAAGCATTACGGCAGTGCTGGATACAGTGTTTGCCAGCAGGGAAGTGGAACGAGCTGTGCCCAAGCTATGATGCAGGAGATTTACAAGTCTGGACCCATCACTGGTATGTTCTTCGTTCATCGGAGCTTCCTTTCATACAAGTCTGGAGTGTACAAGGCCGGCTTCTTCTTCAAGGATCCCATGCTAGGTGGCCACGCCATCAAGATTCTTGGTTGGGGAACGGAAAATGGTACGCCTTACTGGCTGGTGGCCGACTCAGTCGATATGTCCTCATGTTCTAGTTCAGCTTGCCACGCAAGTTCGATCGTGCTTTTATGCAGTCGTGCCCTCAAATCTTCTCCAAAAGCATGTTCTTCCAAGCCTTCTACAGGATTCATCTTGAGGTTTCGGCAACTACCAGTAGCCAGCAACGGAGGCACACACACACACAAACCAAGACAGGAGAAGACAGAGGCATGTGCAGAGTCAAGTGCCAAGACTATCAGTTTCAGCAGAGCAACTAAGGTCGCCAACAGCTGGAATGCAGACTGGGGGCAAGACGGCTTCTTCAAAATCGAGCGGGGAACCAACCAATGCCAAATTGAGAACCCAATCATCAACGGCGGACCCGTTGCAGGCCAGCCCAAGCCACACCAGAGCATGGAGGTGGTGGTCTGATAGTCGAACACGGCTGTGCCCACACACACACCCTTGGTTGGATGGCGTGCAGAGAGACATTGGACATTGGCCTGCACACAGGTTGCAGGGATCATCTTCAGTTTTAGTCTCTACAATTTTGACGGCCCACATGGCAGTCCTTGGAAGTTTGTTTCAGACTGTCTCTGTGTGTTGTGCTTTGAAGAAAGCCGATTCTTTCTCAGATTGGTTCAGCCACTTTAAAGAGTCTTGTCTCCACACGCAGTATACCGATGCCCAGGTGCTCACAGGATCGCGTCGGTTCCCACGACGGACCCTGTCAGAAGGGGCTCTAAAAGCAGTCTCGTGTGCCTTGTTCGGACCGCTTTCCCGCATCCAATGTAGCAATTGATGGCAGCGGACAAGTGATGGTGAGTTGCTCTCAGATGCTCTTGCCGGTGCAAACAGTGCAGAATGGAGGATGGATGTGATCGGCGGAGCAGTTGCTGCCCTTAGAGCCTTCTGCGACCTTGCCAGGCCATGATCGTCACCAATCATCATGCCCTCTACTACTATGATTGTTGCGGCTATTGTTTGTATTTGTATCATTACGAGTACCCCATTGTCATGGTGCATGTTTAGAAGTACGTGGCTGGTAGCATTGCTTGTAGCATCACTCGTAGCATTGCTGGCAAGTCGTTCATTTTTTTCCATTGTTTTCTCCGTTTTCCTGTGCTGCGCAATTACAGAACCCTTGGTGTGCATAATTTTGGCGATCTTTGAAACAGGCACCACGTGTCGACATGTTCGGGTGGCATTTCTGTTCCATTGTTGTTCTTAAGCTGCGTCACCAAATAATGAGGATGTAGCTGATGATGATGATAATGATGATGGTGATGATGACGATGATGACAGTGATGATTGTTGTTGTGATCCCCCAAACAGAAGTTTTTTTGATCGAACGCGTTTGGCTGGATGGGTGGAGTGCGGTTCGGGAGCTGAGGGCCCGCCGGTTTGAATGGGTAGAACGTGGCTGAGTAGTAAATGCAACGCAGAATCTTCGGGGCCGCGCGTTCGGATGGATGGACCTTCCCGGATAAAGGTGGGTTTGGATTGGTGGAATGCGGCTCCGGAGTCGGGTGCCCGCGGCTTCGGAGCGGCTCGGAGGTGGGCCGCGGGCTTGTGCGGGTGGAACACGGCGAATGCGGCTTGGATGGGATGCGGCTCGGGGAGCGGTTGTAGCCACCTCAGGTAGGTCACTTGCGACCATGTCCACGAGGGTCGCTTGCGACTCTGTGTTTACAGCAGAGGCCACAGTGCGAGGCTGCTCGGGGTTGCTCGGGGTTACTTGGTCCCCCAACTCTAAACCCCTAAACCTTAACTGTTGAGCGCTCACTCATGTGTAGGCTTAGTCAGGCAGGTCGTTTGACCTGTTGCTCGTAGCCCCAAAGCACAGTAACCCTTGAGCATGCACGTCAGAAGTTGCTTTGCGTATGAAACTGGTAAGTGTGTAGACGTTGTGAGCCATGGATGCAGTTGGTGTTTGGGAACTGATGTTTGCACTGGTTCCACCTATTGGGGCTCCTGTGCTTCAGCACTCACCTTACACCCTAAACCTCAAAAGCCCAAGAAACATGGGGGGCCCCAGCCCTACGGCTTGAAACCACGGGGCAAGCAGCCCTGGGTCATGTATATATGTATATACACACGCACACATACACGTGACCCCCAAGATGTGGTTCTTGTGAGTCAGTTGATCCAGACTTCATTGAGCCTCTCCTCCGTCGGGCGGTCGCAAGTGACCGCGCCTTATGGTCACAGCTGACCGCCATCGGCTATTCATAGTGGCAGGAGTCTGCATGAAGTATTCAGCATGAAGTATTCCTTCTTGAAGAGCCGGCGCAATGCGCTGCCACCGGAGTGACTGTGTATGTGAATACCCACTTCTTGTCCTCCTTGTTGTGAAGTTTCAAAGGCATCGATGAATCCGAGGGAACTGTTTTTAGGGTTTAGGGTTTAGGGTTCTGAAATAATGTTGCCATGACCTTTCCTTCTATATTATGATGTTGACTGTTGATTATCGTCATTACGTTTGTTCTTGCCATCCGTGCTCGTATAGTCCTTATTATCTTGATTGTTTTCTCATGTCAACATGACAAACCACGACAAGGAATCGCATAAGCACATGACCATGAGAGCATCTCCTCCCTGGTGCAAGTGTTGTTTCTACCTTCTTGTGGCCTTCAAGACCACAAAAGGCCCCAAACAAATTGATTTTCCTTGTGTATTGTCTTATGCTCATGGTCATGGCGAGGCTGTGCTTATGTTCTCTTTACTTATTCATCTTTGTATTGCAAAATCTCACTATCATTACCACCGCCCTCATCATCATCATCATCATCATCATCATCACCATCATCATGGGGATCAACACCAAGGCAGTGTCATGGTCCTGACCGGCTTTTGAGAAATGATGGTGTTTTTGAAAAGCACGTAATGGAAAAGATGCAGAACTTGAAAACGTTGGGTGGTCCAAGCCGCATTGGAGGTGCAAGAAGCGCCCAGACGCGAAGGGCGCGGAGGTGGCCTTGGCCCGCCTTGTGTTGCATTGCGGCATGCTGCAACTGCGCGTGCTGCGACTGGTAGCTCTGGGCATGCGTGGGTGTGAACACAGGTTATCGTGAATGCGCTGCGTCGCGAGGGCGCCACTGACTGTGTGGAGCAGGCGGTTCTAGTAGGTCAACCTCCCCACGCATACCGTTTCATGGTGTTCCTTGAAGGCGTTTTGCTGTTTCTCTCACTATGACGACAATGCGGAGATGCTGGAGGCATGTGCAGTTTCTCGCAGTTTCAGGCCTTGCCCGCTGACCTTGGGCAGGACGCTTCCGCTGTCTCTGCCCAACTTGCGGGGGTCGAGGCCCGGGAACAAGGAAGAAGGTTTTGTCGCACGTTGTCAGCACTAGCCCCCACAAAAGTCGTGAGGCTTTGCTGGCACGCCTGGGGGAGGACTGAGCACCGCATGATTGCCTCAGCGTAGTCTTGTGCGACGAGTCTGGAAAGTCCAGGAGCCTGCACAGTCTCACCTTCGCATGGCCGGGCTGAAGGCCATCTTCGAGGTGCTATGGCTTTTGAAGCTGTTGCAGGGGTATGAAGGGTGACATCCTGCTTTACTCGCGACCTCAGGGCTAGGCGCTTTCATGTTTGCTTTCGGCTTAGTGGCGTGGTGTTCCTTGGGGGTTCGCCTTTGAAATATATACCCCGGGCTTGATCTCATTCGATGAATGCCTCAGGGGTTTTGCTGTCAGGGCCTGGCATTCTCCAGGAATTTGCTGGGCACACTCTAGTTTTATGATCTTGGTCCTTTGTCAAAGGAAGGCCGCGCCGATCTCGACCTCCTCTCCGTGCGTGCCTGCGCGGCGGCCGTCGAGGCCAACGGGGCTCTTTGGGGCCCTGGGGTCGCTTTGTTGCGTGTTTTTTTCCTCTTCGGATTGAACAGGGATTAGCCAGAGAAAGCTGGTGCCTCGTGGAAGGCTTGCGAGCGCATGGTGCTGGAGGTTCGCAGCTCAAGTCACTGGCCCCGAAACCTGCAGAAGGTTTCTGCATGGACATGCTTCCGGCCATTCTGCAAGCTTCATGCTTTCTGTCCGTGTGCGACCCAAAACCTAGCCAGGCCGCTCAGTACAACGAGTCTGAGAAGGAGACTGCGTTGGGGTTGGAAAAGTTCACATGTCTCCAGGGACCCGCTCATCAAGCGGTGGAGATATGTAGAAGCAGCAGATGCTGTACCCTTCCCAGCTGTTACTGGTAGTTTCTGTAGTTTCTGTAGTTTCTGTAGTTTCTGGGCAGGAGCCCGGCGACCCACCCATCGACACACAGCGCCTCCACGAGGCTTTTTGAGGGCTTCTCTCGTGTGAGATCACCGCACAGAAGCGCTAACCTGTGTTCTTTTCCACAGGTTGCCTCTTTGCTGTCCGGCTTGTGCGCAGGACAGGCTCACGGAACGATACGGAACGTCTGGAAGCTCTTTTGCGATACGTTGTCTAAATTGCTGATGACTCCTTTCTCTCTATGACACTTCTTGGTCCAGGACGACTGCGGGCCGCTTGCCTCACGTGAGCTGTGGAACTCGGCCTCCCCCTGGACGCGGCACATGCCAAGAAATGAGAAGTTGCCAATTCAGGCCCCTTGCCACTTGCCAAAAGCCGCAGCCAAGATTTTAAGCCTGCTGCGAGTGGCAACGCAGAGCGTCCGCAGCCTGTCCCTGCATCCCCAAGAAAGTCACTGGAAACGACTGAAACCGTGGACTATTCATTGGACCCTACAGGCCCGAGAACGCCAAGAGCGGCAGTACACAGCCGAATGATCGAGTTCGGCCGACCGACTCCCACAAGTTTAATCGCAGCGTGACTCCAACCGGAGTTTCGCGACTGGACAGCCGGAAAACGTTGTCTTTGGGCCACTTGGGCCCCATGGGCGCGAAGCATTGCCAGCATTGTTGCAAAGACGTTGTTGTTGATGCAAACTCCTGAATCCTTCCGCCCAACGGCTGGAACTCGCCCTGCCTTTGGCCCATGACGGAACAGGTTTGTACAGGAGATCGGAGGGTCATCTCGAGATGAGCTTTGCACAATCTTCCTTGGTCACCATGGTACTGGGAGCTGAAGTCGAGACGGGAGGCTTTTTAGTTTACAAGTTTACATGTTGTGACCACAGGTGATAGGGATTCCAGCTTGGGGTGCGGCATGGAGCAAGACGAGCGAGATGAGGAAGAGGAGGCACACGGGAAACAAAGACTGTTTTCCACGCCACCTGAAGCTATCTTCCATCTTTGTCAGGTGGCTGTGCGGGTGGCGGCACTGGAAGCCGAGCTTCGGGAGCTCCGCGTGGCAGCGCGGGCGCCGGTGCAGAGGACGCAGAAGTTCGCCGGAATACAAAGGAATCCGGGGGAGTCCGCGGATCCGAGTCCGGAGGGTTTTGCGCATCTGCATGCAGCTTCGAGTCAATTCAACCGATTCTACCTCGCTGAAGGTCTCAGTGTCTTTGCAGAAAACGAGGCAAAACCTCCTACTACTTTTCAAGGACCATCGAGAGGTATTCTATGTAGCAGTCTAGCCACAGCAAGAGAGGGATAGTGGGCCCATCCCACTCGGATGTTCTCGTATCCACAGCCCGTATTTTGGATTCGCCTCTTTGGCCTTAAGACAGGGCTTCGGTTTCCGTAAAGAGTTCACTGTCAAAAGCCTCCCTAGCAGGAGCCGTGGCCCATTTTTGTCTTGATTTGAAGCCACACGCGGCATGCCGTGATTCTGTTACATGCAGGAATTGGCTGCGATTTGCTCGGGAGGCGGTTTTGGGTGCACGAAGCATACGAAGCATCATGCATTGCTGTGTACAAGATTGCACTTGTTGTCAGCATCTCTTCAGCCGAAATGCCGAGATTGGGGAGGCCCTGCGCAAGCTTGGCCACACGCTGCACTTCCAAGCGCTGCATCGCGCGCACCGGGGCTCAGAAGGGTCTCAGAAGGGGCTGAGAAGCTCTAAGAGGCTCTAAGTGCCCATCTCCCCCCCGTCCCCCTTCCCTCTTCAAAGGGGAGCAGAACAAAACGAAAAGCTCCCGAGAGAAGCGGGGAAGTGCAGGGGTGTGCACCTCGCAGCGAACAAATGGTAACGCTCTACGTTAAGAACAACAGAGCCCCCCACTGCTGAGGCTTGAAGACAGGCAAGCAAGCCTGAGGCTGTCTTGCCTCTGGCGCAGCAATGTTCTTCTCAAACGGCACACTGGCACTGGAGCCTGCAAGATGTTGATCAGGCAGCAGCGGCAAGTCCTAGAAAAGCGGTTGGAGGAGCTTCCGAAACGGTCTGCTCAAGCTGGCCTGCGTCGGTTGCAGCATGGCGGCTAAATCTTATATTCAGGAGAACGGGCTGCCACCACTCAGCGAGAGTGAGAATTTCCTCCAGGAGCTCCAGGCAAGTTCCTCAGCTGCGCCTGCTTCGGAGTTTCAAAGGCAGTACTTGAACTCAAGCGCCAATCTTCTAGAATCAGGCTCTCAAGCCTACCAGTTACCATATCAGATGTCCATCTTTGATGACAAGCTGGGAGAAGCAAGGGTATGCAGGGACTACAGTACCGTGACAGCTTGAGCTCCACTGTTGCTGTTCCACACCTGCAGCACAGTGCTTTGAGGCAGAGCTGCAGGATCTTCAGCTGGGAGGGAGACAGCGGGCTGTCTGCTTGTTCTGTGATTTGCTGTGTGTGCTGTGTGCCGATGCTCCGAAAGACCAGGCATAGAGCCGGAACTCGGTAGAGCCGTGTCGGGCCGTGGCTCCGAAATGTATATGCCTCGGTCCTATTCGCTCATCGTCCCTGCTTGCCAGGTGGCGCCAGCGACTGCAAGAGACCGCCACGAAGCTGGGCGAGCGAGGCCACAAACATGTTGGGTCAACCCATGCCAAACTTGCAAACTTGCGCGAAGCTTGAAGGGAGCTTGAATGCTTGAGTTTCGAGATCGTGCAGGACGGCGCCTGTCACTGGCACAGCAGTTTTGCCCCGCGGAGCGCGAGCTGCTTCGGCTACAGGCCAGGAAAGCAGCGACCACGAGATCATCATGATCTGCACATGTGTTTCAGGGAGGTTCTTCTCTCTGTGGCCAGGCGGAGCTGCAACATGCCCAGGGCAGCGCAAAGGCTGGGGCTTTGGGGTGTCCGTAGGTTTAAGCCTGCGCCTGTGCTCCTTCGACACCGCAGGAGAAGGAGAGCGAGTTGTTGCATCTCCGCGAGGAGGCGACAGCAACATGTTACCACAGGGATCGAAGCCTTTTACGCTGGACGAGTGTTGGAGCTCGAAATACATCACTGCCAACTGGCCACTTTGGTTTGACGTATGAAGAGGAGGCAGCCTAGACATACATTGGGTACGATGTCATCCTTGTGTTTTGGGCCCTGGGTGCAGGTGGCAGCTCTTCGAGAGAAGCCGTCCGGTGAGTACCAGGAGCTAGAATGAGCTAGATGCCTGTGAACGAGTGGGGCTGAGTAGGGGCTCGTCTCCCACCCAATCACAACATCACGGAATCCAACTGAAACAGCGAGTGAAGATTCATTGAGTTGGGGTGGCCGCGCCCCCAAACGCCCCCCCCCCCCCCCCTCCCCCCGCGGTTTCTTAAGCCACACAAGCTGCTACAGCAAGTCACGCTCCCAACCTCCCCGGAACAAAAAATCGCTCTCCACTCGGCATCCACAATCAAAGAAGCGCGTCCTGCATGTCCATCCATTGCAAAAAAGCTTCCACAGCACAAATCAGACACGTGCCAGCCCTCCACAGCCAAAACCAAACACGCGCTCGGCCTTCGCAGCAAAGAAGCATCCGGCCTCCACGCCAAACAGCAAAAAAGCCTACCCAAAAAGAAGAAAACGCGCCAGGCCTCCGCAGCAAAAAGACGCACCTGGCTTCCACAATGCAGAAAACAAAGCGCTTTGGCCCCCACAGCAAACAAAAATCGCGTCAGGCCTACGCAACAAAAAACGTGTCCGCAACACAACAAAGAACACTCTTGCCTCACGAGGAGACGGCAGCCGGGCCCGAGGCAGCGGTGACGACAGAGGCGGTGGCGTCGGGGCCCCAGTTCAATGTTGTTTCGCGTCGAATCCCCAAATCCTTAAGCTTCCAAGCCATGATTCAATTCCACAGGCCATCGGCACCCTCCTCGCGCGACTGCTCGGCGCTGCCCTCCGCCTGCGCGGCGCCCTCCTCGGCACCCTCCTCGGCGCCCTCCGCGGCGCCCTCCGCGGCGCCCTCCGCGGCGCCCTCCGCGGCGCCCTCCTCCACGTCCTCGGCGCCCTGCCCCCGTCGAGCGCCACCGCCGCCCAAGGCGACTTAGAGCTGATGGCTGAGGGATCAATCCAGGAAGTGCGTTGTGCAGCGCAGCGCTTCTTGAGTCTCTTTTTCCTGAGGCGTTGAATCTCACTTCCGCGATTTCTAAGCTTGGCTCCAGGAAGCGAACCAGTAACTACAGGGTCCAGCATTCATGTAACTACAGCCCACAAGGAAAGTTCCAGCGATCCCATTGTCGCCATGGCCCTGCGGCATAATCTGGGAGTTGCTTCGGGTGCGATGCTGCAGGCCCAGGGTTGGTTTGGCTGCTCGACTTCCGACCGTTTGCAGAGTAGGATAAAGTAGGAGAATGCGGGAGGTTGGAACTGAGCCGAATTTTGTTGAACGAGAGACGCAGAGGCCAGGAGCCTTTGCCGCTTGCAGCGCGCACGGGGACTCTCCGAGCTTCTGGAGAGAGCAAAGGGAGGGTTTGAGAAAAGGAGACATGATTTTGCAGAGGGGTGCGCGGGTCCCAGAGTCTTGGAGAGTTTCGAATCTGGAGAGAGAACACAAGCTACGCGACTGTTGTCAGAGCATGACGGTGGGTGGTGCTCTTCTGAATTGAGCCTCCATTTATCCAAGGAAGCACTTTCGATGCAAAAGCAGCAGCTTGGGACACGCCCCAGAAGCTGCAGCGAGTGGAGCCTGGACTTCAAAGTTTCAGCGTTGGCTTCTAGACTGTGGCATAGACGCACACCCCTAATCCAATGTGCTGAACCTCCAACACTGAGCTCGGTGAGTTCAACCTCCACACAGAATCGTCAGGGTCAGACCGAACCGTTGGAGCTCTGGAAAGGCTTGGGTTGCCAACCAGATCCGGCAACGTCCGTGGTTCCGCTCTGGACGTGAGGTGCTCAACTTCTTGAGTTTCCCGTTACTTTCTGGGGTGCATGTGCAGAGCTACGCCCATTCAGGATTATCCAGGTCGGCAGTTTGCATGTTGGTAATGAACGGTTCACCATGGCTTCTTGCTTATTCTGGTGTGGATGGGCAAGTGTTTTCTCTCCTCCAACCCATCAAAAGTGTCAGCTCAAGGGTCTCATTTCCAAATTGTGTGCAAAGCGTATAACAAAGCTTAGTTCTAGAGTTATGACCAGGGGCTTGGGCACTGCCGACCGTCAGGAGCCATAGTTGTTGCATTTCCACTTGCTCCGCGCCTTCACTTTTCATTTTCTTTCAACCTGGGCGATTCTGCTGCGAGTTCTTCTCCTTCGCCTCCATTCTTCTGCTTGGCCGAGTCTCTTGTTCGCTCTCTCTCTCTCTCTCGCTCGCTCTCCCTCTCTCTCGCTCTCCCTCGCTCACTCTCGCTCTCTCGCTCGCTCGCTCTCTCACTCTCCCTCGCGCACTTCTTGTATCATATATATATATATAGATATATGCCATGTAATATGTATGTATATATTTATCTATCTATATCTATATATGAATATATATATATATATATATACAAGTAGAGACCTAATTACCGATCGAATTTGCGATGTTTGCTCTCGGGTGAGTTGAAGAAATTGTAGGTGCTGCGTGTTCAGACAGGGACCCGTCCTGCTGTTGTCCTGCTCGCATGCTTTCGCTTGTGATTCCAAAGAGTTTCCCGGCCCATCCTCCCGGACTCAACTCGCGGTAGAGCTCGAACTCTCCTGCAGAGGCCATGGGCAAGTGTCTTGACATGGTCGGACATCATGGCATATGTTCGTATGCTTGGCGTCAGCATGCAGGCTTGTTATCCTTCGAACTCCAAGAGAATTGCAGCCACATCACAGGGCTGGTGCCCTGGCATGACGTAAACCGCCACGGTTCAGTCTTCAACGGCAGCTGAAGCAGCGTACCCCTGCAGCGCCACCTGGCAGCTAAGGATTCATCCTCGGGAATGCTCGAGGTGATGCAGGAGCGGAGCGCTTGGCGTGGCCCCAGGCTTTGGAATTGGGATGGGATCTTGGATATGATGGGATATGATGGGATTGTCAGCGGGGAATGCGGGGAAGGGCTTTCTGATAGATTCTTTATGCCTTGTGATGCCTTGTGCTCCCATCTTGTGAGGAGAAGATCAGCGCATCTGGCCTCAGCTCCAGGATGGTGGCTACGCGAGGGCCTTTGACCATCCTGGGGCACTTCGACACCATTGTCAGCAGCTTGTCAGAAGAAGGAACATCAAGGAACCCTTTCGCGTTCTTTTTTGGCCACTTCGTGTCGTCAGTCTGGTTCGCAGGCCTCCTTTGCATCCATCACATCCGTGACTGTGAAGCTCAGCTCCGTGATCTGGCGCGACACCTGTCGTCCCTGGAATGCAAAGATTTGTTGTTGCACAGGCCATTTCCATCCACGGTGCACGACCTGCAACCACTGTAGCCATGTCCAGCGAAACTCTGCGGACCACGCTTGGTGGAATTGGTCTACATAAGCCACTTTCGCATTCCAGAAAACAAAAATGCGAAAAGCCTGCGACGCGTGATCTGGACGCCGAGCTGACCACCCGCAGCAGGGCTACTGTATGAGAGCAAGGCACTGGCTCATCTGGTATCGAAGACTTGCCACTTCAAGGAATGCCATGCCAGCAATATGCCACTGATCCCACTAAGCCCGTGTGCAACTGAAGGGTTCAGTCTCATGGTTTTTCGCTTCAGGCTTCCGCATCGCTGAATCCATAGCAACAAAGAGCGAGATCTTGGCACGTGCAATTGCTCGACAAACTCCAGAGCTCGAGTTTGCGAATGTTGCCTACACCAAATAGCATGCAAGACATCACCAACGGCATCTCAACAAGTCCGTCTCGCCCAGCAGCCAGATTCATCACGCCTGCTGTACCAGTCCCAGGTACCCATGCAACCCCTGCAAGCACTAGCGAAGTGCCCCGCAGTCTGCTCGACATATGTCCGGGCGAACGCGGCAAGCAACAACAGGGACAAGTACAGCCCGAAAAGCAGGGGCTGTCCCTAGAAAACCCAGCTGGGACCGGTGCGGTTTAAGAGCCCGCTGAGCGGTTGCAGTATCTCAGCATTGGTGTGATTAGTTGCTGTGATTAGTTTTGCTCGATCTTGCTCCAAGAACCGATGGCCGGCTCATCGTCGTCGACTTCGAGGCTGATTGGCCAAGATGGTGACCGCAACGGGCAGCCAGTAGCTTCTCTGGGGGCTACTTTTTCTTTCCTCTTGCAGAACCGACGTGTCGAGAGACCCCTGTGGGTTCGGCTGGGCTCACCGATAGGTTGCACCAAAATTCTTTGATGAGCTACTGGCCTGGCTCGTGGTTTTCATTGAGGGCAATGCTAGGCATGTCCTGCGTGTCTCTGCCATGCATTCTCCGACTGTCTGCAAGGCCACTGAGAATGCACGGCTTTTCCACAAGAAGTCCGAAGCCAGGGGCCATCACTACGAGCATGATGGCTGCTTGCCTGTTGAATGGGTTGCTGCAGCGGAAAGACTTTGACAGCTGTATGGCTTTGATGGGATGAGACAGTGATTGCCAGAGTAAGGAAACTGAGCACGTTAACGATGTTTGTAATTCGTCGCTGAAGGAACATTGCGGCGAGTTTCCTTATTGATGGAGACCAGCCGTGGCTTTGAAACCGGAGACAAGGTCTGGAAGCAGCTGCCCTGCATGGGTGGCTGGTGGCTGCAGGGCTGCAGCACGTCGAGGCCACGCGCCACTCTGATGTCCAACAGCCATATCCCTGGAATGCCCTTGGCTTCAGGTGCACCGAGAGCCCTTCACGAAAGCCCGGGCAGAAGGTGATGGTCGAATGTACATGTCTTGCAAGCTTTTCCTGCTACTCTACTGTCTGATTTCACGCATTAATCCAGACAGTTTTCCCAGATGCACCACGATGGATAGGATTTCACTTTTCTTGATTCTGAGATGGTTGTGGCAGGCTGGGAGGGTGCTGGGCACATGGATCCTTGCTGCAAGAAGCCTGAAGCAGCATGCACTTTCCACAATCAGTTGTGCTTCGCTTGCTGATTTGCTGAGACGGCTCTGAGTTCTACAAAACCTCAGCAGTTCTGTTGATGAGTCCTCAGACATAGTTTCCGAGGAGACCTTCCAGATGTTGATCGCTTCGGGATCGCGCGGGGACGAGTGAGAAAAAACTTGACAACGCAAGAGTGGGAGGGAACGTTATGCAGGGCCATGAAGGCTATCGTTGCTGCTGTGAGCTTTGCAGACGAGCACGGTTGGCATGTAATGACGCCGCTACGCATAGCAAAAAATCGTGAGAAGCGGAGGCATGGAGCACGAGTCTCCATAACAAACGGTCAGAACCGGGAGGGTTTCGTCACGGCCAGTTCGAGAGGCAAAGCCCCGGGGCCCGCCACCTCCGAAGGCCAAGGCCAAGGCGCTTTTTCTGAATGCAGTGTTTTTCTGCTGAGATCTTTGGGGGAACATAGAACTTCGGGACTTGTGGGCAATTTGAGCTTCAGGGTTGACCGGTAGACAGTAGACAGGCAGACCGAGCCCTGGGTGAAGAGACCGAAACTCTCACTCCATCCTGACTTGTAGGATAGTACTACTTTGTGTTAAAGATTCGTGATGTGGGCTCGAATGTCGCATTGCGATCCTTTTGGTTCTTCTGTTTCAGTCGGACCGGGCTGTCTAATTTGTACAATCGGCATCGCGGCCAGCTACGCTAGCCGTGCTTGTGGGCACCTAGACCAAGCCCTTCGCTCGTCCGGCTTTGTGAGCTGACTTGGGCTCTCTTGGAATCTTGAAATCTCTTGGGGCCGTTTCAGCGTTTGGAAAACTGAGGCGCCAGCGCCGGGGCCGGTGCCGAAGTTCGGGGCACTGCCGCCCAGGCACTCGCTTTCCTTTTGGAGACTCCGTGACAGGTTTGTGCGACCTTCCGAGCTTCCTTGTGAGCTGGCTTGTAAGCTTCCTTGTGCACTCAGAAGCAACGGCCTGGTGAATATCAACTGGAAGAAGCTGGCAACACCGCCCGGATTCAAGGGCTTGAGATCTGCTGCTGCCTTTCATGAAACCTTACTTAACCTGCAGCTGTCAGCTGCCATTGCCTTTGAGTTGCTGCGTCTTGGGCCCAACAAGAATCGCCGCCAGTGTCATGTCAACACCGCCAGGGGACGCTTGCGGATGCCGACTATGACCTCAACGCGGATCCCTTCCTGAGTGCAGCTCCAAGCCCGAACCACTGACGATAGCAAGAAGAAGCCGACTGCTGCAAGTAGCTCAAACTGGCTCAAAGTGGCTCAATGTCAACAACTCCATCTCAGGTGCCATTGCGCCGGCGAGCATGGGTCCACTGCAGCCGCTCCGACCTGGCTCTGCTTTCTCGGGTCGCTTGTCCAAATCACAATTAAGCGGCACACGCAGCACTGCATCATTTTGAGCGAGCATGCCTTTCAGCCGTGCTATGGCCGGATGTTGCTTGATGTGTCGACTGGTAAATATTTTGTTGCAGAGGACGCACAAGATAAGGTTAGGATGATGCAAGTGTTCCAGCAAAGGTGCCGATGTGGCGTGCATGGATGATGACCAGGTGCAATACTGGTTCCGGTCACGTCAGGGCCCAAGCTCAAGGTCACTTGGGGCGCCAGGCAAGTGAAAAGCAATTGGATGTACCTTTGTCTTTGAGCTAAAGTGTAGTGTGGCACGTTAAGTTAACACAAACATTTCCAGGCAAGCTAGGTGCCAGAGGACCGTGCCATCTGCATGTGATTCTGAATTCTGGCCCAGGTCCTTATACCCACAACCAGCGGCCGCCACGCTCGACCCCAAGCAGCTCCTCCAGCGCGATCCTTAGATTTCCGTGGGGCGAACCGCAAGCTGCAGTGCCAAGGGACAAGGACTTGGATTGTCGTGTTGCATTTCCTGCCGCATTCCAACCCAAGATGCAGGGAAGTTATGGAAGTTCAGGGTTGCGATCCGAGGTGTGCGGTCCACCTCCACGGAGGGTCAGGCCAATTCCGGATCCAGCGCGGCATCCGCAGGCGGCTTGAAGCTTGAGTCGAGACGTAGAGAATGTGGACCGCTCGCGCTCGAGCAAGATGATGACAAGAAAGAACGATGACGAATGACAAGCGGTGAGTGCCGAACAATGGTCTTGACTATGTGATGGCTGACGCACACCAAGCTGTGGTTTGTGCATATGCGTTGCATGCAGCAGACACGAATCACAAGAGAAACGCTTGTGTGCACTCCTTGCACGACCGACAAACAGAGCGCTCGATTGTTTTAAAGCCGTTCTCGGACGGTGGGTGTGCCAGGGCCTGGCCGAGTGGCGATTCTGCCAGGCAGCGGCCATGCCTTTGCATTTTTTCATTTTTTCCTTTTTGCGTGTTCATGCGTTTTGGAGGGCTCGATGGGTTCATGGGTTCAGACCTCTTGGTTTGAGATGCATTGGGGCCAAGGCTCTTAGGTTGGGGTGGACAGGTTGGCTCAGGGTAGGCTGGGTGGACATTTCGAGGCAGGTTCGAGGATTTGGAGGGAAGGGAGTTCCAGCCTGCTCACGTGCCGTACTGTGTCAGGCCTCCTCAAGCAGAGGCTTCTGGATGACAAGACGACAAGGAGGGGAAATGCGGCGAGTACTGTACGCGCTGACTTGTGGTCATTCTGGAAAGCTTGTGAAGGAGTGCAGGCTTGTTCCTGGCTCGTCTACGTATGGCTGGGAAGAACGTGCAGCCGACCCCGCAGGCCGGGATTGAAATATGTGGAAGATTTCTGGTGTCTGCTTCCAAGATGTCGGTTCGCATTCGAGTTGTGCGCCACTTAGGACGTCTGCGCATCCATTCTGAAGTGCACCATCCACCAGGACCTGACTGTTCACTCGATTGAGACCTCCTTCCTTGCATCACCATGAATTGCCATTAATTATTCAAAAGTTGTAAATAAGGTTCAGTGATGCTCGTATTCAGCGAAGGCCTTTTTGGAGCTACCGTGGAGTCAACAGTTTTGAATGTGTGCATAGTCTTCGCTGCTCCATGCGTTTTGAGGTAGGACGTGTGCTGAATGACAAGAGCCCACGCCGGTCTCTGTAAGTCTTCATTGACTGGCAGAAAAACACAATCCAGACGTTTTTGTGATCCTGCAAGGATGAGGATAGTCTGCAGAGTCTGCGCGATGCGGTCGAGAGCAACCTGGAGGTATGTCACTTAGTCAGGATACTGAAAGATACTTGCGGCAGTGAGCGGTGGGACCTGGTGACGGCAAATGACAACCAGATGGACCATTGTGAGGCCGGCAACGCTGTCACAGCCTTCGTGGAGGCGCCCGCTGTCTCGAGATCATATTCGGGGTTGCGGTATTTAGCAGAACTGTTGCGGGTTTTCTTTGTTGGAGAGACTCTTTTGTTTGAAGAGGAGGGTTTAGGGCAGAAGGTCCATGAAGGTTCCAGAAAAGCGCTGTTTCTTGTCATCGGCGCAGGCTGAGGGCGTGGAGGCCTTGTCGCGCTGCGAGGCCGAGGCCGAGCATCGCCTCATGCACCAGGCGCTCTTTTGCAAGTCTCAGTGTGATTGTGAGTGCGGTGCAGTATTTTGGCAGTATGGTGCAGTATGGCGTAGTATGGTGTCGTACAAGTTGCTGGCTGCTGTCTCGGAACGAGGTTTTGTGCGTGGTGTTGTGGTGGTGTTGGTAGCGGCAGGGAGAAGATTCGCTCACAGGAGTGCAGTTCGCAAGTCACGTTGCATGTCTACGGCGAGGTGTGCAGCATTCCAGGCATCAGCCAGCGATTGAGATGCCGCCGGCTCAACTGTCTCCTGTGAAGTCCTTGTATGTGGTGTAGTATAACAGGATGCTGACACCGCTATAGACACAAGCCACTAAATGAGTTCTGCGCAGGTTTGCAGATCGAGTCATCATGGGATCGCGATGCGGCGAAGTGCCGAAAGCACCTGGAGGCCTCCTAGTTGTGGGAGGTAAGAAATGGTCGCATGAAAAGCTCCAAGACGGCAAGACGGTCTAAACATATGCAAGAGGACGTCTCAAGCTTTATGTGTCTGAGCCACAGGTTCTGCGTTCCGGGCTTGAGGCCGATCCTGCCGTTCTGACTTCAGCACTAAGTTAAAGTTTAAAGCCTTGAGTCAAAGTTCTCACTGCCGCGAGGGCCTGACCTCAAGGAAGGAAGCGCTGCATTGCTTCTTCCACCAGGCAATCTTATCCGCACAAAAGCTGAGCTCCGCTCTCTGAAGTCCCAATGTGGAAGCCGGGTGGAATGAATCGCTGCCAGGTCATGAAGATCGGAAACCAGTTGAATGAGGCTCGCGTGTGGCTCTGATAGACAGGAATCTCTGTGGTTAACAAATAGATGTCGGAGGCCGCTGGAGGACCACGTGCCCCCCGCGGCTTCCGGCTCCACAGCCTGGAGGCCACGCTTCAGACGAGGCGGCAAAGCACACTAAAGCGCCCAAAATGCAGAAAGCCGCACGCGCTTACGCGAGTCGAGCCTGTCACAGGTCGCCCTTGAGACCGCAGCTCTCGATTCTGCACCTCGCTTTGGCAAAGATGCCTCTGAAGCAGGCCAAATTTTGGTCATAGGCCTTCGCCACTGCAAGGGGTGTGCATGGGTGTGCTGTGGAATGCAGCAGGTCAACTTGCTCTGCGAGGGCCTCCAGGCCACTGATGCCATAAGGGTTCAAGGCCTTCTTGGCCGGGACCCTCAGAAGTCGAACGACCTTTCTTTTCCTCTCTTGGCCTCTCTTTGTCCCTTTCCCCACGTCTCCTAAGGCAAGAGCGCCGGTGTGCAGGAGCGCTGCAGGGAGCTGATCGCCCAGCGTGCCGCGCTGCACGAGCTCGGGGCACAGGCGCATGCGATGCGGCACACAACCTCGTTGGACCTCAGTACGGACTTCACCGTACTTGGATCTAGCTTGTCAACGTGGGACGGGTTCAGGATTCAGGTGCAAACTGTGGGATCGTAGCCTCGGTCTGGTTCTGTCGGGTTGCCGGTTCAAAGTTGAGGTCTGAGTTGATTGAGCCTCAGCCACAGCTGTCGGCTGGATGACGTATGATCGGCAGGTGTCCCGCGCGACATCGGAGGAGCTGATGTAGTCTGAGCACCTTGCAGAGGGCTACCGTCCGTTTAAGCCAAGCATGCTCAAGCATTTGTCGGTCGCTCAGTGTGTGCGTGGTGCTAGC